CTGTGAAGGAAACAACTGCCAGCTCTCTGCTTCAGAAAGTTCACGCTGGTGGTGTGCTGACAGGCAGGAGGGGAGACACCGGAGTCTGGGTCCCGGGGAAGAGGCCGAACGTAGCCACGGGCTGGGATAAGCAGCTCCATCCAAGAGCAGGAAAAGGCAGCTGGCTGGGGTGTGGGGGGAGGAGGAGGCGCTGGGCAGTTCCTGGGGGCCAGGCTGGATCCTTCCAGACTGCCCAGGGCCCCCGACCAGCCAGGGGTCCAGATGGTGCAAGGGGAGAGATGTGGAGGGACCCCTGAAGGGTCTGGCTTTGTACCTGGAAACAACACATCCTGCCCCAGGGAAAGGAAGTCTCAGAAAAAGTGACAGGTGGGCACCTGCCAAAGTGGAAGGAAGGGGCCTGGACTCTCACAGGCCATCGTGGGTTTGGGGTTTAGACCAAGTTTAACCAGGCCTCCTGGGGGTGGTGAGGGCGCCCAGCTGACTCCTGACTAAAGGCATGGCTCCTGTATTCCCGGTCTGGTCCATGCATTTTACTTCCACAATTTCATTTAATCCTCCTAACTGCCGCATGACTAACGCCACCACAGCGATGACAGGCAACACTTGCCTGGCCCTGGTGGGTCCTCGGCATCCTCGGCGTCTTCCGACTGCAAGCTCATTTCCGATCTTCACTACGTTTCTGTGAGGCACGGGCTGCGATGCCCACTCTACAGAAGGGGAAACGGAGGCACAGAAAGCCACACAACACACCCACATCTGCAGAGCCAGGACCGGGATGCAGATGGAGAGCTGTCTGTCCCCACCCTGAGCTCCTGCTCCTCCCTCATCTTGCCCCTCACGCCGCCTGTGCCTGGGGGGGGAGGGGTGTCCGTGGTCCGGGAAGGGGAAGGGGCAGGGGTATAAACAAGAGTATTTGGGAGGAAAGTGGGTGGGGGTCTGCACTGGCAATGCCTCCTGAGGGGGAGCTGCCTTGGGGTGACATTGTCCCCTACCCACCCGGAGGCTCTGTAGGTCCCCGAGGCTGAGAGGGATGAGTGGTCAAGGAGCCCCCCAATCGGGTAGAGCTGGGGTGATGGAGCTCTAGGCTGGAGAAAAGGGAGGCGGAGTAAAGTCTGACTCACTGGTGATGAGGAGGAAGTGACAAAGCTTCTCTGACCTCCCTCCCCCAGCCCCTCTGTGGCCGGAGGACATTCCGTGGACTCGTGGGCCTTTTCTTCCGGCCCTGCTGGCAATTCCTTTCCTAAATCACTCCCTCCAGCTTCTGTGAGCCCACCTTCTGCTCCTCCTCGGGGTTCTGTCCCCCTCTCCACACCCCACCTTGGAGCCCGTGCTCAGGGCCTTCACTCACGACATCCACACTCCTGTCCCTGGACTGTGTCCTGAGCCAGGCCATGACCGCTACAGCTCTCTGGTGGCTCTGCGCTGGATTCAGAATGAAGCCAGGGTTCGGATCCAGGGCCTCCACCTCTTTGCGGGTCAGATTCTAGCTCCAGCCTGCCCCTCTGGCCTCGTTTTGGACCCCTCTACACTCTCCAAGCTGTCGCCAAACCCAGCCGCTCTGTCCCGTCATAGTGACTTTGAACGTGATACTCATTCAACCCTCAATCCGCCCTCCAGCTTCCTAGCCCAGCTGGTTCCTGCTCAGTGCCAGCAAATGCTCCTCCAGGAAGCCTCCCCTGCCCTCCCAGGCGGGGTTTGCTGCCTGGTCTGTGCTGATTGTGGCTTCTTGTAACTGAAGAGGAGCAGGTTGGAGGGGAAACAGGGCCTTGATGGTGAACTTGAGACTGACTGAGACTGCCCAGACCTGGGCTTCCTGAGAAAGGTCTGGGCCGGAGACAGAAAAAAGCCAAGGACAAGAAGTAAGGGCCGTCACAGCAGAACATGTAGGGGACAGGAGAGCTGAGACACCCCGCGGGCACCCCAACATTAGAGGCCTGGGCAGGAGGAAAGGGTTCTGGAAGGAGGCTGGGGAGGGTGAGGAAGAAGTGGAGGAGGAGGAAGAGGAGGGGAGGGAGCAGCCGAAGCAGGAGCCCGGAGAGGCAAGATGGCTCCCAGCATTCTTGCCCTGCTGTTGCCCCCTCCCCTTGAGTCTGGTCTGGCCCTGTGACCTGGTTTTGACTCATGTGACAAAAGCGACGCCACAGCACTTCCCAGCCTGAGTCGTCAGAAGCTGGTGAGTCCAGCTGGGTCTCTGGAGGCTCACCTTCTCCGGGTGGTCAACCAGAGGCTGACTGCCAGGCTGTGCGGGAGCCCTCACTGGCCAACGAAGTGGCCTCGTGGAGAGACCTCCAGGTGTCCCTGTCATTACCATCCCAGCTGTGGTACCAGACACTCAAGTGAAGAGGCATCTTGAATGTCCAGCCCAGCGAAGCCTTCAGAGGACTCCAGCCACCACGTGTCAGTGAGTGCAAAAAAACCCCCCAAAACCCAAACACCAAAAACAAACCCCACCAAGAAAACTGCCCATTTGTGTGCAGTGACAGCACCATGCATGATAATAGGACTTGTTCTAAGGCACTAAGTTTGTGGCCATTGGTCACACAGCAGTAGATGGTTGAAACGTTTGGTAATTCAACACCTGAACCCCCTCTGTGGCAGACGTTGCAGCCCCCACTTACCAGGTACAGAAATAAAGCCCATTGAGGGATGTGACTGTGAAGTTCAAGGAGCTGATGGAGGCAGCAGTTGGGGGCTTGAGCCAGGCTGGTTCGTCTGATACCCCAGCCTACGCTCTTTCCACAGGACATGTCTGGCTGCCCGAGATCTGGCAGCCACGCCGTGCGGTTTTGGCCAAATTCCCTGGGCGACAGGTTACTGGGGCTTTCCCCAGGTGGCTCACCTGGGCACCTGCTGGAACCCTGGCTTTTGTGTGTGTGAAAGATGATTCACAGTCAAATGGACGAATTAAGTGTACAGCATGGTACGTTTTTACACATGTGTACACCCATGTGACTGCTACCCAGACCAGGGAACATGTCACACTCAGAAAGACCTCAGAGGGACTAGTCAACATGAGTCCCTCTGCACAGCCCGGGGGTACCCACTGTTCTGATGACCATCCCCATGGTGATGGTTTCACCTGTCCTTGAACTTCACGTAAGTGGAATTGTCCAGCAAGTGCCCTTTGTGCCTGGCTTCTTTCTCCCCACACGACCCCTGAAGACACACCGTGATGTCGATGCGGCAGTGATTCTGTTCTGTCACCACAGTTCGCTTCTAAGGTGTGAGTGCAGCACCGTTTTTTGTTCATTCTACTGTTGATGGGCACGTGTGTTGTGTTCAGACTTGGGCAGCTGCACACGGGCTGATAAGAACAGTATTATTCTAGTCATTTCGCGGCCCCGAGCACTCCTTGCTCGTGGGTGTACACACCGGAGTGGAAATCTAGGTCCTAGGGCAGACGTGTGTCCCACTTCCTCAGAACCTGCCGAACCACTGCCCACGGCGGTGGCACGAAGCACACCCCGCCAGCACTGCGTGAGACTCCGGGTCCCCAGGTCCCTGCGGGTGCCTGGGGTTGCCACTCCTTTCCATTCGAGCCGCTCTAGTAGGTGGGGAGCAGCATCTCAAAGGGGAGCACCTTTTCTCATTGGCCTGGTTTTTCAATTGGTCTGGGTGGCCCTGGGGAGGGTGGGAGAGAGCTGGGGAGGAGGGCGGTGCCTCAGCCCAGGAGGGCTGGTGGGGAGCAAGAGGGCACAGCGAGGCTGCACAGGGGTCTGCTCACCTCTCCAGATAACTGAGGATGCAGTGGCAGGCACCCCATCTCCAAGTGGCTCCTGGATGCTCCTTATCTCATGAGATAAGTCCTAAGGCAGGGTAGCAGCAAGGCCGGGTGACTTGGCTCAGGGGTCCTGGCTCTCTGCTGGACCATTGGTAGCGTATTTGATAAGGCAAGATGACAGCAGTGCGGGGACTCCACCCGGCAGTCCGAAGGCCAGGAGAGAGGCCTGCCTTCCTGTGACTCCTTGTAAGAGCCAGAAAGTCCTCCCAGATGCTCCCTCTGACCCTCCAGCTCCAACCAAGACTTCCCCTGGCATCTCAGTGGCGGGAACTGCACCCCACGCCCATTCTTAACCCCACAGCCGGCTCCCCCGTGGGTCTTTCCCTGAACACACCAGGATGTTCACAGTGAATTTGCTTGTGCTGTCATCTCACTTGGAGTGTGTTTCCTGATTTTTTATCTGGAAGTCTTATCTCAAAACCACCTCCAAAAGCCCTTTGACTTGCAGGCTGGGTCAAGGTCTCCACCTAGTTCCCTCAGCCTCCTAGGCTCCAACCTGATGTGGCTGATTTCAGTGGCCTTGGGGTTTTGGTGGGGGCAGGACCAGTCCCTGTTCACCTCACGCACCCAGCACCTGGCCGGAGGAGCCTGAGTATTGATTGGAACAGCCGTGAGGGTGAGGCTGGCTCAAGGCACCTTTCTGTCTTCTTCACCTTAGCCACAGCTCTGAAGTCAGACGGCCAGCCTGTGTCTGGTGCAACTCACAAAGCAGCTCTTCCCAACCCCACATGTGGCCACCAGGTGGCCGTGACGAGGCCTCCCACATCCACTGCCCCGACTTCAGAGCTGAACACAACCTATGGGCACAGCCTTAATACAGGGCTGGGGCAAAGAGGCGCCCATCTGACGGAGAGGCTCGGAGAGGGAAGCAACGTGCCCAGGGGCGGTCAGGGCTCCAGCTGGCTGTTGCCCGCCCCAGGGCTTCCAGCCCTCAAGGTGCATGTGAACCACTAGGGAGTGTGTTGGAGTGCAGACTCTCAGCCAGCAGGGCGGGTGGGCCCTGGACTCGGTGCTCCGACAGGCTGCCTGATGGTGGTGGGGGTGCCTGCCTGTAATCCCCAGCAGAGCTGCAAAGCCTCGCCCGGTGGAGGAACTAGGTCCTCAGCCCCGCCCTCAGAGCCCACACCCAGCCCTCCAGGAAGGGTGGGGTGCTGGGGCAGGGGGTTAAGAAACCCCAACCTTCGAGCCCGCCCTGCCCAGCCATCCAGCGCACCAGGGCTGCAGGAACATTTTATTAAGTTAAGAGGGCTGATGGGCAGGAAAGAGACGCCTTCACGGAGCAGCTCCATGCCCAGCACCCTGCGGGGGGGGGGGGGGGAGGTGGGGCCGTGGAGACAGAGGCCGGCTCCCTCTGTCCATCTGTCCATCGCCCCAGAGTGTGGGGCCCCCCCCCAGGCAGGGAGTAATTAGTGGGAGGTAGGGTAGGAGGAGGGTGGCTGGCTTCTTGCCTGTCCCACCAGAGTCAAACCTGGCCATTGCCACAGCCAGGCCCCAGGATGGGGCCACAGGCCCAGAGCCCCAGCAAGAGGCTGCGGACAGAGGAGAGCCAGTGTGGGAGGCACACGGCCACCAGGAATTGTTTTTTTTTAAGTACAAAGTGTTTTGGGGGGAAAAAAAAGAAAAAAGTCTATATATAAAAATCTCTTCACATATAAAATCCTGAAGAAGGTGCAAGGTAAGACCCAGTGCGAGGGGCACGCTCAGATACGCAGAGTGTGTGCGTGCATCTGTGTGTGTGGTGTGTGCATGCCGGTGTGGCTGTGCATGTGGTGTGTGCCTTGCTGTGCCTGTGTGTGTGCCTGTGTGCCTGTGTGCACGCCTGTGTGCAGTGCATGCCTGTGTGGTGTGTGCCCGTGTGGTGCCTATGTGCATGTCGGTGCGTGGAGTGCATGCCTGTGCGTGTGGTGTATGCTTGTGCGGTGCCTGGGTGGTGGGTGTGCATGTGTGGTGTGTGCCTGTGTGTGATAGTTGTGAGTGCACGTGTGGCCCACAGAGGGTGGGGAGAAAGCTTGGCTTCTGACTTCCATCCAGCAGGGAAGGAGGGCACCTGGTCCCCTTGGGCCGGGGGTCTGCAGCTGGTGGGACCACAAGGACCTGCAAGACAAAAGTGGAGAGCTGAGGGCTGGGAAGCCCCAGCTTGGCCCTGGGCCCCAGTGTGGCCTCAGCCAGGCAAGGGGGGCCTGGAGGTCCTTCTTGGCCCCGGAGGCTGGGCCTGACCTGCTCCTCCAGGCTTCTCCCCAAACAGCCTGGCGCACAAGGTAGCCTTTCCCTAGTGCCTTAGAAGTCCACAAGGGCTTGTCAAAAAGGGCGCTGTCCTCCATCAGGGATGTGAGAGCAGCGCTCGGTGGAGGAAACACTACCCTGATGCTGGTCTGAAGGGGGGCGGGTGGGCACCCTGGATTTGCCACCCAGCCTAGGCAGAGCAGCCAGGGTCACTATCGCTGTGTGCCCCTGAAGGCACATGTGGACTGACCAGGCCATGCCTGCGACACAGTCCCTGTTTACAGAAAGGGAAGCAGAGGCCGGGAGAAGGGCGTGCCCTGGACCAGGCAGCACAGCCGGGAGTGCACACCTCCAGGCCAGTGCCCGGGGGGCCCCGCGCCGCCCCGTGGCACCCACCTCTACTCGGCCACGCTGTTGCGCACGGCCTCCTTCTCCTGCAGGGCCGCCATGGCAAGGCGCAGATGTTCCTTCAGCTGCTCGATCTCCCGCTCCGAGCGCGTCTTGATGTGGTTCAGCTCCACGTAAACGTCCTGGTACTTTCCTGAGGTGAAGCGCTTGTCCTGGGGTGGGCAGGGGCTATGAGGGCACAGTCCCACCCTACCGGCCTCTGCCCATCTGCACATGCCCACCACACTCCGTGCTGGCTAGCACAAAGCAGCCAGGCCCCTCTATAGTCTCCACGGCCCTGTCTCTCCAGGTGGCCCCCCTGGTGGCCCTGGTCAGACCCCTCCCAGCACCACCCAGTGACACAGGTTTCAGCTTCACTCACATCCTGCTCAGGCTCAGGGAGGTGAAGCTTTTGCCCAAGAACACACGACAACCCACGGCTGGGATGAGAACCTGGTCATCCTGGCTCCGTTCCCCAAGTCTAAGTCACTCCCAGAGCCACTAACACAGACAGGGTGTCAACGACACAGGGACACGGCACCAGGCAAGCTGCAGACTCACAGACCCTGGGCCTGAATCCCAGCCTCCCAAATGCTAGCAGCATGGCTATTCCTCGTTGGAACACACGCTCAGCAGGGATTTTGGTCTTTTTTGTTCACAGCTGTGTTTGGTCTTTTTTGTGGTCTTTTTGTACCCAGCACGGTGCCTGGCACATAGCAGGTGCTCAATAAATATTTGCTGAATACATATAAAGCAAATGTGGACTTGAGCAAGTCACTTACCCTTTCTTAGCCTCAGTTTCTTTACAAATGGGGACAATGACACCTCTGTGAGAGAGACACAAGGACTGCCGGGCACAGAGCAGGCACTCACAGGGTGGGGCATCCAGGTGGAGTTGGAGGTTCCCACCCCAACACCCTGCTTCAGCCAGTAGGACCTACCTTCTGCAGCATCTGGAGCTCGTCCCGGAGGCACTGCACCTCCTTCTTCAGGTACTGAAGTTCATTCTCCTTCACGCGCAGCAGGACCTGGGGTCATGGGTGCCAGGGTCACCTGGGGCCAGAGCCTCCCCGCCCCGAGTGCACCGCAGCCTGCCCTCGGGCCCCTAGACTCTCTCTGCCTCGGGCCCCTAGACTGCAGCTCCCAACCTGCCCTCAGACCCACTGCTCCCCAGGGGCACACTCTCTCCCCGTTGTCCACACCAGAGCACCGGGCTCTCAACTTGAGGGCAAAGACAAAAGGAGGCCACAGCATGGCCCTCCTCTGAACCTGAGAGGCTGGGGCTCCCCACAAACTACCTCATTAACCCCTCCCCAAGCCCTGAGGGGCAGGTGTTGCAATCCTGACTTGACCAAGGAGGAGACAGTTTCAGGCAGACTGAGGAGGCTTCAAAGCTTAGAGCCAGACTGCCGGGTTAAAATCCCAGCTCCCACGCCAACTAGCTGTGTGACCTTGGGCAAGGTACTCGACCTTCCTTCCTGTATCTCAGTTTCTTTATCTGTAAAACGGGGATAGTAATAGCACGTACCTCATAGGGCTGTTAGGCAGATTTGGTGAGTTAAGAACTTTGGTTTATAGAAGTTCCAAGCACAGAATAAAGCCATGTATAAATGCGTAAAAGGAAACATAATATTGGGACCATGCTCGCATATCCTCACTGTGACTTCTCCCAGTAAGAAAGGTGCTATCCATTTTACAGATGAGCTACTGGCATTTAGAAAGGTGAGGCAACTGCCCTGGTCACACAGCAGGTAGGGGGCAGGGCCTGGATGGGCGGGCTGGACTCTGCAGCACTGCCAGCCACGCAGCAGGCGTCTTCCTAGCCATGCTGGCGTCTCCTCGCTGGGGCCCGGGCCCTGAGGACTAGCCAGGCTGCCTGGTGTGCCAACAGGCACTCACCTCCAGCTCACAGGAGCTCCGCTCGCTGCGTCCACAGCCACTGCCCGTGCCCTGTGAGGCGATGAAGCCGCGCAGCCGATCGATCTCCTCGGACAGGCGGGCATGCAGCTCCTGGAGAGGCGGGACGGTCAGTGCAGGGCTGAGGGGCGCCCATGCCCCCAGCCCGCCGGGCCAGGCTCACCTGGTTGTGGCGCAGCAGCTCCTGGCCCTCCTGCTGGCAGCACCGCAGCGTGTGCTCGCGCTCCTCGGCCTGCCGGGTCAGGGTGCCGATCTCCAGGCACTTCTGCGAGTACTGCTCCGACAGCACCTGCAGCTCCCGCTTCAGCGCCTCCATGTCGGACCTGCCCAGGGCACCAGGGACGGGGTGTGTGGGTTCGCCTGCCCTCCACCAAGCATGGCGCCGGGTCCTGGCAGACTCAACACAGCTCAGGCCTCCTGAGCTTGCACCCAACTTTGCTTTCAGCCCGAGTGGGGCTGTGAACAGGTGACCGCCTCTTGAGGCTACGGGAGCCTCCTCTGTGAGGGGTGGGCTGGAAGAGCCCATCCCTAAAGCTGCTGCAGCCTTGACACTCCAGACCTGTGCCCTGCAGCAGGGAGAGGGAGCGGCTGGCTGAGGGTGATACTGCAGCCCAGCTCTAGGAGGAATGAATGAGGGGAAGGGGAGTGTGGAGGCCGCGACCAGCCAGACAGAAAGGGGCCTGAAGAACCGTGTATGTGGATGGCAGGGGGGTGTGACATCCCTGTGCCACAATGACAGCAGTGGAAGTCTCAGGAGGGGGCACACTGACGTGTCCTCTGCCAAGGGGTCTCAGCACAGGTCCCTGACTCATGAATAGCAGTGTAGGCAGCTGGGCCCCTGGCTCACAGGGAGCGCAGCCTGCAGACCCCCGGCCCGAGTGCCATCTTACTGATGCTGCTTCCGGAGGCCGTCTGGGCCCTGCTGGAGACTCCGTGTCTTGCTCAGCTCTCGGCTCAGCTCCTCCTGGTAGGCCTTCTTCATGGCTTCGATGGCTGGAAGCAGGGCAAAGAGGTGATGGGGGGACTGGGGCGGGGTCAGCAGCACCAAACTCTACACCCTCTGATACAGGAGTGGCACGCACAGAGCACGGGACCAAGCTGTGTCATGAACTGAGTGGCTTTGGGGAAGTTGCTCGACCTTTCTAAGCCTGTCTAGTAAGAGGGGATAACAAGCCCTGTCTGGTGAACCCCACTGGGGAGACACCCCAGTGCTGACGATTGGTACCTCTTGTTAGTGATGGCTAGGTAGGGCCCCACACAGACCACTGTCCCCGCACCACCTGGAGGGTCCTTTAACAAGAGCCATCAGCTCTGCCCAGCTCAGTGGCCAAGAGTACAGGCTCAGCAGTTGGTAAAAATCTAGGCGACTTTGCTCCAGGAACTTAACCCCTCTGTGCTGCAGGTCCCCTCTCTGGAAGCAGGGTTAAATCAGCACCGTCTCCCATGTGTGAGCAGCAGACGTGTGTAAAGCACCCAGAAATGCGCACAGCTCAGACATGAGCTCCTAAGGACCGAGTCTCTTCCCACTCACACAGGGTCCGTGAGAGGGTTAAATGAGCCCTCACCCCTTGTCTCAACTATGATTCCAAACCCAAAGCTCTGAACATGAAGTTTTTCCTAACTTTTTTGGAGTTGCAACAATCTCTGACCTGAACAGACATAAGGCTATTTGAGGTCATTATTATCCCATTTAAGGGTGACATTCAGATATTTCATTGTGCAAACCTTAGTGTGAGCTTTCAGGGGGAAATCCAGACCCTGCTGGGGGTGGGGAGGACGCCTAGTACATGCACTGGGCTATCTTCCTAAAATGCAAAACACACCGGCCCCAGGGCTTGGCACGAGGGGCCATGGGCCTGAGTGTGTGAAGCAAGTAGCAGGCAGTAAGTCCTAGATCACGTGATCTCTCATCTCCACCATTCTACGACCCCCTGCAGGGACACGGGCTGCACCAGGCACATGCGGCAGGTGGACAGTTGACAGAGGTAGGGAGCTGCCTAGCACCTTGGTCAGGCACTCCCATCTCTGTCCTGGGAGAACAGAGGGTGACTTCAGACACGACGTTGCAGTCAGGGTGCTCTGGGCCCCAACTCCAGCTTCTGCTGCCTCTAAGCTGTGCCATCTGTGACAAATCCCTAACCTCTCTGAGCTCCCGTTTACCATCTATAACCTGAGCCGCTCGCTCTCTTGGGCACTGCAAGGACTAGGACTGGGTAATGAGGCTTGGTAAGCGCTCCCACTTTCCCCCGCTCTCCCGGGGCCGGCCTGTGCGCCCAGTGAGACACCGCCTGTGAGAACTGGCTGTGAGGCTCAGCAGTGTCTCCCTGACCATGTGGCATGGACCTGGGCATGGAGTTGCAGCTCAGTATGTACATGGCTCGAGAAGGACCTTCCAGAGGCTGCAGGGCCCAAGGGGGAGTGCTCACAACTGATGGGGAAGTGTCTTTTTATTGTCTCACTTCCTCCTCAGGTAGGGTCAGAGGACAGTTCTGGGGGCTTCCAAGTCCTCCTGATCCCTTACCCCAAGTCTGGCACCAAGACCCCAGCCTCTTATTTAAAAACCTCCTGAATCCAGTGAGGAGAAGCCTCAGCTTGCAGGTTCAAGGGGCCCTGCAGTGCCACGCCCGCCCGGGACCCTCACCTGAGGCTGTGGCGGCCGTCTCCTCGGCCAGGAGCCACTCCTTCTCCTGCTGCAGCCTCTGCAGCTCCCGCTCATGGTGCCGCTGCAGCTCCTCCATCACCTGCTGGTGCGAGGACTCCATCTCTGCCAAGCTGCGCTCCCACGCCTCCTGCAGGCGGGAGGCCAGCAGGTCACGTGGCTGCCCCCATTGCCTGGGACAGGGGCCCCATTTCTGCCTCAGGAGCAGGCCTACCCCGGGGGCCAGGTTCCACCTGGACCCTGGCAACACCAGCCTGCATCTGCCCCATCCACCCTCTACTCCCCCATCTCCAAACCTCGCCTCATCATTCTGCTTCAAACCCTTCTGAGGCTCCTATCCTGCAGGGTCAGGTACCTGTTCGCAGTTCTGACCCTTGTAGCCTCACCCCTGGCCTTTCCCTACCAAGAAACCACAGTTATGAAAACCAGTTCACAGCATATCATGCCTCTGAGCTGGAGCTCATGCTACTTCCACTACCCGGAATATTCTTTTGAGTCTTTCTCTCCCTGGGTAAATCACCAGACCTGCAGTCCAGCTTAAATGCCCTGTCTCTGGAAAACCTCTCCCCTGCCACCAAAGGCTTCTTCCCACCAGACCACAAGTTCCCCGAAGACAGGGAACATCGGGTCCTGCTCAGAGTCCCCAGGGTCCAGGCCGGGGCCTGACCCGCGGATCAGACTGGGAGAGAGTCACGGCGACGGGGCGCATGGAGGGCAGTTTGACGGCACTGATGCATTTTTAATGATGCCACCCCCCCCACCCAGCAGGTCCACTCGTAGGAATGGCCCCATGAAAAGTCGCACGTGCACAGAAACTCTGGGAGGAGGGCATGTCTATGGCGAGATGGCAACACACGGGAACTGGAAACACCCTAAACGAACAACTCTTAAATAAATGATGAGATCCAGCGTTACCAAGGGCACAGCGGCTGTTAAAAGACAGGGCTGCCCACATGGGCTGCGGGGAAAGGAGTCTGCCGAGTTAGGTGGTAAAAGCTGGCTTCTGGCGATAGCCCTGGGGCGATCCCAGTCAGGGAGACAAACACACGGAGCCTGACCCAGGGGGCATGTAAGCAAAAACTCAGAAAAGGCAGGAAGGACATGGGGAGGCCCAGTGCTGGCCCCCACAGATGTCTAGGTCCTGCGCCCTGGCACCTGCGCATGTCACCTTACACGGCAGCGGCGGGGAACTGAGCTTGCTGATCACGTGACCTTAACAGAGCGAGATCATCCTAGATGCCGCACAGGCGCAGAGTGGCCACGGGGTCCACAGGTGTGGAAGAGAAGGCAAGAGAGGAGGGAGAGGGAGAGGGAGTGGCTGTGCAAGGCTGGAGAGGAATGGAGTGGAGTTGAGAAGGACCCGACTCCGTACACTTTGAAGATGAAGGAGGGGCCACAAGCCACGGAAGGTGGGCATCCACTAGCTGCTGAAGAAACTGGATCCTGCCCAGAGCTTGCAGTAAGAGACGCAGTCCTATGGCCGCCTGGGTTTTAGCCCGTCCACAGCCACGCTCGACTTCTATGCTCCCAAAGTGGGAGATGACGAACAGGACACTACATAGAGGTGCTCAGGTGGGACTCTAGGTGACCCCTGGGGCACGGGTGTGCGGGGCGGGGGGGGCCCAGGCAGGGGAAGGAGAATCCATGTGTTTATTTCTACCCTCGTTTGAATTACTTATGAAAATGCAAATTACCTATTATGCAATTAAAAAATATTTAAGATCATTATGCCCTGGCTGGAACAGCTCAGTGGATTGAGCGTGAGCCTGCGAACCAAAGGATCGCGGTTTGATTCCCAATCAGGGCGCGAGCCTGGGTTGCAGGCCAGTTCCCAGCAGGGACTCACAAGAGGCAACCACACATTGACATTTCTCTCCCTCTCTCCTTCCCTTCCCCTCTAAAGATAACTAAATAAAATCTTTTAAAAAAAGTTAAAAAAAATTTTTAAGACCATTAAAAAGGGAAGGGGAAGAGTCAGGAAGAACCAAGGCATGGAGGGTCAGAGAGGAAACTGTATCCCCCAGGGCACAGGGCACAGGGCACAGGGCACTCAGTGACAGGGGTGACACCCACTCCTCCAGCAGCCACACCTCGAAGGCCACTTTGGGGGAAGGGCAAGGGCAAGGCCATCGGGGTCCAGGTGTTCTAGGTAGTGAGAAGGGTGTCTGTCCCACTGGGACTCAGTCCCTGTCCTCTGTGTCCTGAGTTAGGACAAGAGAACCCCGCTTTGGAGCCCCGCTCCTGGCTGTGCCCTGGAGTGAACTTCAACAAGCCACTTCCCTTCTCCGAGCCTCGGTCTCCTCATTTGTAAAACAGGGCCCAGAAAACCAACTCCAAGGGTTCCCAAGGCAAGCCAGCACCCAGCTGCAGAGCCCACCCACCTGCAGAAGTCAGAGAAATACGGGGGTGGAGACCTACTCTCAAAGGGCCAGTCAGGCAGGTCCGTAGCTGGCCAACAGGGGCTCAGGGGCTCTTGTCAGGAGACAAGAACCAGCTGACATGGATCAAAGTGGACAAAGAAAGCTTGTGGCCCCCAGTACAAAAACATGGAAGGGTCCCCTTTGTTAGAGAGGCATTATAGCCCCAGACCCCCAGCTGCTGAGCTGTGGTGGCAAGCCCCGCCAACTAAAAGAGGGACGTCCGCTCGGCCTAGGATACCAGGTTGGGAACTCCCTCCCCAGCTGTCACCTCTCCAGGGTCCACTGAATCACCAGCTGCTTCCTCCAGTGTGTGAGCGAGACACAGACGGACAAGCTCCTCTCCTCTGGCACCTTCTGCATCTCGGGCCACTCTTCTTCTCCTGTCTCCTGCTCTCCATTTCCCCTTCGGTCCCTTCTCACTGCCCCCACCAGTTCTGCCTGCTCCCTTTGCCCACCCAACCTAGCAAGACAAGACGCTGACAGCCCTGGGGGTGCCCAGTGGGGTCCCCGGGGCCCAGGAGGCCTGCACTGCAGGCACAGACCTGCCTCCAGCTCAAAGGTCTGGCCTCCCCTCTGGGCCTCAGTTTCCCTATCAGTAAGCTGAGAAGTTAGAGAAGTGCTTTTCAAGCTTCATTTTAGTGGCAGAAGCCATTTTCCAAAGGAAATCGAATGCACTTTCTAACAGTAAAACGGGCGGAGCTGCACTGATCCCTGGGGGACAGGAACGGACCCACGGGAAAAGCGGTCCCTGGGAGACCCCGGCTCTGCAGAGCACAGCTGTGGCCCTCGGGGCGGGGCCCCACCCTGCCTGGGGAGGCCCACCCACCCCTTCCTTTGGCATCAGGGGAGCCTTGGAAAATACTGGTCCCTACCCTCTCCCCCTTCCCCTTATCAGGCGACCCCCAAGCTAGCCCTCCAAATCAGGCCCGAATTCCCCTGGGCCCTGGTCTTCTTCCTTCAACTGAACTGCTCAGCCCCAGACGGGCCCCCAGGCCTCGTCAGCAGCCCTAACCTTAGGGCTCCCGGGCTCCCCCGCTGCCTTCCTTGGGCCCAGTCCTAAACCCTCCTCTCCCCACATACCCCTCTCCATCCCTCTCTCCCACAGTTATCATCCTAGCTCCTGACACTGGCCTTGGCCCCGCCCCTCCAACACTGCCTTCCCAATGTCACTATCAGACCCCAAACCTCCTCAGGTGTTGAGGACAAGATCCCAACTCCTTGGCCTGGCAGTCGAGGTCTCCAGGACTGGCACCCAGCAGCCTTCCATCACAGCCCATGCCCCCGCCCCACCCAGGGCTCAGCTCCGTGCCCACCCCGGGAAGGCTTCCTGAGAGCCCCGCACGGCAACCTCTCCCCTCGGAAGTTTCAGAAGGCCCCTCTGCTCAGAGCCTGGGGTCCCAGCATGCTCTTCTGCTTCAGGAAATGGTGCTCGGACTAGAGGCAGCTGATTATCAAACTTTTAGAAATCTGATGACGCAGTTAAGTACTGGACATTATTAAAAATTATATAAGCTTATAATTAATTACATTAAAAACAAAGCTGATACTCAAAATTCATCACTTCTTATTAGTTCACAGCATTTTATTATTGTCTGTGCTGGAGGCTATCGGTCTTCTGCGCCTGTGCGGTAGGAATGCTCTAGAGTGGTGCGCAGGCGCCCTCCCAACTCCGCGCGCGGGTCCTCCGGCCCCGGGGGGACTTACACCACGGACATTGGTACACGCTACAAATCAGGACTCAACGTATTGTGCTGTTGACCGTCTAGACTTAAGCGAGTGGTGAGAAAACGATAACAATGCAGGTTAAAGTTAAAAGTGGGCCGCATCTATGACCACCACACTGTAAACAGAACACAGACCTGAGGAAATACTTGTGAGAAAATATTCTCAATAGAGAACTATCACCCAGCTCAGCCACAAAATCGCTCATGACATTGACCAAGGAAAGTTTCAACACGCTTCTCGCCTCCCTCGGTGACATATGCAAAAACGCCCACCAGCACTCAGGCCAGAGCCACACCTGTCTGTCGGCCGTGGATACAAACATTCAGAAAAACCCGTGACGGTGCTCTGAGAAAACTCAACTTGCTGTGTGGAAGTTACAATAGAAATATGATGGATTTTCTATTTGTAAGCTGTGTACTAAACACGCTTTGTACCAGTATATTTTATAATCAACATACATTGTACATACATATAGTGCATATTTAAGTACGCGTGTACGCACGCATGTCTTTTTTCTGGAAAGCTAGTTGTCCCCATGGTGATAATCAAAAGTGTCTGCAGACATGGCCAAAGGTCCTCAGGGGAAAGAACAGCCTCAGCTGAGCACTTCTGTGGGACGTGGCCTGTGTGTCCCCTGAGGGCCCCTGGAGGCCTCCCAGCCCTGCGGGCTCTCGTGAGGGCCCAGCCTGGCAGGCCCGAGCAAGGTCTCCCTGTCGAGGGAGCGCCTCCCAGGAGCTGCCCACCGGGCTGCCCCTCCGCACGGGCTCCCTGCTTCCCCAGGGCGGGGTGGGGAAGCTGGACTAAGTGCAGTGTCACATGAGGGCGGACGTCAGACCCGAGCTCTGACGTCTGTAGGCCAGCTGACCTTGGGCAAGTCACAGGACCTCTCAGCCCAGAGGCCTTGTCTATAAACGGGCAGGGAGCTCACGTCCACCCACTGGAGCGATTCAATGAGGCAACGCATGTCAAATGCTGCCTACGGTGCTGGTGCACAGGAAGGGCTTCCAAAGCATTAGCTGTTCTCTGAAAACATGGCAACCAGAAACTTGCCCCCCTCCCCCAAAAAACAGCTCTTCAGCCTCACCTGTGAGATGTAGCCTGGGGGGACGTGGCCATCCTCCTGAGGCCTGGGTGCACTCGCAGGAGCCTCCCCTTGGAGGCGCCACGCCTCCAGCTGAGCACGAAGAGACTGGACCTGTGGAGGGAGGAGAGGAGGTCAGCAGGGGGACTGGGAGTGGAGACGGCACTGGCAAGAGGCAGCAAGGAGCTCTGGATTGCAGACATGGCCCTGGTGGGAGATGCAGGCAAGGGGCACGTTCTGGCTGTTTCCCCAGATGGCGGGGTCACAGAGCCAGGATAGCTCTGGCCCAGCAGACACCAGATGGGGCTGGGAACAGACCAGGGCAGCCGCAGGTCTGCGCATCATGCAGGTGGCAGGGAAACCCTCTCTGTGCCTCAGCGCCCCATCAGTGAGGCTGCGATGAGATCTACCGTAGGGGACTCCGAGGCCCCTGTAAACAAGTATGAACCTCTACAGGTCAACAGAGCCCAAGACAAAACACTCCATAAATGGTCTCTTTCCTCGTCCCTTCTCTGTGGTTTCTGAGGACAGAACTAAGAAGGAAAAAGAAAAATAAACAAACAAGCAAACAAACAAAAAACCCAAGGTCCAGAGAAGAAGATCCCAGTTTACCAGGAGGCTGGGGTGTCAGACACTGGATCAGGGGTAAGCTCCCCATCGCTGTAGGTATACATGATAAATGCCATAGCGCAATGGTAGGGGCAGGAGGGGTATTGATGGGCCGAGGGGGCTCCCACAGGCCAGCCATGATGTCTACCTCCTTCTCCAGTGCCTCATGGCTGTCACTTGGGGGACCCCGGCGCTCCCCGCGGCTCTGGTTAAGCAGGGCGGTGAGAGGCACCCGCTTGTTCTCCCGCAGGGGCAGCTTCTCCAGCTCCTGCCACTTTTTCTCGATCTCCTCACTGAGCCGACTCTGCTGGTCCTCGGTCAGGGGGGCCCCCAGGCCCCGGCGGGGCCCCTCGCCAGCCGTTGTCTCTGCAGTCCTGCTGTCCACGGCCTCGAACCACCTGCGTCGCTCCTCAGAGCGCTGGGCCAGGTCCCGCTCCAGCTCCTCCTGCTTGGCGGGGCGCTCAAGAGTGCGAGCCGGGGTGCGGGCCCGCTGCGGGGAGCCCTGAGTCAGCGGGGAGAGCTCCACGTAGTCCAGGGATGGCCGCTGTCCATCTGCCTTCCGAGGGCCGCCACGGCTGATGACCTGGGAGCCCGCGCGCTGCTCCCCCGCCTTCGAGGGGCCCTTCTGGGGGCCGCAGCTGTGCAGCGTGTTCTCCTTGTTGCAGTCTGAGAGCCTAGGGAGCCAGCAGAGCCACGTCAGGCAGGGTCCTGCCCACTCGGTCCTGACACAAGTACTTGTGGAGTGTCACCGGCGTGCCATGGCCTGGGGATGAGCCCAGCCGAGGCAACAGCCTGACCCAGAGGTGAGAACCAGAGCGTCACCGTTAACGCACCCCAGGAACCACCCCACCCCCACCGCCAACCAGCAGAGGGACCAGGCTCGCTCTGCTCCCGGCATCGCTCTGCTCCCCAGTCACTCATTGCCACAGGGGACAACAATGCCTCTCACAGGATGAGTGTGAAGACCAGGCGGCTGAATGTGTGCAGAGCAACCAGGAAGCCCGTGCTGAATGGTGATCAGAGGGTTATCATTAAAGTATGGTCTGAGACAAGGTCCTGGGTTCAAGGGGCTCACAGTGGGACAGGGGAGATGCCCGTGGCCACTGCTGAGGAGGTGACACTGCGGAGACGTGAAAGCTGTGGCAGTGCTCCCCCTCTTCTGTAACAACAGCTGGGTATTTGGTCACCCAGCATCCCTTGCAGCAATGTGTGGCCATGTGCCCACATCCTGCCCAGTGGAAGTGACAGGTGGCGCCCTTTACAGGACTGGGTGTGCCCTCGCTTGGCTCCTGCCTGTGGCTCTGGGAGGACCCGGGCAGCTTCCTGAGCCGCAGGCAGAGCTGTGAGTCGAGGGCCACAGAGCTGCCCGTCGGGGGCCTCTGCACTGTTCTGGAGAGAAAAATGAACCTCTCCAGGCTTAAGCCACCGTGTTTGGAGCCCCTCTGTTACAGCAGCTGAGTGTGCACACTAAGTAACAGTTCGGCCACACTGTGCTTCAGTTCGCAAAGGGCTTCTGTGCATATTCTCACGACAAACAGTCTGACAGATAAAGAATCTGAAACTCGGACAAGAAAGCCCCTGGCATCAGGGCTAAACAGCCAGGCTGTGGGACAACAGGGGGACTTGCGCTTGACGCCCCTCAATACCAAGTCTCCATGCCTGCTGCCCAGCAGCCCCGAGCCCCAGCCCCATGGGCATCTGGGGTTTACATGGTGTGGGGGCTCTACCACCAGGTAACTGAGCCCCCCTTCTCTACCAATGGGGACCTCAAAAGGGAGTGAGCTCCCCTCCCAGACGGCCCAGCCAGCTCCTCTCTCCAATGCGGGACAAGACACAGGTCCCACAGCCACCCACAGACAACCAACTAGCCACGTAGGGGGGCCTCTGACTCACTGACATCTTCTCCAAAGAGCTGAAGCCTCTCCCCACCCTTTCAGGATGGACAGAGAGGGACAGCACTCAACCCGCAAATCCTCAATGTACTTCTGGGGGACTGCCAGGAAGGCTCACTGCCCTCACCCCATTTTGTTGTTAGAGAAACCGAGCCCCAGAGGGTACAGACAGTGGGTCCGCAGGTGAGTGCCAGAACGTCACTCAAGGACGCAGAGTAAGTGCCTCCCCAGAGCCTCGGTCCCACCCAGCACATACTTGGTGACATCTGGGGCTGAGGTGGGACGCACGGTCTTCCTCAGAGCTTCGATCCAGTTCCTCCGGATACCCGAGGTCATGGCCGACAAGGTGTAGACAGCATCCTTAGTCTGCAAGTCCACCCCACAGGTAAGTTGCCACATGCCAGCCCCTCCGCTCCCTCCCCGCTATGGACCCCAGGGAGGGGGGCCCTTCCCTCCCAAGAGGGTGTCTAAGGGTCTCGAGCCTGGAGGCGAGAAGGTGCAAGTGCAATACTTCCCCTCTACCACCCAGCCTCGGAAGAGCCCCACTGGCTCCAAGGCCTCCCCAGCATTTGAACCGTCCCTGCCAGTGACACCCAGGGTCTCCCCATACGTGCTGTCTGCAGCAGAGCTCCTGACTGGCTCTGAGGATGGGGTCTGTGCGGATGAGTGACAGAGCCGGTCTCTGACGAGAGCCATGCTCCACACCACCCCCTCCTCTGGGGGCCACACAGTCACACCGCCCCCCTCCCGCCGCACACAGCCTCACATGAATCTGGAAGCCATAGTTGCGCTGCACTGCGTACTCGGTGACGTCGGTGCAGGAGCGCAGGTCAATCTCGCCATCCAGCTCATCGGCCTGCAGTGGGAAGGCCACGGCAGTCCATGAACTCCAGCGACCCCGCCCACGTCCTGCAAGCCCCTTCCAGGGATCCCCCAGCACCTCACAGGGGAGGGAGTCCTCCCGCCCCGCTGTCTCACCTCCTCAGCGGTGGAGTCCCTGTAGTACTTGAGGCTTGAATCGGTCAGCACAAACCAATGCTTCTTCCACTGCAAAGGAGGGGCGGTGGTGAGTGGGGAAGGAGGGGCAGTGGAATGGGAGAGTACGCGTGCGTCACTCTTCAGGCGTCCTGGGTGCTGCCAGGCCAACTATTCTGCGCACAGCAGGGGCCCAGCACCCTCTTGCACCCTGCTGAGGGGTGGGGGGCAGGGACGGGGCAGAGGGAGAAAACCTGCAGCTGAAGCCTGGCCCTCCATTTCCTCTCTGAGCAGCAGGGGCAGCATCTGTGAGACGGGTCAGCGTCTCCTCAGTAACCACGCCCTCCCTCCCCTTCTGGGGGCCCTCCTGGAGCTGGGAGCACTGCCGTACGCATGCTGATCCTTTCCGCCAAGATCGCTAAGGCTCCTGCAAGCACATGCCCCCAGTGCAGACCAGGAAGGGGTCCTGACCTGTGTAAGGCCAGAACTTCCCAGGTCCTTTTGCACCTGCCCCTCTGGGTCTCCTCGGTCACCAGGGGCAGGTCTCTCAGAGACAGGACTGGCAGGTGGCCCCGAGAGGGCAGCGGAGCACTGGTCATATTCTGCTTCCGGATCTGGAGGCTAGTTACCTGCACGCTCCCCTTGTGAGGTGCGTCACCTGGAGGTTTATGATTTGGGCACCTGTCTGTAGTGCCTTTCTCTGCTCCAGCTCGGGTGAGACTGGCAGAACACATGGAGAGGAGAGGCGTGGGGGCACGGGACGGTGTGGTACTGAGTGTGCCAAGCTCAGCCCTCCTTGGCTTTTAGCCACTAACTGGAATCCTGCTCAGGGTCCACCCACTGTCAAGGTCAGTGCACGTCACCCAGTCCCCAGCGTCTCCTGGGGCTCCCACATGTCCCCAACCTACCCACACTCATTATTTCAAGTACTTAGGGATTTTTTCCCTCAAAAAAATGGTAAGTTTTCAAGGATGGGCCAGGATGACACTTTCTACTTCTTTCCGTACTGCCTCCCCTAGCATTCAAAGAGGCCTGGGTTACAACCATGTTATCCCTTGCCAGCTGACTGTCTCTAGTTAAATATCTTGACCTCTCTGAGCTTTGGTCTTCTAACTTGCAAAGTGGGGCTAACAGGAAGTCCCTAAGCCTTCCTGTGAGGTTGGACGTTCCTGCTCCACCCTCGTATGTCTCTCATGGCACTTGGCATAGGGTTGGCACTACACGGTTGGGACTGCTCTAAAAGGCTGGTCCCCTTCGTACCCCCTGCTCTTACTGAGCATCCTGGGCTGCTGCTCAGGACCTCCACTGTCCCCCTGTAACGTAGGGCAGGGGTTCTGCGCCAAATGATGTCCCAGGCCCTCCTAGGCCCAGTCTATGACTGTCTGCGGTGGGAGCCAGGCGGAACTCTGAGGGCCTTGGGTGCCCCGAGTCCCAGGCCTGGGTCTGTCCTAGGTACTGCTAGGACCGGAACAGATCGAGGTCCTCGTGGTCCTGTCTCCTGTCTGCACACGGGGCTGGCTGGCTGAGCCCCCAGGGCCCTTCCAGTTTGGGCATTCCAAAACCCCATGCAAGAGAATGCGTAGCGGCCAGTTCTGGGTGGGACCCATCATCTCTGCCCTCTAGAGACCTGGGGTGGGGAGGCCAGGATGGGTCACTGGCAAGGCACCAGGCCTCGTATGAGGCTGGAGCCCGGCTACCAGAGGACAGCAAGTAGGCAGCGGGCACAAAAGGCTGTGGGCTGGAGGGAATAAAGCGTGTGGGTCGGAAACACAATGCGATTCGCTTTGGCTCCAAGCCTCCTGGCATGTGGGCTGCACACAGACCCAAGCCACGAGCGTATGCAGGACAGGGGCGGGAAGACGTCCCCTCCCAAGGTGGGTGGGCAGAAAGCCAGCACCAGCTCCAGCCCAGAAACCAAAAGGGCAGAACCTGTAAGAGGCTACTGTCCCTTCTGGTCTAAGGATAGATACAACAGAGAAGGGGAAGGACTATGACTGAGGCCCTAGCAAACACTGGGGGCTATGTGGGACCCTTCACGTGCTTGACATCTGTGACATCTGTGACCCAGCAGGGTCAGCGAGAGGTGGGGACCAGGGGACTCTCGGATGGGTACAGAGCCCGAGGGGCCAGGAGGTCCCCCCACCCCCAGGACTCTTACACACTGCAGACTGCTCCAGGAAGCCTCTGCCTTCCCACTCCCACAGCCCAGGGCTGGACAAGAAACACCCTGACCTCAGAGCTCCCATGCCTGGTCCTCAACCTGGACCCCCTCTACCCAGAGCCCGGGGTCTCTACAAAGCTGCACAGGCCAGGGAAGCAGCTCAGCCTCCTGGCTGCCCGCGAGGACCTTACAAAGCCCTGCAGCAACTACCCGCCTCCTCTCCACATCAGCCCTCATACCTCTCCAGGCTCGTCCAAGATCGACATCCATCCCTTCTTGAAGTTGAGCAGATCAGGCTACGGGGAGATGAGGAAGCAGATGAGTCAGGCCCAGTGGAAAACCCAATGGGGCTGGGGAGGAGGGGATGCTGCACCCATCCTGACCCTGAGCCCTGTAAGACTAAGGGCCTGGGAAGCCAGGAGAGAGGGCTAAGGGTCCAGGTAACCCCTCAAATCCAGACAGGCTTCCCAGCGCCGCAGCCCTGGCCCCTTTCCCCAACATCCGGCAATCTCTGATTGCCAAAGAGGGTGGACCAGGTGACTGGCCCCCCCTCCCCAGAGATGTTCAAGCTCCCCTCCCACCTGCCAATTTTCTCATCCAAGAATGGGAGAGAGGGGGCCAAGAGAACAGTGTCTGTAGAGAGACCCTCGGAGAGCTCAGAAAACAGGCTGGACCAGCACGGTGAGCAAACCATCCAGCTCCCTTACCGACAAGGCCCGGGCCGCCCACCAGGAAAATGCCTACTACTGCTGCCCAACCCTGGCCCACTGGCCCTCCAAGGGTCCAACCACCCCTGCCCTTCCCTCGTCTCCTGCAGACCCTGAAAGGTGGAGCCAAGCACAAGCTGGGGTCAGAGATCCTCTGGTCCTCCCTAGATCTCTGGATGGGCCATTCTTGGCAAGTCCTACCTGCCGAGTGCTGCCCAGAGGGGCACGGCCCCGGTGTCTGGGGGCTCCTAGCTGCAGCATATTCCACAGGGGCCTGTGAGCTATGCACCCCCATCTAGGCCTAGCTAAAGAAACTGCTCATTCTGGCATCTTCTCTGGCCAGGTCCATCTGGTGGGTGCCAAATACCAGACCCTCCCTGCCTGCAGGGGAGGCCTCTCTAGTCTAAGTCCCGGTCCCTCTGCAGAGTCTCAGCTCCTGTCCACTGGGAGGAGAGTAGGGCGGGCCAGGCTGGTGGGCAGGAGAGAGGCATCCACCTGTTGCCATGGCTCTGAGCCCACCTATCAGCATCCGCATCGCAGCCTCACCAGGCCAAGGTGTCTGGTTGCGTGACAGGAGCGGGTGGCATGGCTCAAGTGGGGTGGGTGGCCAGGAAGGCAGCTGGAAACCTGGAAACCAGAGCCACCTGACCTAACCACCTCCCCTGACCTGCCTTCCTCCTAGGGAGCCCCCTTCTCCTCTTCATCAGCTGGAGGAAGTTGTCTGAGGAGCTTGGCCCAGGAGCCTGGACATTCAGAGTCCTGCACAGTCACAGCCAGCCCCTGGATCTCAGCAGGCTGACAGCCCCACCCCTGCATTAAAGCCCCTCCCTGCATACCTATCTGAGGGAAGGGACTCAGGCTCTGTTCAGACCTGAGAAACTTCTGGATGGTGTTCATCCTATCTGCTCCACATTTCTCCCCTCCCTGTTCTCCAAATGTGCAGGCATCTCAAGCTGAGACTGAATGAAGACTGGTAGCCCTGCTCCCGGCCACCAAGTGATTTGGGTTCACTTGCATTCAGTCTGGGGCCTCCATGGGCCCAGGACTAGGCATGCTGTGACCAGATCCCAGGGGAAATCTGCCGCACACCTATCCACCATCCCTTGCCCCGTCTGATTTCTGTGCTTGCAGACAGTCTCCATGCCCACCCCCTGGCCCTGAGGAGCCAGGCTTTCTGGGATGGCCCTAAGTGATCAGCCATGGACTTTCAGAGGGCGAGAAAGAGCTCCCCAGCGGGAATGACAGACCCCGAGGGCTGCCTGGGAAGTGGGGCCACAGTCATATCCCTTCCTTGAGCCCATGTGGTAAATGATGTGGGGTCCTGCCCTCCCTCAAGTTTTATGAGACCTGAATATGCCACCCATGGAAAAGCCCAGGGACCCTCTGGAAGTGGGTACAAACATGTCGTACACCACATGAGGCACAGGATGGCACAGCGACCTTGGGAGAGGAGGCTGCCAGTTTGAGCTTTTAAACTGCTGGCAGGGGCAGTCCTACGGTTACTGGGGAACCCACCCTGCCAGGGTCGAAGGTCTGATAACCTGAATCTCTGCACCTTCACACACGGCCCTCCAGGTCCCGGCCGCCTTTGCTCCACCTGCAGGAGGCTCACTTTGTCCCTCTCCTTAAAGGAGCACCCACTGGCTCCCACAGCCCACCCGCCGCCCTCTGGCTACAGGTCTGCACTGCCTCCTGCCCACATGGACTTCGGCATGGCCTCCTCCATGCTCCGTCTGGCAGAGGGACCCACTCAAAAAGGCCTAGTTGTTACATGTCTGCTTAACACTGCCGGGGATGGCTCCAGGTGGCTTCAAAACAAAATCCAGTACACGTGAACCTAATTTAATAACGTGTGTCAACTGTGATTAAAAAATCAAAACGACTTAAAAATGGGAAACAAGCAAACAAAATCCAGCTGCCTTAGGATGGCACAAAAGCTGCAGCCCCACCCTTACAGCCCAGCTTCCCTCCGGCTTTGGGGGCCCCGTGTTTATGTCTCCACACACCCTCACTGACCCCCGACAACAGGACTTCAGCCCACCCGCCGCATGCCTGTGTGCGCTGCTCCACCAGCAGGCAAATGCCTCCTTGTGCTTTAAGACCCAGCTCAGTTGCCTCCTCTGAGGCCTGTGCCCTAGTACGCACGCGCACCACGCCAGCAGCCCTCCCGGTCCCTGAGACACATCTGCAGAACCCGTGGTTGCCTTGCACACATTTACTTGTCCTTCACAGGCTCGACTAGAAGCAACTCACAGGCAGGGACATGCACCATTCACCACCACCACTCCCCCACAACCCAGAGAATGTTTGTGGAATCTTATTTTTCTTTTAAGTATCACACACTGTTCTAGACCAGGAAGTCAACTGTGAACAAGAGATGTGGCCCTATCCTGGTGGAAGTCAGGAGACAGACAGACGATAAACAAATGTACAGGTATATAATTTGTTGCCAGGCAGGGGCTGGGGAATGCGGCTTGGGGGCAAGGCTGTCCCCGGCTCAAGCAAAAGGAGGCATTTCCCCACTCACAGCACCTTTCCCACTTGATCTGTACAGATCCCTGAGGTCGGGGAGACGGGGCCAGGACAGAGGAAGGGGTATAAGGAAGGCACAGCAAGGACACCAGCCTGGAGCAGGCTCGGGACTGTCAGCGGGGATCGTCAGCCTCCTCTCTGCTTCAAACCTCTCATGGCTCCCTCGTAACCCCGACCAAAGCCTAAGCTCCTCCTGGACTTTGGGCCCCCTTTCCATATCTTCACCATTCCCCAAATATGCCCCAGCCTCTGTGCTCACTGTTCACGCCCCAGCCCCTCCACCTGACCACCCCCTACAATCACAGGAAGGCTCCGCCCAGCCCCCCATGTGCTGCTTCCAGCAGCCTGACCCTAGCTGAGCACGTGCTTCCCCAGGAGAGGCAACTGTGTACATTTCTTATCTCCCTGCCCCACCACCCCCCATGCCACCGGAGAACTGGGATAGCCCTTGGATACCAACTCAGGCTCAGCCAGGGCCCAGAGCTGTATCACCTCTAACATCTGGGTGACCTCATCTGTTAGATGGGGAGTTGCCATCAACCTCTGGTGGATCAACTCTGGTAATGCAAAAGCACCCAGTTCAGGGCTTGGCAGGCACTCCATGGGCAACAGACCACCCTCCCCCTGGCCTGGGGGCACGAGGGCAGGACACTGACTCAGCTCCACCTCCACATTCCTCTTTGGTCTCTGGCAGGGCAGGGCAGGGGAGGCTGCTGACGACAGGAAGGGCCAGCAGGGAGGTGGCAGGATGTGCGGAGGCCGAGGAAGTCCAGGCAGCGGCCAGGTCATCATACTCACAGGGGCAGGGCCCTCTCCCCAACCACCACCCCGCCCCCAGCAGCCCAGACCACTTCACTGGCTTCTGGAAAGGGGACAGGCCCCTGCACATCCACGCCCTGCCTAGAACCCCTCTCCTCAACAGCTGTCACAGCTCCCTAAGGCACGAGTCAGAAACCAAAAGCAGCCCTGCCCTTCCCTTCCAGAACACCACAGGCCAGAATGACCTAGAAAGGAGCTACTCCTTTCCTCACACCCAGCGTGACCTCGGGCAACCTACCAAAGCCTCAGTTTGTCCAACTGTAAAATGGGGGATAAGGGGGAACTCAGCTGTGAGGCATGATATAACAATTAGGGCACAGGTATTGATGGAAATAGGGTAAGGCTCACCTTCAACAGAAAGACATATACCCGCCATCACGTCCCCCACCCTCATTCACAGGTACCCCCCAAGCCCCCCGCCCCGCGTTGGGGCAAGCCTGGGAGAATGTGGTATTCTGCTACTCCAGAAATCCTAGGATGGGCTCCCTGATAAGGTGGGATGCAGACCCCTTCTCACCCACCTGCCCCCAGAGACGCAGGCAGTCTTCCCAAGCCCAGGTCAGCGAGACCTTCGGACCCGAAAGGCGCCTCTCTCCGCCCCGGGCCAGCCCCCAGCCCCAGGCCAAGGACATCTGCGCTCCTCCCACGGTCCGGAGCCCGGAGCCCCTACGGCTCTCGCAGCTTTGAGGGAATCAGGTCAGGTCTTCACTAAGAGAACTGGACGAGAGGTGGGAAAGGGTCCCCCTGAACCGGTCCGTAACTGGTCTCGCAAAAGTGAGGACGGGGGTGCCCATGACGGGGCTTTCCCAAGTACTCAGGGTCTCCCGGGCTCCTGGCCCGGAAAGGTGAGGAGTATGCTGGGGAGAGGTGAGGCAGGACGGCCGGCCCTGCCACCGGGGTCTCCCAGTCTTCCTGCGGAGACCTCCCCTTGCCTCCGGGAAGTGAGGAGGGGGCTGCCCAGGAGGAGAACGGCTGGGCTAGGCGGTCGCTCTCGCCCTGGCCTAAGGAGCAAAGGGGCGGCCCAGGGGGCCACTCACCGTCATCGTGGCGCCCCGGGGCGGCGGGAGCAGGAGGCAGGCAGGTGGAAAGGGCTCTCCGGCCGGGCTCAGCGGCGCGGGAGTCCCGCCACCGCCACCGCCCCTCTCGGCCGCCCGCTGCTGTTCCTCCGGCCCTTCCCTTCTCTAGCGCTTCTCCGGCCCCTTCCATCCGCCCATAAAACTTTTTTTTTTTTCAAACTTCCTGGGAGGACCCGGGCGGGCCAATGGGCGAAGGAGAAGCCAGGACAAACAGCGGCTGGACCAGAGGCAGGCCAATAGGAATGCGGAACGGACCCGGGGGCGGGACCTGCCTCTACGGGACAGTCGCGCGAGGGCTGGACTGGCGGGCGGGCAGGGCAAGGGAATGGGGGCGGGTACACTTCGTTCGTGGCTGCACTGGGCGGAAGGAACTGTCCGGTGTGCAGGTGACTCGGTTCGCCACCATGCTGCGATGGGGGGTGTGGTCCTCAGGTCACCTTTGCTGAGGCTCCCCGCCCCAGCCGTGAAACTCCAGATGCCGGAGTTAGATGGGGAAGTGGGCAAAGCACCCAAAACTAACAATTCAGCGGGTCCCACTCCCGGAGCCCTGCTTGTTTCCCCGTGTAATCGACTTTCGGCCTCACTACAGACTTGACAGGAAAGTGTCCTCGTCCCCATTTTACAAATGAGAAAACAGGCTCAGAGAGGTGAGCCGACTTGGTCACCTCTCACAGTAAGAAGAAACAGCACTCCTGGACCGTAGTCTTCACCCAAAGTGGTCCTTCGGTAAGTGCCCGCTCCTGTAAGCGGGTCTTCCTAGGCTTAAGAACCTCGTTTTGGGTTCCTGTGTGTGGGTGCTGACGTTCCCAGAGCATTTGGCAGTTCTTAGAAGGCCTTCTGCCGACGGGAGCTCATCTGAGCCCTGAAGTAGAGGAGGGCCTTTTGGTGGAATTTGTAGCTAAATGCATGTAGGAGCTTGTGTGGCATTGTGATCCAAACCTGTTACCTTAAGCAAGGTTCTTACCAGTAACCTCTCTGCCTCAACTTCACCTGCTGCTAAATGGGATAATGCTCTTGTCTCATGGGATCCCCATAAAGCAGAAATTGTTGTGTTGCCCCTCCCTTTCCTATCTCTCTAAAATCAATAAACATACCCTCAGGTGAGGATTAAAAAAATAAATAAATATGCCCTGGCTGGTGTAGCTCAGTGGATTGAGCGTGGGCCTGTGAACCAAATAACCTTGGTTTGATTCCCAGTCAGGGCACATGCCTGGGTTGCAGGCCAGTTCCCAGCAGGGGACACACAAGAGGCAACCACACATTGATATTTCTCCCCCTCTCTCCTTCCCTTCCCCTCTAAAGATAAATAAATAAAATCTTAAAATAAACAAACAAACAAACAAATAAAAGTAAGATTGGGTGGTGTGATTCCACCACTTAAAAAAAAAAAGAAGCGCCCTGGCTGGTATGGCTCAGTCAATTGAGTGCCAGCCTGTGAAGCAAATGGTCACTGGTTCAATTCCCAGTTAGGGCACACACCTGGGTTGCAGGCCAGGTCCTCAGTAGGGGCTGCTAGAGAAGCAACCACACACTGATGTTTCCCTCTTATTCTCCCTCCATCTCTCTCTAAAACTAAATAAATAGATTCTTTAAAAAAAAAAAGAATTAAGCGTGAATTTACCGCATTTTTTGCATTATAAGACATACTTCCCCCGCAATTTGGGAGGAAATGGGGTACATCTTATAGTCCGAATGTAGCTTATCTGGCTAGTAAATGTAGTTTACATTTACATTGGTAAAATATTATGTTATTTGTTATTAAATATTTTACCACATTTTTTGCTTCAAAAGATTTTCCTCCTCTAAAACCTAGGTGCGTCTTATGGTCCTAAAAATACAGTAAGTAAAATACACAGAACACCCCACTTATTTTTAGCGAGGCACCCTTCAGTAGAAAGGCAGGGGAGCTTGGAATAATCACCATTCCAATTATTTTGCCATCTCAGTTTGGGGGGTCAAAATCATTGCCATCATAATTATAATTACTATGGCCATTTCACAGATAAAGAAATGGAGGCCCAGGGAACTCACATTCTTTCCCAGTTTTCCCACCAAGAGTCTCTCCTCCACCCTGAGAAACAAGACCAGCGATAAGCCCATCTTCCCCTGGACACTGGCCTTTTGGCACAGTGATTCTGAACTAACAGGAGACATCACTAGCACCAGTGCCTTGCCCAGTGGCCTGGGTGTGTGACTGCCTCCTCACAGGTTTCCCAGCCCATGGGACTACACATCTAGTGCCCTGAGCCCGGTGACCAGACCACTCCCCTGCTCAAAGTCTAATACTGCCCTGGGCTAACAGATCAACTCTGCTTGTTTGTTCCAAGCAGTCTGCATCCATCATAATCTGGCCCCTGCCTGCTGTCCTCCGCCATCATTTACATGCTGGTACACAACGCTGGCTTCTGGGAGTCCCCAGAATGAGCCAGGTCCTGTGTACCTTGGACAGGGGCACACATGTTGTTCTCTGTGTGTCAGGCACACTTCCTTTCCTGGCCTCAGTGCCCCCACCCCCAACACACACACACACACACACACACACACACACACACGCTTCCTCTCTCTCCCTCCCCTCCCTCTAAATGTTTGCCCAGAAAATTCCTCCTCGCTCTTCAAGTCTTAGTCCAAAGGAAACCAAAATGCCCTCAGCATGAGTTGCAATGTCCTTGTCTGATGCTCCCTGCTTCAACTTCCTGCCCGGTGCTCCCTGCATACGTGTACATTTCCCCACTAACGTGATAGCCACACTGTGTTCTAACCTGTCAAATGTCAGTGTTGTCACCAAAGTATGATGGAGTGTTTTGGTCTCTGTCTCAGAGCCTTGGCCTGCAGCAGGTCCTTAGCAAATAGTGATCAAATGAATGAAGGCACAAATGAAGGAATGCCTACCTTACCACCCCTTTTCCTGGTAAGACAGGGATGGCACAGGCTCAGGGACCCAGGAGTGAGTTGTTAAACAGGACACCAAGCCCTGGCTGGTGTAGCTCAGTGGATTGAGCGCAGGCCTGCGAACGAAACAACTTCAGTTCGATTCCTAGTCAGGGCACATGCCTGGGTGGGTGGCAGGCCAGTTCCCAGCAGGGGATGACACATTGATTCTCTCCCTCTCTCCTTCCATTCTCCTCTAAAGGTAAATAAATAAATCTTAAAAACAAAACAAAACAGGACACCAAATTTGGGGGTTATTCAGTCCTGAACTGTCCCTCTACCGAGGATAACAATGTAGGCTCACAGAAAGGAGACAATGGCCCAAAGCCCCACAAGTCAGTGCAGAGACAGAACTCAAGCCCAGGTTTCCTGGCTCTTGACCTTGGCCTAATTTCACTATCCAGTCAAGAGATGTTTCAAGCTGCTTTAAGTAACCGTCTGGGAGGCTCCACTGGCAGAGCTGTTCCCCAGCGCCTGCCCGTCCTCGTTCCCAGAGGAGAGAACTGCAGGCCTCAGTTGCCACACCCTCTCGGGGAGAAAGTCTGTGGGGGTTCTCAGGCCTGTGGGGGTGGGGGTGGGGCTCGGAGATCCTGAAGCACAGAGGTGGGGCAGGACATGAGGTCAGCCAGAGCGGGGTTCAAATCTCCACTGTGCCCCTTGTGCGACCTGGAGCAGCGATGTTTTCCTCTGTGAGGTTCATTCCCTTGTCTGTGACATGGGTAGTAGGAACCGTATCCAACATGTCTGGTGGTGAGTGTTCAAGCAATGAGGCCCGCCACGCACTGAACACAGCTGAGCCCATAGTAGGCGCACAATGTCGTACTTTGCCATGTGTAATGCATGCTTTTTGCCCACGTTTTAGAGGGAAAAATAAGGATGCACATCGTACATGGGAATCAGTACTAAAAACGTGGGTGTGCACTATACACGACGAAAGGTAGGTAAACGCTGGTAGCAGCAGAAGCAGCATTATCCCAGAGTCCTGCCCCCGTTTCTCTCCACTGGGGACTCAACCTGCCCCTTCCTGCCAGACCTGCTCATGTTGGTAAGGTGTACTCTAGTTCCTGCCCAGGTAACTGTTTTTCTCAATACCCTCTTGCCTTAATTTCCAAAAGGCAGCAAAGAGCAAATTAGGACATGGAAGGGAAAGTTGGCATTGGGACACTCCTGGCCCGTCGCACCTCTGTGCATCCTCATCTCCTGAGCCCTCCCTGGGGCCCCGAGTGTCCCCATGGATTTTTCTCCACTAGACAGATGCGGCGACTGAGCCTCCGTGTGTTCAGCTCCAGCCACTCTCGCAACAAGGAACGAGGAGAGTTACCCAGAAGCCGGTTCCCCTAAACCCTAGCTTTCCGACCACAGGCAAGTCACCTCAGCTCTCCGAGCCTCCGTCCCCTCATTTGTAAAATGGGTATACTGTCTCTGGCCTAGGGGTGGACCCAGAGCCAGCAAGAGGCTGAGTCAGCTGGTCTCAGAGACAAGAGACCCAGGAGCCAGCCCCTTCTCTCTGGTGGAGAAGGGAGCGGGGGAAGTAAGTCAGCCACCTCCCCTCCCTGCCCTTGAGGAAACCCCAAACCGGAGGCCCGAGTGTTTACAGACCTCTCTGGGCAGGGGATGGGTTACGTAACGCCAGATGTTTGTGAAACTGGCTCGGGCCCAGGGCGGAGACACACTTTGCAATCCCAGAGCCCCTGGAGGGGCCCTCCTTCCTCTCCCACCCCTGCCCCCAACCTGGCTCCCCTTGGCCGCATTGCTGACTGGGAGCTTTTGGCTGTGAAGACCATTCAGTCATCCCTCACCTGGGAAGTGAGCAATCCCATTCGCTTGTAGGGGCGCTGGGGAGCTCAGGATTTTGCCGTTACCTCCTTTCTCCTGGGGAGGGGGGCAGACCCCTCCCTCTCAGCCTCTACTCTCTCTTCTTGACTAACACCAACCTCCTCCCCCTCCTCCCCCTCTCCCCACCCTCGTCCCTCCCACCCCACTGGAGCCAGCCTACCCTTCGCCAACTGAGGACCCCCAGGGACAGCAGGAACGGATTGAACAGCGTGGGCCGGTCCCCGGGCATCCGCCATGAGGTCACCAGTCGGCCCTTGAGTGGGCGCCCAGCCTCGCCCTCCGCTGGCCTCTTGTCTGCCTGTCAAACAGGGTCCAGTGTTGGCCCGCAGGTCCCTTCGGTGGGATGGGGATGACTAGAGCCTCCCCTGCCCGTTCTGCCATGCCCACCTCGAAGGCCCAGGGTTCCCTTTTCTCTTCTCCCGGGACTGCTGAGAACAGAGCTTGTTACCTTTTCCACCCGACACGGTGTGTCCCTGACAGGGCTCTGGGGGCCCAGCACCCAGGGGGCCTTGCACTTCGCCACCCGGATGTCGAACCCCAGGTGGCGAGCATGGGGAGGGGAGTGCAGGCCTCAGCCCACACAGGGTTTTCAGGTTATTTTGCATTTGGTCCCAATGATAAATAATGAAAAGATTTAACCTACAACTACATGTTTCTAAATTCTCTTGAAATATCTAAAGATGTGGGACCCTCTTCCCCATGGCAAGAGCCACCTGGAGCCATAGGGTCACACAAGCTGCACCCCCTCAGTCCCAAGTCCCTTAACTGCCTACTACTCTCCTCATCTCTGTGAGAGGAAGGAATCACAGAGTCCTGCAGCCCCCTCCCCTTCTGTCCTGGGCAGAGCCCCTCAACACGCCCCTTTTGGAGGAAACAGGCCCCAGCGAAGCAGAAGCACTTGCCCGAAGTCACAGAGCAGGCAGAAGTGAGACAGAGCCCAGGCGCCCCAACCCTCCAGAATCCAGAGTCACTGGAGGCGGAAGGTGAAGTATCAAAGCACAGGTCCCGGAGCACTTTGGGGAAAGGCTGCCCCACCTTGCCACCAAGTCCCCCATCACAGCCCTGACCACTGGACTGAGATCTCCATGCCGTTGCTCTGACCCACCTATGCCCACACCCAGACATGCAGAAGACGCTCACTAAGTGCATGTGAAAGAATGACTAAGGCCATTATCAATTCTGTCGAGTCCAGTCCACCCTGGGGAGGACTGACAGGCTTCCTGTGTTGCTGGGATGGACCCATTTTGTGGAGACCAGAGGGGACCCCTGTATTGCTAGTTCCTTTTTGTTCACAAAACTCTGGCCCCAGGAACTATGAAGAAATAACCCCAAAAGAGGAAGAGCAAAGTTGCCAGAGCCCCTGTGTGAAATGGAAGTACCTTCAGTGACCAGTCCCCTGTCCCCTCCCATTTCCCATGGGAAAACTGGCCCACCAAGAGCTCTGAACACTGCTGCTACTGCTTTGCAAGGCCACACAAGGAATCAGGCAGGGCCAGGCAGCGGCAAAGGGGAGCAGAGAGAGTGCCGGATGGGGGTCCTGAGCCCCGGGTCTAGTTCGAGTTCAGCCACCAGCTGTGTGACCACACGCCTGCCCTTGTTTTCTCACATGCACAGTGAGGGGGGTCGGGCAGAGTCCCCTTGGCTCTGACTAGCAGCAGAGCCAGAGTTGGGGCTCCAGGCTGCCTGACAGACACCCCATCAGGCTTCTCGAGAGGCGGCGCAGGGGACAGCAGAACAGCAGGGTGAGGAAAGCATAGCCCCAAGCAGCCTGTTTCCTTCTCCCGCTGCCTCAGGCCCTGAGCTCTGACCTCGCCTCTCTGGAGGCTGAGGGCGAGGAGAACAGTCAGTTTGGCAGGTCAGGGGGAGGGGCAGGACAAAGCAAAGCATTCCAGGGCAGCCAGGTCTCAGAGCGGCCTCAGCGGGTCCCACCCCCTGCACACATCTGTCCTGCCCCAGGAGCCTGGAGACCTCCAGACCCGGCTGACTGGCACTTCTTGGCCCCTGTCAGTGCTCCTCTGCCCCCAGCTCCTGGAAGCTCTACCCTTTCTCCCAGCCTGGCCAGCCCTCCAGAACCAGAAGGACCTTGCCTACAGGGACCATTGGGGCCAAACTGCTATTTGCCCGAGGGAGGCATTCTAGCTTACCTTTCCAGGGCATTCTAGCAAGTTAAAAGCAGAGCCCTGGGCTCTGACCTCAGGATTGTCCAACCACCCAGGTCTCCAGGTCAGAAGAAGGTGGCTCTGCTGCCCAGCTCCACCCGAGCATCTCTTCTCAAGGCCCCCCGTCATGCACACGGCTGACCCCAGTGCAGAGCCCGCCTTGGTCTGGATGACCCTGGAGCTCATCTGAAGACCTCAGCCCACATCCAATCTCATTTCCTGTCCCTTCCCCTCCCCTCCGCATGTGCCCAAACCCAAGACCCAACTACCGAGTCTGCCCGTCTCTGGTCGGTCAGCGAGTCTTGGCCTCCTCTTGATGCTGACTCCTCAGGCTCCTCTGGTTGGAACTGAAGATAAGAAAGAACACAGCTCAGCCCAGGTTATCCCCCAGCTTCCATCCCTCTGTCTACCTTCTTATACATCCATTCATCGTGCACCCGAGATCCAGCGTCAATAGGTCCGTGTGTCCATGCCACCACCCAACACACATCCTGTCTTATCCACCCACTCATGTGTCCGACATCCATCCTCCCATTTATACAGCCATCCTGTTTATCCATCATCCCCCCTCCATTCTACATCCACGTACTCCTCAATCCACCCAGCACCCATTCACCCACCACCCATCTACCTGTCCTTCCCCCATTCCTTCCCCATCCATCATCCATATTCCACATTTACCTGTCCTTGCAACATCCACCCATCCATCCATCACCCCACCCATTATCAAGCAGTGCCCATCTATCCAACATTCATTATCTATTTCATTCATCACCATGCATCTATCTATTTACCCATCTGTCATCCATCCAATGTCTATTTATTATTTGTCCAGCATATAACCTCTATCCATCGCCCATTTGCACATCCATCATCATTGATTCATCTACTGATGGACCCATTCATCTTTTATCAGTCTCTTACATGCACTTACGCCTCCATGTATTCACCAATCAACCATCCACTGAGCTGAGCTCCTCCACTGTGTCCAGCCCCGGGCCAGGGGCCATCGGTACAGAGATAAAATAGGCTTAGCTCCTGCCCCCATGAGCTCAGGTTTCTTGTGGGGAAATGACAACCAAGTATGAGCAGATAAAGGGTAGCAGAAGCACCAAGCCCGGAAGGGAGACATCACCATCCTGGGGAAAACATCTCAGAACAGGGCACCTGATCTCAAACTTGAACAAGGAACAGGCATTTAGTGGGTGAACAGGGAAAGGAAGAGCACCCTGGGCAGTGGGAACAGCACGCACAAAGGGAGGGAGATGTGCTTGCAGGCCCTGCAGCCCACTCAGCACAACCAGAGGGCAAATCTGGGGTGGAAGGGAGTCAGGAGGACTTGAATGCCATGCCAAGCGTTTTCACGGAGGGTGAGCAGCCGGAGCCCCCACAGGACCTGGTGAATGCTTCTGTTGTCATCTGTGGAAATGCCCTTAGCACATGCTGTTCCCACCCTGCCCCAGTCACCATCTCCTACCCTCCCAGGGACCCCTAAGCCTCAATGTGGAGTAACTCTAGCGGAAGAATCTCTCTGCCCTCTGCCTTCCCTGTGACCCGGCATCCCAGAGTCCACCGGGACACAGCATCGCACCCTTCCCGAGCTCCCTCTGATCCACCTGCCTCCCCAACAAGCCCGGCAGCAGCTTCTTGTGTGGGGACTCCCAAACCCCACTCTTGTCCTGAGGGCAGAACCAAGCTGGCTTCTCCCTGTATCTCTGGTGTCTCTACATTGAGTCGGTTACAGGACAACGGATAAACAAATTCAGAGGTAGGAGCTCCCTAGTCCTGCTGTGGGCTGAGGCCTCACAACAAGAAGGGTTAAAAGCCAGAGCTTTGGAGTCTACACTGTGATATCTCCCTTCTCACGACTTACACAGGCGTGACCCCTGGCAAATGTCTAATGGTCTGAGCCTTGTACACAGCATAGTGTGTAAAGCTCTCAGACCAGGGCCTGGCACACACAAACCCTCCGGGTCAGATGGACGAGCAGGAGCCTCGCACCACCCCAGGGGTACCTGTCAGGAAAGGAGTTGGTCTGTCCAACCCACGTGCTGCGTTCCTGGGAGCTGAGGCAGCTGCAGGGCTCTGGCCTCCAGGACCCGCCCCATTCATCACCTTCACATAAAATGCTCCAGACAGCATCAGGGCACCACGGACTCTGTGACCCTGCCCCGGGCCAAGAAGGCAGGGAAGGGACTTGGTGAGCACCCGCTGTATGCCAGGCATTGAGCCTACTTTGCACAGGGGCCCTCATTTAAGCAGCCTGTCTCATCAGCCAACTCGGCCCAGTGAGCACATGCAACCTCTTCACTGTGCCTGGTAAGGACCAGATAGGGGAAAGGAGGCTGTCCTGGACTGTGATGAGCCTGGAACCCAGCATGGAGAGGGGACATGACCCCACTGGCTGTGGTCCCAGCCAAGGTCAGGTAGGAGCCATGAAGGCAACACAAACCAGGTGTTGTGGGGCTGGGAGAGGAGGAGGCCCTGGCCACAGCATCTTGCTGAGGCCTCAGGGTGGTCTGCATCAGGCAGACCTGGGGTCCACTCGTGCCCCATCACTGACTAGCCATGTAATCTTGGGCAAGATTAACCTCTCTGTCTCAGTTTCCTTATATGTAAATTAACGGTGCTTTTCTCATGAGGTCGCTATGGAAATTAAATGAGGAAAATACCCATAAGACACTCTGACCAGGGCTCAGCACATAATCAGTTCTCACAGAAGTACTGGTAGTTAACACTGATGTCTGTTTTGGCAGCTGGGAAAGGTTTTGCTCAGGAGAGAGGATTGGGGCTGAGCTTTCGAGGCTGTGCAGGAGCCAAAAAGAGGCCTAAGGACCCCTGTCTGGGGTGAGGCTGCCCCTCAGAAGGGAGACTGACTTACCTCCCACTCTGATGAGCTGGGGCCCTCTGCAAGAATCCTACTCCCCAGATGGCCCGGCTCCTCCAGACCAGCCATTGTTGAGGTCTCTGGTCCACTTGTCACTTTGGTCTTTGGCCACTGGGTGGAGATGCAGGCAGGGCTGGGTGGCTGGGCTGAGCTCTGGGGCCATTGCCCGGGGCTGTGTCCATTGACTAGGGTGGCTCCCACCGTGCCTTCAGGTTGGCTGTGTCTCTCTCGTTCAAGGGCATCCTTTGTGCCTGGGGAACCCAGCTCTGCCCCTGAAGCTGTGGCTGGGCCACCCCAGTGTCCAGCTGGGTCCTTTTGGGGCAGCTGGGCCTGCAGGAGCTCAAGAAGGCCTTCCAAATCCAGCCTTGGAAGACGGGAAGCAAGCATTGGCTCCTCTGTGTGGGCCCAGGCCCCCTCTCTGGGTAACCCAAGAAGGCTCATCAAGCCCCTCCAGTCAAGCTCGAGTCGCCTCTCGGGGCCGTGCAGGTGTGCGCAGACTTGCTCGGTTCCCCGGCCCACAGCAGGGGCTGCCTCGGGCCTCCAGGAAGCCGAGAACTCTGCTGTGCCTTCCCCGGAATTCTCTGGGAGGCTCACAGGCTGGTGAGGAGGACTGAACAGCTGCTGCAGGCTGCCCCAGCCCCTCCGAGCTGGCCTGTCGGGGTCCTTCTGCAGCCCATTACTGGGGGGCTCCTCCCAGGCCTCTGACTGCCCCCTGTGGCACGGGGGGCCACCCGGCTGCCCCCAGCTCTCTTCAGACTCCCTGAGTGGGCCCCTCCATGTTCTCTCCGGACCTCCAGCAGCCCCCTGGCTGGGCTCCCCAAGTTCCTGCCAGCCCCCCAGGCCTGGGCCCTCCTCCTGGCTGCTCCAGCCTCTCTCCGGGTGTCTGTGCTGGCACCGAGATCCTGGCAGCTCCTCTGGACTCTGCCACCCACTCAGAGGCTGTCTCGGGCCCGACCAGCCACTCTCCAGACGTTTCTCTGTTCGCGGCTGCCTCTCAGAGGTCCTGGCTGATGTCCTTGGGGGCGGCGAGGACCCCTGGAGCCGCCGGTCCCCCTCAGGTCGCCTCTGGGGGCTCCTGGGAGGAGGAGGCTCTGCTCGGCTCCTCTGGGCTGGTTCTGCCTGCTTCGAGTGGGGTGTGGTTACCTGAGGATGAGGTGAGGGGGGTGGGTGAGGCCCCAGAGCCCTGACTGGGTGAACTCCGCTGAGGAGCACAGGAAACTGGGGTCTTAGCCAGGCCTCAGGGAGAGGCAAGCTGCGTCCTCACCGCAGCCTGGACTGAAGCAGGTCAGAAGTCCCTAGGGTCTCTGCACTCCCTCCCTGGGGTCATCTGCTCTGCCCTCTCACCCCGCCTCCTTGGTTCTAGAAAGAGACCTGCAAAGAGCTGCTCACTTTCCCGGCTTCCTCCGCCTCCCCTGGGCCCAAGATATTGATTCCGACCTGGGCTATCAGGTGCACGAATTTCCACCATCAAGACTCCACTCCGCTGGCTCAGACCTTGCCCGCTAAGAGTTTCTTTGAAAAATAGAAACCCCCACCTTGGAAGAGACAGCCTTTAGTGCCAGACTGCTCTGTCCAAGGCTTTTCCCGAAAACTCAGGACAGTAGCTACTGAATGAAGGAAGGAAACAGCACCGAAGGGCCATCTTCAAAGGAGTAATTTGGGGTCTGTCTCAATTTTTGCCAAGAATTGCTGGCTCCTTGGGAGAAGGGGAAAGCTGGACACCCATGACCGTAACTCTGACCCTTTCATAAAGGACCTCCCTTCCCAGGACCCCTCTCTGGCACCTGGGGGACGAAAAAGCAGTGGCTTGCCCCTTGGGGTGCAGGGCCCAGGGCAGGCTGGCAGTGCTCACCTCCCTGCTGAGGGCAGGGCTGGACTGTCTTCGGAGAAGCTGGCTCTGACCTTGGCCGGGCCGCTGTGACCGCCCCTCGTCCCGGGCCTGGAAGGCCCCCGGTGCCTCGGACTTCCTATGAGCAAATGCAGCCGCTCCTCTGAGGGCCTTTGGGACTGTCCCACTCCCAGCACCCACCTCCTGCACTCCCACCCCCAGGGAGGAGATAGGGGGGATCCAGACACCCACAGCTGAAGGGCCCTAGGGGAGAGATGAGCCTCTCGGGGCCTCAGTATCCCCGTCTGAACAATGGTGGTGGTCAGCACCACTCTACCTGCCTCATGGGACTGTTGTGGGTATTAAACAGGAAAAGGGATGCGCAGGGGCAGGGGCTCAGCCTTGGCTGCCCCACTCAGCACTTCCTGGTTCTGGCTGCCACCCAGCCAGCAGACCGTCTCTCAACCCCAGACAAAGGTTAGACTGGTCTTTGTGGGAACTAAGATTTATTGAGCACCTACTGGTTACCAGGCACTGCACGCACGATCACGATGGCGAGCGTTTATTGAGCACTTCGTGTGCTCCAGGTGCCAAGCACTTGCTCCATCTGATGTCACCTTGCACAGAGCAGGAGGCGGAGAAGGGAGACGTGGAATGTTACATGTCCCCACAGTTCATTCTTTCTGCCATCTTTCTGTTCACATGGTAAGTTCTGGACTTCCCAGGCCCACCTTTTCCCTGTTTAGTAGTGACTGACGGGGCTCCTGCACCTGGCCATGACACCTATGGGCCGTCCCAGGTGTTGGCGACGGCTCAGCAGGATCGGAACAAAGAAGCCTCCCCTCCCCGCACAGCTCCAGGGGGGCCGACATACACTGTCCGTGCCGGGGGCATTTCTGAGACACCAGGGTCTCAGGCATTGTTGCCACGTCCGACAAAGATAACCTCTCAGCTGTAAAAGTCCCTAGTTCTACTCAGTTGTTTCACTTAGTCATCGGAAGCCGTGGCTATTAATATTTAACACGACATCTCTGTTGCACATAAGAACACCACACATATGTAAAAACAAAAGAACTGACCACTGCACTGAACATCTAGTCCACAGGGTCTGAGAGCCCGGCTCCATCTAAACTGACAAATGCCATGGCTGGGGTGACTCAGTGGATTAAGCTGGCTTGCGAACCAAAGGGTTGCCAGTTCGAATCCCAGTCAGGGCACATGCCTGGGTTGCGGACCAGGTTCCCAGGACGGGGAGCACAGAAGCAAACACACATTGATGTTTCTTTCTCCGTCTTTCTCCCTTCCTTCCCCTCTCTCTAAAAATAAATAAATAAAATCTTTAAAAGTAAAATAAAATAAATAAATGGACGAATGGAGCTGTATCTCTGGTGGCTGAACTGAACTGGAAGAAGCCTGAAAAAAGAGGCCGGGTGCTGAGCCAGCAGTGAGGGAAGTAAGAGGAGCCCTACTCAGGCCTGAGAGGGGCCGCGCTGGGCAGTCCACCCCAGCCTGGGAGCCACGCTGGGACGCGACAGGCGGTTGGGGGAGCAGACAGATTATGGGCTTGGGGTCTGTTTTGTCTACGGCTTTTACCAATGTCATTAGAACCAGGTCCATAAAGGAACTGGTGCTCTTAGCAGTTCTTAGCAGTCGACTCATAGGGAACCCGAACTTCCCACTGCAGTAAATAAATGTTCCTAAGGTTGAGGGCTGCCCGATCAGGCTCAGTTTTTAATCTCATTGGAAGTGAGAGAGCTTCCTTGCTCTGTGAGAGCTGAGGCCTTAGACAGTGTTTCCCCCAGAACCAGGGGTAGCAGCCTCTGTGAAGCAGAAGCCCCAAGTGTGACGAGGTGGGGAGGGCACCGTGGCCATGGGGGGCAGTCTCTGTGTGGGTAGCGAGGCACACGGGTGTCCCTCTCCCGTGAGTGCATTTCCCACACACACTACAACTCGCTCAGTTCCTCCTGAGAAGTCCCCCCTCCGTGTGGAACTGAGAAGGAGAACGAAGGACTCAGGTAGAATCTGAGACGCCAACAGAGACCCAGCCTCTCTGACACTTAAGCAATAGCGTCCTCAGGCCACCTGTTCCCGATGGCTGGTGTGGCTGCACCAAGGGTGACAAAGGAAATGACTTTCCTTTGGAAGCTCAGAGGGGCTCTTCCATCACCACAAAGTATTAAAGGACAAAGCTGTCAAGTCTAGAAAATTCCATGAAGGCTCTTTTGAATTCGAGAGATGATGAAGTGCTTATATGATTATAAGAGATTCCAAAGGCATGGGGGGGGCAGATATCAAGGCAAAATTCCTAATCCTTTCATGCGGTAATTCTTCGAGGAAAAGTTTTGAGGCTCAGTCAGTATAATGCTTGGACAGAATAGATGCTCAATAAATGCATGTTGAGTGAGGTGGAAGAAAATGAAAGTACACTTCTACAGCCACCCACTCATAAATTTCAGGCTTCCAGACACTTAAATAGGTTTTAAAACTTTGCTTCCAGAGGACAAATGGTTTTCTACTTAGAAAAAGTGCCATACAACAGGAGAAAATTAAATTGTTCAGTAGAGTTATAAAACCTTGGTTGAAAGGTAAATCATCTATTTCACCAAGATATATACATTAAATATATGCCATCTTTACATATCAACTTTAATAAAGCTAAAAAAGATAAGTAACCTATTTCAAAGAGATAACAAATGAATAAAGTATCTGTGTAAAAACAATTAAGTGATTAATAAAAGTATAAACAAATTCCAGACTTCTATGATAAACCTTTATCTCTCTAAAAGTTACTCCAATAAGAAAGAAAGAAAGAAAGAAAGAAAGAAAGAAAGAAAGAAAGAAAGAAAGAAAGAAAGAAAGAAAGAAAGAAAGAAACCAACCACTGGTTTAAAGACCTCAGTGTCCCCGCCGAGTTACCAGATCAAGTCCAAGTACGCAAACTGAAGTCTGCCTGGAAACAGGAACCGTGGAAAGGCAAAGACACAGGGGGTTTCTAGGGCAGTGAAACTATTCTGCACGACACCATAACGGCGGACACATGTCGTTACACATTTGTCCAAACCCCCAGAATGCACAACACCAAGAGTGAACCCAAGTATAAACTTTGGGTGACAGTGATGTGCCAGCACAGGTATGAGGTTTGAAACAAGTGTGCCCCTCGGGGTCGGGGGCTGAGGATAGTGAGGGGACGCTGTGCGTGGGGGCAGGGAATAGGCTGTGTGGGAATTCTCCCTACTTTCCACTCAGTTATGCTATGAACCTAAAACTGCTCTAAAAACTAGTGTTTGTTTTTAATTTCAAAAAAGGCAAAGAAAGAGCGCTGGCTGGTGTGGCTCAATGAATTGAGTGCTGGCTTGTGAACCAAAGGGTCGCCAGTTCAATTCCCAGGCAGGGCACATGCCTGGGTTGCGGGCCAGGTCCCCCAGTAGGGGGCGTGCAAGAGGAAACCACATATTGATGTTTCTCTCCCTCCCTTCCACTCTGTCTAAAAATAAATAAAATTTAAAAAAATTTTAAAGGCAAAGAAAGAATTATATTAATAGTGGATCCCATAAAGCTTGTCACCTGGGTGGTAAATGGATTAAATTTGCTGGAAAGGAAATGTGAATAACAGAAAAGATTTCTCATGCAGATTCTAATCTAAGAGGAAATGTGGCCCAAGGGACAACAGAGGGATTCTGGATGCAAAATATTACTCACTTTTTAGGGTGATAGAAACGTTCTAAAATTAGGTTGTGGGCATAGCTGCACAACCTAGTCTTGGTAAATCCACTACAGCTCATTGTGCACTGAAAGTTCTGAGACTTCCTTCCATACCTACATTTTTGTTAATCTCTGGACCCTAACTAATGGCATTCCAGGCCTGATACTGAAAACTCCTGAGGCTGGAACTGCTGGAGAAAGAAACCTCAGCCAGACGGGGGCGGGGCGGGGTAGCCTCCCACCCTCGGCTGTGGGAGGGCAGGTGCTCTGCTGAGCCCTAAACCACCTGGGCCAACGGTGCCACTGACCAGGGAGACTCGTGGGATCCCTGCACTCCAGGCCGTGTTGTCCCTGTGTTCCGGGAAAGTAACCTTTCACCCCTAGAAAGTCTGTGATTCTGAGTTGTCCTGATGAAAATAATGGCTCTGGCCAGATGCTTTAAATCGACACCTCTGTTTTCTGAAAGGCATGCATGCCTGTGACGTTTCTTTAAGGCAGAAAAAAATCACAGGCACTTTCTTCTCCCTCACATAAGGAGGGAAAAATATAAAACAAACCTGTGATTCTGGACCAAGTGAAGGGTTTGAGAGTTTAATCTGGTTTGAATTATTGTCCTAATGTTCTAATTTTACAGATGAGGATGCTGAGGCTCAGGTGGGTTAAATCACTTTACCAGGTCACAAAGGAGAGGAGTGGCTGTGACCCAGAATTTGAACCCCACCTGCTAGACCCTGGTCTTTGCTCTTCCCTATGGGGCTATGCACAATATCACTTCATCGTCAAAAGACTCAGAACACAGGGAGAGAGAGATGAAGTGACTTGCCCAAGGTCGCACAGCCAGTCAGTGACAGGATAGGGGTCTGAACGCTTGCCATCTGGCAGCCTAAGGCTTCGAACCTTCCACCTGCCCTGCTGCCGAGCCTCCTTCCCAGCCCACCTGGCTGACCCCACCCTGGGCTCACCTGCGCTCTTGCCCGAATAGGCGCTCCACCTCTGCGCGGCCAGGGCTGCGGGTTCGGCCCCCGTTGCTGCACTGGGGCCCTGGCTCCCTCTGCGCCAGCCTCCTGGGTGGGGGCAGGTCGGCCAGCACGGTGTACTCCTCCCTCTCCAAGTTGTGCCTGGTCTCCCCAGGGGGTGCTGAGCCCCGGGAGCCCCCTGAGCTGCCTGGCGGAGGTGAGGGTGCCAGGAGCGCTAAGTCACTGGGCGGGTGTCGGGGTGGGGAGGAGGCTCGTGGTGCGTCCCGGTGCCCGATGCAAACCTGGGGGGGCAGCACTGGGGAGCCATGCAGAGAGTCAGTGGAGGGGGCCAGGCTCTCCATACTAGTCCCAGGGGGATCCTGAAAGAAGAGGGAGGGCTCGGGGGCCTGGCGTGGTGGGGAGGAGAAGGAGGGTGCATCTCGGTGTCCAATGCACACAGGGGTAGGGAAGTGGGGGGGCTCATGCAGAGAGTCTGTGGAGGGGACGAGGCTCTCGGTGCTGGCCCGGGGGAAATCCTGGAACAAGAGGGAGGGCTCGGGGGCCTGGCGCGGTGGGGAGGAGGCCCGGGGTGCATCTCGGTACCCAATGCACACAGGTGGGGGGAACTGAGGAGGGTCATGCTGGGGGGACTGGTTCTCAGCATCTAATGTGTCTGGGAGGAAGGGGAAGGGGTCAAACTGGGTGTGGCGAGGAGGTGAGGAGGCCCGAGGGGCATCCCGGTGTCCAATGCACACTGCCGGGGGGATGTAAGGGGGTTCGTGGTGGGTTGATTCGCCGTCAGAAGCATGGGGGTCTGGGAAGAAGGGGAATGGGTCATGTTGCAAAAATCGAGGAGGCGAAGAGGCTCGGGGGGCATCCCGGTGCCCGATGCACACAGCACATGGAGGCTGGGAGGACTCAAAGGAGGTCTGGGATGCCCCACGGGTGGTGAGGCGCAGTGGCGAGGAGGTCCGGTGGTGGCCCGGGTTGTGGGAAGAGGAAGTGGCCCGGGTTGGTGAACCGTGCTGGGCGGGGCTGGAGGAAGACTGGGGTGAGTCGCGCTGAGCTGGTCTAGAGGGTGATGTGGTCTGAGGCCTGTCACCTTGGGTTGGCCGAAGGGCAATGGATGCCCAGGGAACCTCACTTTGCTTGGAGCGAGATGGGGAAGAAGTTCGAGGGCCATCACTCTGGGTGGGCCGGAGGGGAAAGGAGGCCCAGGGAATGTCTTTGTTAGTACGATGGGGGGAAGAATTCCTGGGATTGTTCCGTTGACTGGAGCGATGGGAAGGTGATGGTCCAGGATTGTTCTGTGGGGTGCAACACTGAGGGGAGGGGCTTCCGGGGTTGTCCCGCCGAAAGGAAGAAGACTGTGGGTTGTCCCGTTGGGTAGAGGAGGTTCTGGGGGTGTTCTGCTGAACACAAGAAGCTCTGGAGTTCTCCCTCTGGGCGGTTCGGTTGGGAGAGGAGCCTCTGGGGTTGTTCCGCTGGGCACAGGATGTTCTGGAGTTTTCTCGATGGATGGTTCGGTTGAGAGAGGAGGTTCTAGGGTTGTCCCGCTGGGCACAGGATGTTCTGGAATTTTCTCGCTGGGTGGTTCGATTGGGAGAGGAGGTTCTAGGGTTGTCCCGCTGGGCACAGGATGTTCTGGAATTTTCTCGCTGGGTGGTTCTGTTAGGAGAGGGAGCTCTGGAGTTCTCCCGCTGGGTGGTTCGATTGGGAGAGGAGGTTCTGGGGTTGTCCCGCTGGGCACAGGATGTTCTGGAATTTTCTCGCTGGGTGGTTCGGTTGAGAGAGGAGGTTCTAGGGTTGTCCTGCTGGGCACAGGATGTTCTGGAGTTTTCTCGATGGATGGTTCGGTTGAGAGAGGAGGTTCTAGGGTTGTCCTGCTGGGCACAGGATGTTCTGGAGTTTTCTCGCTGGGTGGTTCTGTTAGGAGAGGGAGCTCTGGGGTTGTCCCGCTGGGCACAGGATGTTCTGGAGTTTTCTGGCTGGGTGGTTCGGTTGGGAGAGGAGGCTCTAGGTTTGTCCTGTTGTGTAGAAGAGGTTCTGGAGGGGTCCTGTTGGGCGGCTCTGGGGGAAGAGGAAACTCGAGGATTGATTCGCTGTGTGGACAAGGTTCTGAGGGTGTCCCGTTGGGCGACTCTTGAGGGAGAGGATGCTCTGGGGGAGTTCCGCTGTGTGGAAGAGGTCCTGGAGGGGTCCTGTTGGGTGGACGAGGTTCTGGAGCTGTCCTGTTGGGCCGTCTGGTAGGGGGAGGGAGCTTGGGGGGTGTCAGGCTGTGAGGAAGCAGTCTGGACAGCATCCCTTTGGGCAGCACGATGCAGCGAGGAAGCTCGGGGGGCTGTACTTCGCGGTCCGCTCTGGGGTGTCGCAGAGGAAGCCTGGGATAGCGCTGACCGGTGTCTCTCCAAGAAGTGCCCACTTTCTCCCCGGAGTTTGGCCCAGTGCTGCCCGGCACTTCGGCTCCCACCACCGGTATCTAAGAACAGAAGAGGCAAGTTCAAGGTGAGGGAAGAGTGTGCTTTGCAAACTGGGAGGTGCCCCAAGTGTGATGTCGAGGCTTTTCTAGCATCTAGGATTTGGCTACTTCCTCCTGGGCCTTGGCCCCCTGCCTGCAATTTGGGACCCTGCCACCAGGTGGACACTGGTGACTGCCTTTGATCAAGCAGGTCACAAAGTGAGGCTCCACCCACCCCACTGCCCTGGTGTTTAAGAGCAAGAGAGCAAGTATTTAGTACAAAGCCCCACCCGCCTGTCATGCCATTCGCACCAGAGAGGCGTCTAGTCCCCGTGTGGTATCACTTCTGTCCCCCTAGGGCCTGAGGGGCAGGGCAGTAGGATGGAGCAGTGAGGTGGCAAGATCTGATTAATGTGTTAAAAGATGGCCCCAGCTGCTGTGGGGGCTGGGGCAGGGCAGGGGCAGGGCAGGGGCAGAAGGACTGAAGGGGGTCAGGCTGAAACAGGAGAGCTGGAGGGGACTCTGACAATAGTGCCAGCCAGCGGCAGCAGGGGCTTGGCCAGGGAGTAATGGCAGAGACGACAAGACGATGATGGACTGGAGGTGTGTTTTGAAGGCACACTGATCGGAACTGCTGCTATAATTGGATACAAAGGGTGAGGAAAGGAAGGAATTGGAATTTGGGGCTGGAGCCACCGGACTGGCAGTGGCAGAGGGCAGACTGCCAGAGAAGCGGGCTGCAGGGGTCAGGGTGCGGGGGCCTCCGCACCAGCCCCCTCCTCGCCCTCCTCCCTGCTCCGCGTGCTCCACAACCATAGCTGCCTCTGCACTGGCTGCTGCTTCTGCTTCCAAACTCAGGTCTCAGCTGCAATGTCGCCCCGCCCCCACCCAGAGAGGCCCTCCCGGTCCACCTGCCCACTCTTACAATTTGCTGGGGTTTTTTTTAATCCTCACCCAAGGATATGTTTTTATTGATTTTTTAGAGAGAGAGGAAGGTGGGCGGGGGGAGAAACAGTGATGTGACAGAGAAACATTGATTGGTTGTCTCCCATAGCGCCCTGACTGGGGATTGAACCTAAAACTTAGGTGTGTGCCCTGACCAGGGATCAAACCGCAACCTTCTGGTGAGTGGGATGATGCTCCAAACAACCGAGCCACCCGGCCAGGGCTCCTGTCTTACCTCTCCGGAAATCAGTTTTGGCTCTCTGATCTGGCTTTTCATTTGTTTTCTGGCAGCTTCCCCAGCTGGAATGCCAGCTCCCTAGGGCGGGTCTTGCCTGTCTTCTTCACTCTGGTTCTCCAGCACTAGGACAGGGCCTGGCACATAGTAGGTGCTTAATAAATACTTATTGAATGAGTGAAATGAAAAAGCTGTGTTGAGTATGAGGCACTACCATATACGCCAGTGAAGAGGTCAGTTGTAGGATAAACTAGATAGAGTCCAGGGCAGAAATCAAGGCCAGAGGTGTGAACTCCGGAGATGTTGATTTTTCCAGATAGTATTGAAAGCCAAGTGGCTGAGTTGTCCGGGGAGAGAACAGAATGGAAACCGGGGCCAGGCGCTGGGGCATCCATGGGTGAAGGTCAAGGAGAAGAGGAGGCATCAGCAGAGGAGAGTTAGGAATGGTGAGTGAAGAAGGATCTGACCCTTTGCTGAGCACCCTGACTCCAACTCTGCCCTGGGGCTCTGAGTCCGCCTCGGCGACACTGCTTGCGCCCGGTCGCCAGCGCTCCACTGTCAGCAAAAGGCATCGCCACTGACACAGACACCCAGGCCAGGAGCTGGGATTGTGCATTCTGCTGTCCCCAGTCTATCAAGTCCACCTCCTACATCTCTCTCCTTCTCTGTCTGCTGCTCATCCACAACCGCCACCCTAATTCAGGTTCCCCCATCTCTCACCTGCACAGCAGCAGCAGGCTACAGAAAGGTTACAGAAACAGTGGGTGCCCCACCCACACAGCGATTCTTCACCCAGGGTTACCGGCTGTTGACAGCGTCTCATATACTTTACCCACCCATCCACCTACCTACCTGTCATCTCCATCTCTCTCTGTTTACCTCTCATCTGTCCATCGTGTTGAACTGTGTGAGAGTCGGAGTTGACACTTCACCCCTAACACCCTCCGAACACGTCTCCTAAGAGCAAAGACAACCTCCTTCCAGTGTCACACTCAGGAAATACAGCGTGGAGGCAAAACTGGTATCTGACATGCTCTTCACGGTCAAATTTCCCCGGCAGCCCCAGTAACATCTTCCACAGCTACAAGGTTTCCCACACTTGATCCGACCCAGAGCCCTACACAGCAATTTGCTTCCCCGTCTCTGTGGCCTGTCTAATTCAAGAACAGCTCCCCGGGCCTTTCACAGAGTGAGTCCTCTCAGGCCCTGGCCGGGAAGCTCAGTTGGTTAGAGTGTTGTACCGATACCCAAGGCTGTGGGTTCAATCGGGTCCAATCCCCGGTCAGGGTGCCCGAAGAATCAGCTAATGAGTGCATAAATAAGTGGAACAACAAGTCAGTGTTTCTTTCTGTCTCTCTCTCAAATCAATCAATCAATTTTTTTAAAAAGTATACCGTCAGTTATTTAGTGTAACATCCTTCAATCTGGGTTTGTCTGACGTTTTGCTGGGATTAGACGCAGGCAGTGCATTTTTAACAAGAAGCTCGGACAGGATGACACATTTGTCCCCCGCTAGGATACTGAATGGCCACTTGGTTAAGGCAGATCTGCCAGATCTTCCATCCTAAGAGTGGCTTTTTCTCCGTAATTGCTGTGTAATCTGAGGGGTGACACCTCAACATTTCACCCAGGAATTTAGCACCAGCACGTGATTCGTGCCTGAGTCAGTTATCCCTACAGTGGCTGTGATAGTCCCTTTACTGTTTCTCATCCCTCAGCCTCACCCTGTTCCAATTCATTCCTCACGCCTTTGCCCTGGTGAACTTCCTTAGGCACACATCCACTCACATCACTCTCTTCCTCGAACGCCTCCCATGGCTCCCTACTGCTCAGAGCAGTCAGTCCAAACTCCTTGGCCCAGTGTGGTCGAACCCAGCTTACGCCCCCATCTGCACACATGCTTTGCATCCCAGATTACTCCCTGCTCACCTCAGAGCCTTTGCCCCACTGTCCCCTCAGCTAGAGCACATGTTCGGGAGGCGCGCCCCTGAGTCCCTCCATGGATAAAAAGAAGCTCTGTGTGCCCTGCACCCAGACCCCATCCCACCCTTCACTCTTGGCAGGGTGCACGCTTCAGCTCTTCCACTGTCCCGGGCCACTGTTTGCCATCTCCCGACAGCAGATGAACTGTCATTTACTAAATGGTAAACTCTGTGACAGTGACCTCGCCTAAGTCCTTCTGTACACCCAAGGATCTGGTACCAGATGTTACGCATAATTAGCACTGGCATGTTTGATGACTGGGTGCTACAGGAGCCACAGGGAACTAGGACGGCCCACCGGGGCTAGGGCCTGAATACCCTGGCCCACACCCCCAAATCCTGACGATGCCAAAGACACATATCTGCAGGCAACACAGTGCCACCCTGATAGGAGGGACCCAGCCTTGGGACCCAGCATACGGGGTTCACATACCAGCAAGACATTGGCCAGCTTCACACGTATCTGTGGGCTTGGCCTGACCAGCAGCTTTTCCTCTTTCTTTGGGAGCAACGTGACCCTGATTTCCTTTGGGCATCTCCTCTTCTCACCCCCAGCCGTGAGGTTTGCACAGGGGGCTGGCCCTATCCCAGATCACCAGGCTGGGCTCATGACCCATGCTGGGCCGCAGGGAGAATCCTCCCTAGGGCTTTGGCTACATCTGTAGAAAAGACTGTACCTTCTGTCCGTGGAGGTAGATAAGCAAGTTAAATACAGCCTGGCACCGCTACCATTCATCATGATACCATGGGGGAGGGTCTGGCTGAGAACGAAGCCACCATAGAAGAAAGTACGGCAGAGGCCAGATTTCTGACAGTACTTGCACTTGGATCCAACCATGCCTGAAGTCATCGCCCCCTAGGCTTTTTACTCAGCTGGTTTCTTCCTTGCAACCTGAAGATCCTAATGCATCAACTATGTGAGAGGATATTTCAAGCAGGTTGCATGGAATATTATGGCTGCTCCATAATTATATGGGACTGTTACTATTATTAACATTTGAGCCACCAAAGTAAGACATGCCTCGGGCCCCAGATGGCAGGTGAGAGGGCTATCTGGGCCCGGGGCCCCTGGCCATCACCACTTCCATAGTCACAGGGACCAACCTGGTCTGGCAGAAGGACTCACCCTCCTTTCTCTGGCTCCCAGTCTCTCCTCCCACAGGTGACCGGCTGAGGACAGACGAGGCCCGTTGGGCACTGTCAGCTCTTGACCCCTCCTGCAACTTCCGAGGGATCATCACGGTGAACTCGTCCCAGCTGGGGGCCTCCTGCTGCCTTTTGAAGATGTCCCAGTCCTGCCAGGGAAGGATAGGAGAAATTGTGCTTGGTGACTAAGAAGAGAGACCCTGGGCTGACATTCCCAGTGTGAGATGGGTAGGAGAGAATGGATCTGATACTGAGAGAGCACCTGCTGTATACCCAGCGCTGTGCTGGGCTCCTTGCAGGTGTAAACTCAGCTAATCTGTGATCAACCCCATGAGGTAGGCAGTCTGCAGAGCTAAGAACTTGCCCAAGATCATGCAGCTGGGAAATGGTTTATATGGGAGGGAATTTGAACACAGGGCAGTTGAACACAGGGCGGTAAGAGGGCCCTGGCATAGTAGTGCCACAGCACCCCAGAGACACCCCCAAGATCTGGAGAGAAGTAGGCCCGAAACCTTGCCCTTCTATTTTCCAGCTGTATGGCTTCAACTATGTTGCTTCCCTTCTCTGAGTCTCAGTTTTCTTGCCCTAGAACACACCCATAAAGGGGGCTGGTGAGCCTTCCTGAACTCATGTCTGGTCACTACCCCCTTATGGCTCCAGGAGGTCTCATGCGGAGTCTGCCTCTCCCACCCCGTGACAGCCCTTTGAGCGGTGAGTGCCCAGGACGTTTCCCTGAGTCTCCTCTTCTCAGCTAAACGGCCCCCAACCCTGGCCAGCCCCCCCAAGACACCTCCGTCCCGCCTATTCCCTTCCTTTTGTCCTCTACCCCAGCTGCTCCTGGCACTCAGTGGTATGTGACCAGGACAGGACTCAGGACCAATCTCATCCTTGCTCTGGACAACACACCCACATCCTGGCCCTCTGTGACCTGTGACCTGAGAGTTTCTGGCAGCATGAACCAGTGGTGATTCATGTGGAGCTCTCTATCACTGAAACTCCTTCCTCCATGTGTTCATAGGCAGACCCCCAGCTCTCCTGGGCGGGCCCTGCAGAGACTCCTCCCCCTCCCACGTGGGTGGTCTGGATGCCCTGAGGTGCCTGTGAAGTCTTGGCCCAGTTCGTTGGTGTGAGAGGCTCAGCCCTCCTCTGGAAGTTTGGGGCTGGCACAGAGGGGTGATCTGCTCTTGCCCTCGGCCCCCGCCCCCAGCTCACCACAGAGGACGAGTTGCTGGTGTCATCAGGGGTGTTGGAGTCAGGGCTGGAGCTGGTGTCAGAGTCAGGACCCTCGTCGGAGCTGCCGCACAGGGAGGAGGCCAGGCCCTCCAGATGGGGCACTGCCTCGGGGTCCCGGCTCCTGCTCCCGGGGGTGACTGTGGGGCCCTCTGCAGGGAGCCCTGCCGATGGGCCCCTGAGAGAGGAGACAGACCCGTGACTTTTTCCCCAAAAGTCATGGAGATCAAGGAGTAAGACCCCTGCCCTGGCACACACCCCCTCACGTTACAGGAGAAGAGGGAGCTGACACTGAGGCCTCTCTGTGCTGGGCTCTTTCCGTGGGCTGCTTGGTTAAGCTACAACAGCCTCCCTTTGGAGTGAGTGTGATGATCCCCATTTTACAGAAGAGGAAATTGAGGCTCAGAGACGGCAAGGGACTAGCCGAGGTCACAGAGCTAGGAAAAAGCAGAGCTGTACTGTGAACCAAAGCTGTGGCCCCCACCCCAGACCTCTGTCATTGGAGCAGAAATGGGGACCCAAGCTCAGTAAGACAGAGCCATAATTATGCTGGGCTAACGGGGGCTCTGAGAGGTAGGAGAACTCCAGGGGCAGTGACAGGGGCACCAGTCTGGACTCCAAGGGAGGGAGCTGCAGAGAAAGCCCTGCTTTGGAGAAGCCAGTCAGCACAGCCACAGGCCCAGGCAGACTTGGAGCTGGCTGTGGCTCCAAAGAGTGACCCACAGATTGGCCTGCAAGATGGAAATGGGTGCTGACCCCTGCAAAAGAGGTCTGTCATCAGAGTTTGGGACAGACTGCACAGGCCTCCCTCCCTCACTCAGAAGCACAATGCAGCCTGCGGACTGCAGGCTTTGACGGGCCCTACAGGAGGGGCCCCACTGTGCTTACCCCAGGCTTTCTGACACATGCCTGACGACAGAGCTTTCGGTCTTTTAAAAAACAAAACATGTGAGGAACACATGTTCCCAAAGCCATGCTGATCTGATTCAATTCTTATTTTTTTTAAATGGGGAAACTGAGGTACAAAAAGAGGGAATAACTTGCCCAAGGTCCCACCATCCAACACAGATGAAGCTGAAGCTGGCCCAGGTTTCCAGACCCTCAGCCACGCCCTCCCAAAGCGCCACTTCCGATCAGCCCAGCCAGGGGTGGAGGGAATCCCAGAGCCTGCACAGTCAGGTACGTGGGTGTTAATCCTGCTTCATTTTTTAAAGCTGTGCCAAGGGAACGAGAAAATGTGAGTGGGCCGAGAGCCATGCCCAAGGCAGGATGGGTGCATGGGTGCTCTGTGATCGAAGCTGAGCTAGGACTGAGGAACATGCCCACTATGCCCAGCTGTGTGGGCTGACCGTGTGAACCTCACCAGCAGCCATCACCATTGTGAAGGGTGTGGGGTGGGGGTAGGGGAGGGCTGCCCCGGGGAGCCCCTCCCCAGGGCCTGGAGCTCTACCCACCTCTCGGACCCTGGCCCAAGGCCCAGGCCCACCACAGACTGGCACCCAGAGGTCGAAGCACTGTGCGGGTCCGCAGAGGCAGGCGGGCGGCGGGGCAGGTCGCAGTAGGGTACCTCCGCACTTGGAGGGCTCCGGGGCTCCTGGGATGGAGTCGGAGAGAGGAGGCACCTCAGTGCCCACGTGGGGGCTCCCTCCCCCTGCACGGCCCCTCCCCCCACTAGGGGGTGTGGAGAGTCTCCAGGCATCTCCTCCGGGATCTTCAAAGTCTCAAGGAGAGCTGTCCATCAGGCTGGAAGCGCCCCTGGGGACCCAAGCTGAGGGCTGGCCGAGGTACAGGGTATGTGGGTGCATACATGTGCACAGGTGTGTGTGTATATAAAGGCCTGTGTGTGCAACCGTGTGCATGTGTGTGCAAGTTGGGGGCGGGTACACTGGAGCATATGTTCGCACCAGTGCATGTAAGTCCATTTATGTGTGTGTTGGCACATATGTAGGTGTGTATGCTTGAGGATGTGAAGTGTACTAACGGCCCGAAGAGTTTTCTGCAGCTAGAAGACAAGGATGAGGAAGAAGAGTGAGGAGGAAGGATTAAGTCAGCCTGGGGAGTGAGGGAGGAAAAGGTAATCTGAGAGAGGAGGAGGTGGGAAAAGGTCTCAGGAAAGAAGAGACTGCCCACTTAAGGAGGGGTGGGGGGCTCCTGGGCTGGAGGGTCAAGGCCCCAGGGGTGGAGGCAGAGGCGGAGGCCCTGAGCTGACTGCTCATCTCTCTCTCCCTCCACCCTCAGCAAGGCCACACCTGGGAAGGCTGCTGCTGGGCTCACCCAGGGGGAACGATTGCTCACCTCCGGGAAGGCCCCCCCACACCTCCCCACCTCCTAGGGTGGCAGGGCCCTCCCCTGGTGGTGGGAGACAAGGCCACAGCACCCTGCACCCCGCCTCCTCTCGGGTTACCTGGGCAGCGGGTTCCGGAGCTGGCGGCTGGCGGCTGTCAGCACCCTCGTCCCCGGGGGGCTCCGTTCAGGCCCCCACACTGCCACCCTCCCAGGCCCCGATTCTGGGCCGTGGCGGCAGTGGCGGAGGCAGCAGAAACCTTAGAGGGGCCGGCTGCAGGAGCAGGGGCCCCTCATTACTGTTTCATAAGCCAGGGCCCAGCCAAGAACAATGCAGGACATGAAACCACAGGAACCCGATCTCCACAGCTCACCTGAGAGCCGGCAGGGCGGGGGCTGGGGCCTGGACTCCCAGGGGACCCTGGAGCCCAGGGCTCAGGGCTGAGGCCACAGCCTGGCCACAGTCCCCGGGTGGGCACAGACTCCCTGGGTTCAAAGAAGGTGGCCACTAGCAGGACCTGGGCAGAGCCGAGGATTGGGACCAGGGTGTCTGCTGTGCCATTGAAGCCAGTGGAGTCTGTCTGGATTCAGTTTCGCCCCCTGGCCCGGAGCAAGATTCTGATCAGCGCTCCACAGTGGGAGGTGTCAGATCCACAGCCTGGCCTGGCGCCTTGACTGCCCTGGGGACCTCGCTGCATGAATGAGGAGGGAGCAGCGCTCTGGACATTGCCAAGGGGTCTCAGTCCAGCTGGGCCCACCAAGCACCCCAGCCAGTCAGGGCACCTCTGTTCAGCTCTCACCCCCAGCCCTCATCACTACCCACCATCCACATGAGCAGGACCAGGAGCCAGTCCCTGGCTCTGATTTCCTGCCTGGCAGGTCAGTACGGGCTCTGGCCTCAGACAGACATCAGGCCCAATCCTGGCGCCTCCACTTCCCAGCTGGGTGACCTCAGCCTGAAGCTTCCCCACTCTGAGCCTGGTTTTCTCATTTACAAAACTGGGATGATAAGAGAACCTGCCTCCTAGGGGTGTTATGAGAATTAAATTAGTTAATATTTGTAAAGGGCTTAGGACAGTGCCTGGCTTGTACACCTTCAATATAATAGATAATGTAAAAAGATTAAATAGAATTATACTAGTGTTACTCTTAAGAATAAGAGTATTTAATATTAGCCCTGGCCAGGCAGCTCAGTTGGTTGGAGCACTGTCTCATACACCAGAAGTTTGCAGGTTCGCTCCTGTCAGGGTACACACCTAGGTTGAGGGTTTGATCTCCGGTTGGGGCTTATGCAGGAGGCATCTGATTGATGTTTCTTTCTCACATCGATATTCCTTTCTGTCTCTCTCTCTCTCCAAAAACCAATAAAAATATTTTCAGGCAAGGGTTAAAAATAAATTTTTAAAGAATAAATACATAAAAAGGGACGTGCAGTGCCTGGCATCTGTCACAACCCTCTCACCTCCTAAGCTCCCACCCTCCACCCAGAACCTGGCCATAACCTGGTCAAGGCTGTGTGATTGCCAGGGATGACTGCCCCCCAGCCCATGGAAGCCTCAGCTGAGGGTAGAACAGAGGCACATCCAGAGCCAGGATCCCAGGGGAGCTGGGGCAAGCTCCCAGGGGGCACCTGGGCCACTCCTGCTTGTTCCAAAGCAGGTGAGGATGTCAGAACCGGTTCCCCGGGAGGTACCTTTCGCAGGCCCCTAGGGAAAAGGGGGAGCCCAGGTGTGACGAGGGATCCAGCCGGGGACTGCACGGTCCTGTTCAGACGGGGGTGTGCTTCTCTAACACACAGAGGCTGTGACTCCAGACTTGAAACTGCACATCCACGAGGAGGACCTGCACCAGCGTCAGATCCTGGTGACTCGGGAGCCTTTATGTCCCACTGAGATCGGGCTCCTCAGCTCAGTAATTCCGTGACTTTCCTCACGACCAGTGTGGCCCACGCGCCTCTCACTTGCCACCCCAGACAATTCCGGGTGCGTTTCCCACCCCAAGTACCTGCCTCAGGAAATAACTTAGGAGTCAGCCGTGCTCCACCTCCTCCATGTTCCTCAGGTACCAAATCCTTTAGATTCTCCTGTTCCATCAGTTCTGAAATATGTCCATTTCTCTACATGTCAACATCTCCATTTTCTCCAGCATGAGTAATTAATGGCACCTTCTCCTCACTGGTCACCTTGATTTACTCTCACTCCCTGTACTCTATTCTCTGCCCTGCAGTCGAAGTAACTTTGGAAATGCAAATCTGACCATATCACTCCCATTGAAAATCTTCAGTGGCTCCCTTGCCTCTTGGAAAAAAATCTAGTCAGCTCGTCTATAAGGCCCCGCAAGGCCCGGTGAGACCAGCCCCCACCCTGTTCTCCATCTTTGTCCTAGAATTCCCATGCCCCTCCCACTCGCTGGCCTCTGTTCACCCTCCTACGTACCTCTTGCTTTCTGTCTCAGGACCCTTGCACCTACAGTTCCCTTTTCTCCTCTTCCCCCAGCTTCACTGGCCAATGTCCCCAGTCTTTACCAAGCAGCTAAAATGTCATTTCCTTGAAGAAACCTATCACTCACCTTCGTGCCCCTTGCTACTCCTTACAACCATTACCACAACCATGATTATTTGTATGATGAACTTCTTAGTCTGCATTTCTTTTGCTAGACTATGAGCCCCAGGGACCAGGGATGTGTCTATGTTACTTGTCACTGTTTCACCAACACTTAGTGTGATGCCTGGCACATGTTAAGCACCTATTCAACACGTGTGCACAGGTGAGCTGGCCTGAGGTCTCAGCTGGGAAGTGGTAGGACTGAGATTAGAATTCAAACCTGTCTGAATCCAAACTTCATCTGTTCCTCACTTGCCATCTCCCCACCCACTGGGAGAAGGTCATTTGCATGGGAGACAGACTCACCGAACTCTCAGGCATCTGTTCCCTGAACCTGGGGGTAGGCGAGCTGTTACCACAGGTATCAAGACAGGTAGAAAGGAATCTCTCAGGGTTGTTTTCCTGATTGGGAAGGAGGGAGAGGAAACTGACTGAATTAGCCACATGTGACTTTGGCTAAGCAATGCCAGATGCCCTGAATGAGACGCCTTGTTGCCCAATTTTACCCATTAGGAGAGTGAAGTCAGACAGGGTAAAGGACCCAAGGTCACACAGCAGGGAAACGGCAAACCTAGCACTGCAGCTCTGGCCTGCACGGCTCCAAAGCTGAACACTGACTCCCTTATACTGGTCAGTCACCTCTTGGAGCCCGACCACCTGCGCGATGCTGACTGCCAGGCTTAAGAGGAGCCTTAGGACTGCTGGGAATGACAGAGCCGGAGTGGATCAAGGGGACATGGAGAGTCACAGGTCCCATGCTTCTCATGGCGTGTGTCCCGGGAGCTCTGGGTTTACGTGTACAGGGACTTGGCCTAAGATCACAGCGATCCCAAAGTGAGAGAATGCCTCACTCCTTAAGCGCCTTCAAGGGGAAAGTTTCCAGTGGGTGCTGGGGTATCTCTAACGCCTCTCTAACACCTGCAAAGCTCCCTTTTCACAGAGAGACAGCAGGACTCAGGCTCAAGCCTTCAGCCAACAATGCTATCTGGTTAGAATTTAATGACACTCCTATTTTTTTTTTTGTCTTTTTCTTTCTTTTTAACCTTCTGTATAAAGGCTATGATCCTAGCTTTCTGTTTGTGGTGGTGATGTGAAGTTCTGTTTTAGTATAAGTGGAAAAAAAAGGGTGTTGATTTAAAGAATAAGGTACGTAACAGATTAGAGGAGGCTATGGCAGAAAGATCACAGAGTCAGGAACATGACCTGGCATCTGGGAACATTAACACAGTGCCACCACTTCATTGTACAGGTAGGAGAACAGAGGCCCTGCCCGGGAGGAAGACCAGTTTCTGGATGGACTCCCCCACCCCAAACCACCCCAACCACTCAGGAAAGCCAGCCCACCTGGTGCCTTGCTTGGTGGGCCTCCTCAGGGTGGAAGCAGTTTTGACAGCAGCTCTGGGCAAGCACATTGGCCTCAAAGTGTTCACAAGGGGCATTCTCAGCCCCCCCCTCCATATTAGGTGAGCCAGGCCAGGGCAGCTCCTGCAATCCAATGGTGGGGCCTGGGAAGAATGGGGCTGGCAGTGCACCCAGACCCCAGCCCCCGATTGCCCCTGGACAGATAAAGACCAAAGAGATAAGGTTATTCATCCATTTAGCATCTGTTCATTTATTCACTCAACAAACATTAAGCACCAGGAATTCTGCCAAGCATTTAACATGTGATTTCCAGTAATTACTGCAGCTTTGCTCCAAGTGTGTTCTGAGGATCCTGCATTAGACTTGGTCCGGCTGCTTATGAAGTGTATATTCCCAGTTCCCTCCCCAGATCCACCTAGGTGAGGCAGGGGTGTGCATTTTAAACAAGTCTCCTAGGGCCTTTGTGCACCCCAAAGCTGGAGTGCCCTTGCTCTCCAATTATCCTGCACTGTGGGTAAAATTAACGCCAGTTTCAGATAAGGCAAGGAAGGCTCACGGAGGTTCCATAAGTGCAAGTCCCAGTGGCTGAACTGGATTCAAACCCAGGTCTATGAGCCAGGAGGTGGAAGTGAGGGGCACTGGATACCACTGAGAAGTCACCGAGGCCCCTTGGGAAATACTGGGAGTGAGGCAAAAGGGCAGGCAGGTATTTTCAGTCGAGGACAAAGTCATGGGCAATCTGAAGGCACACATCAAGTTTGTGGCAGAGCTCGGCCAGAGAGAAAAGCTGGTGCTCTGACTTAAGCACACAGCAGCTGTCCTGTCCAAAACAGCTCCAATGCCATGGGGGGGGGGGGGGGCGGGGAGGGGCTCCAACAGAAGAGTAACTTGAAGATGCTCTCCTAACCCACATGGAATAGAGCCCTGGAAGGGGATGAGGGTAAGGGGAATCCATATTCCCTAAGGCACAAGCCCCTTACAGAGTTCCCTGGTGGCTGCCCATACCTTTTCCTCACCTGGAGAACTGCCTTCACAGCATCCCAGGGGATCAGGCCTTCGCTGCCAATCTCACCTGAGAGCTGGGGAATTTCACATATTCCCCTGGGTCAGCCAGGGTAAAGGTTCCTGGCTCCTCCATCAGACCTGGGGAGGCAGCAGGGCATGGTCTGGGTGGGGTGAAGGATACCCTGACCCCTCGGTGGCCCGGGGGTCTCCGATCCTGTCGCGGCTCTTCTCCCGGCTTCGTTCCAAGCTCCCAGGGGAGTGAATCCTTCCCGCCCAGCCTGGGCGGTTCTTCCCCACTCCAGCCACAAAGGGGAGTATCTCCCCGGACAGAGACCGCCACTCATTTCCCTGGGGGTGGAATGTGTGGGGCTCTACTCTTGGTCCCCCTCACTGCTCCCGCATCCTCCCCAACCCAATTGGCAGAATCCTTCTCTAAAATGCACTTTAGGTGTGGATATAACAATGAAAAACCTGCAGAGGACCCGATGCCCCACCTGGAGAATGGACAGCTGGACCTCTTTCTATCCAGCCAATCAGCCTGTCCCTCCACGTATCCCTCACTCCACATTTTCCCCCTTATCCTCCTCCCCTCCAACCTTTGCCCAGCGCAGTAATAACCTCCACTCAGGTTTCCACGCCTGGCGGGGGCGGGGGAGGTGGGGTGTAGAGATTGGGTGCCAGGGTCACAGCCTCTTTATTTTAACAATGAATCAGAACATTGCCCTGAGGCAAAGGCCACACCCCTGCTGCTCTCTCATAGGCTCTTTCTAGGTACTTTATTTACATGAAGGCTGTGACATTGGACAATCTGGCGATGAGGGGCGGAGCGGAGGCGGGCGGTGCCTAGATACCTCTGAGCGCGGGACCCACAGCACGTTTATAACCTCAGCAGACTTGTCTTCAGTGGGCCCTCCAAAGGGCTAGCATTGAGTCTGGCTCATTCAGATCTCTTTCCGGTGGCTTATTCCCGCTTCAGTCCCCTAACCTGGCTATTGCCTAGACCTTGGGCTAGAGTCTTAACCTCTCTGTGCTTAGTTTTCTAATTTGTAAAATACAGATAGTAATATTATCTGTGAGGGTGAAATTAAAAGTCCAGGGGTTTTCAAACTCTATTCGCACACTTGCACTGATGCAACGCTCACTCAAATGCAGTTCTCCCTCTTAATTTTTTTTTTAATCCTCATCCGAGGACATTTTTTCATTGCTTTTAGAGACAGGAGAGAAGAGAAATATCAATTAACTTTGGTATGCCTGGACCAGGGATTGAACCCACAGACTAGGCATGTGCCCTGACTGGGAATCAAACCTGAAACCTTTCAGTTATGGGATGATGCTCCAACCAACTGAGCTGCCATGGCCAGTTCTCCCCTTTTAAAGATTTTATTTATTAATTTATTTATTTAGAGAGAGGGGAGGGAGGAAGAGATGGAAAGAAACATCAATGTGTGGTTGCCTCTCACATGGCCCCCACTGGGGACCTGGCGCACAACCCAGGCATGTGCCCTGACTGGGAATTGAACTGGCGACCCTTGGGTTCACAGCCCGAGTTCAATCCACTGAGCCACAGCAGCCAGAGCTCCCCTCTTAAAAAGTGTAACATTTTTGCTCTGGTTGGGTAGCTCGGTTGATTAGGGCATCATCTAATATGCCAAGGTTATGGGGTACATTCAATTCCCAGTTAGGGCACATGCAAGAAGCAAATAATGAACGCATAAATACGTAGAACAAATAATTTATGTTTCTCACTCCCATTCTCTCTCTAAAATCAATCAATCAATCAATCAGCTAACATTTTTAAAGCTAACATTTATTCAGCACTATGTGCCAGCTCCTAGTCCAAAATCTTTATATACATGAAGACATGGTACTGAATAAAATGGGGCTCCTCCTGAAATGAGGAGCCCACTGACCAGTGGGAGAGAGCCTCTGAACAAGTCTTCCTGGCCAGGATGGAAGAGGCAAAGATACAGCTTCATAACAAAAATAACGAGCTTTCGGCTTGGTCCCAATTACTGTAAGTAAAACAGGGAGTAATGAGACTTGTGAGCAGTATCTGGCTCTAGCACTCCCTGGCTGTGTGATCGTAAGAAAGTTCCTTGACCTCTCTGTGCCTAAAGTGAGGTAAGCACTAAGTCTGAGTTTGCAGCTCAGGGTATGACCCATCCCCTAGCCCCACCCATCAGTAAAGCCAGAAGCTTACTCTGGTGGCCCTCCTGACAATTCATTATATACTTATTGAACTCTTACTTTTGTCAGTTGTGTGTGCTGAGGACACATCAGTGAACAAAAGATCAGATCTCCTGTCTTTGTAACGCTTCAATTTTGGTGGAGACAAACAGACCACAAACCAGATAAATAAGCAATATATAAATTATGTTGGCTGATGATGGGTGCTAAGGAGAAAGATGAAGCAGGGAGGGTGTTGGAAGTGGGAGTGTGTGGTCAGGGAGGCCGTACTGAGATGGCAGTATCTGAGCAAAGACCTGGGACTTTGAGCGTGCTCACAGGTGGGACTGTGAGCACGCAGGTCCTGGAGAAGCCTGTTTTCAGTTGAGGGGGCTGATAACAAGAGGCTGGAGTGGAAAGAATAAGGGAGAAGGGGGGACAGTCCAGGGCCAGGTGGTCCTGAGTGCTCAGAGTCCTGAGCACTCTCCCTAGACCTGGAGCTGCCTGGCTGTGCCCTCTGTGGGATGGTACAGGACTAAGGATGTAACAGTGGCAGCCGAGGCAGCAGTCACCACTTGTCACCATTTGGTCTCAGCCTCACATCCCCTTTCTACTCCCTGAAATCTTTGCCTGCTCATCTCCACCTTTGCTCATGCCATTTCCTGTGGCTGAGGACACCCCTCTTCAGAGATCTGAGGAAGCAGAACGATCAGACAGTTCTGCTCCCCACTCTGCCCCACTGAACCCTAGCCTCCTGTCAGTCAAATGGAAACAGTCATCCCAGCCCTCCCTGCCCACAGGATGGATAGAGAATCACATGCACTGGGCAGGCAACACAGATGCAGGGGCCGTGCCCCAATGGAGCAGGAGCAGAATGGCGTCATCAGGGCTGGCTCCAGCCTGTGATTACCCTGCACTGTGGTGAACCGAAGTGGCCAGGCTTTACTGATGCCTTTAGAGACTCCTGCCTTGATAAAGCTCCTAGAGGCCTCAATCTAAAGGGCCCACAAGATGGGGAATAGCAGAAAGGAAGAGTCCAGATGTGTAACATGGAGAGGGCAACACAGGAGAAGACAATCCTGGAATCAGAGTTTTGTGTTTTCACCACTCCCGATCCTAGGCCTGGCAACACCGCCACACTTAATGTCCTTGGTCTGCTGAAATAACTAGCGGTACACACAGGAGAGAGCGATGTCAAATACTAACAAGCATTATAAACCACAGATATAAGTTGTAAAGGGCTCTGTGTCACTGGGCAGGGGAGGAGACCCAGGTCAGATGTCTCAGCAGGCGTAGCAGCCACACACCCACACACCTACACGGAAGGCACACCAGAGAATACCAGGTGCCACGGGAACAGGTTCATACGCATGGGTTCATTTCAGCCTCTCACGCACAGCCCTAAGCGGTAGTTATCTTCTGTTATCCTAGGAGTGGGAAACAGACCCAGAGAGGTCAGCACGGGGAGGAGCTCAGACAGTGGTCCAGAGGCAGAGCCAAGATTCAAACCCAAAGCCTGCTGTGTGCACTGACCCCCGAGCCCTGCTCCATTCCTGCTCACAGGGGCTTGAGAGGGCAAGGCTCACACGTAGCTCTCCTGGGCTGGGTTCTAGAACCGCCTAGAGCCTGGCAATGGGCTCTTCCCTGGATGGAGGCAATCGAGCAGTGCGAGTCATGTCACCCAAGCATGGTGGGGGAGAACTGGGAGGCAGCACAAAGAGCAGGTGGAAGGAGCTGAGAAACCACTTCACAAGACCTCCTGGCTGCAAGCCTGGGCTTCGCATTCCCATGCTTAGGTGTGGCCTTCAGACCTGCATCAGCCATCACCAGGTTTCAGGCAGGTTTTGATGGTGACCTGGGAAAGCACCTGCCTGCCCCAGGCACAGCCTAATAGAGCCACCATTCCTGAGCCTGACCAATGTGGGAGGAAGTAGGCTGCTTCTGGGAGGTCCTCCACGGGAAGAGGGGGGAAGACCTGCAGCTGTGCTCCCACCACAGCACTCCCCAGTCCCCTAGACCACCTCTTGCACTATTCCTGAACTTCGCTGGGCACAACAGCACATCGTACTCCACATCCCGTCCTAGTGTTAAGGCCCAACATGGGTCCCCAAAGCAGCATGCAACACAAAATCCTGTGCTCCAGCTCAGAGGAAGCAGCAAGCGGTGAGGGGGGGTAGTCCGACTGTGCTCCAGAACAGCACTCTGGCTGTCCCCAACGGCACCGTATCTACCTCTCACAGATGGGTTCTGCCAAGGACCCTTCCTGGTCAGGGGAACAGCAGTGTGTGAGGAAGGTCACCAATAAGGTGGGACAAGGGATGGACAAAGCTGGTTTTCATCAGCTCTGAAGCCAAACCTGAGGAACTGAAAGAAGTATGGGGGAACGGCAGCCTTGCAGAACACGAGCCGGACTCCTGAGGGGTCTGCTTGGAAAGGGCCATACTTTCAGGCAAGATGTATTTTCTTTAAGAAGGGTTAATCACTCCTGCACCTGGGAGCTGCTGGCGGCCTGGGCAGCTGCCCCAGCTTGAGGACGGGGCCCAGAGCTGATGCTGCCTTTTCCCACCTACAGGGAAAACTGCTGCAGGGTGAGGATGCATCCAACTCCCTGGCCATGCCCACCTCCCCAGAAACCTACCCTTGGCATGTGGCACCAGGGCCAGGGATAAACAAACCACACTGTGCTTAGTTTTGCAAACCTGATGAAGGCCCCATGGGGTATACATTTGGGAGGATACTCCAAATTTGGCCCTGCAGGTTCCTCCTGAGGCAGGCTAGTTCTCAGCTGCCTGCTACTTCCAAGGTAAAAGCCCTAGGCCTCCACGCAGTCTGGGCTATGGCGACAGCCAAACGAAGACAGGACCGGTCCTTGCAGCTCAGGCCAGGGCCTGGCCTGGTTCTCGGGCTCACTCTCCGCTGTGCTGGGCTTTGCCAGTCAGCCGGCGGCGCTGGGTCTTGCTGGTACGAGTGGCACTTGGGGGCTTCTTGGTAGAGTCCTGGGCCCGTCGTGGGTGTTTCCTCTTGACTTTTTTGTGACTGTGTGCATGCAATGATGCTGTGAGAGAGGAAATCCTGTGGAAGGGTGGAAGGCTAGTGAGGCTAGGGCCTCAGCGTACCCTGTGGAACAGGCATGAGTGAAAGGTTGTGTGGGGGTGACAGATAGCCTGACTTGTGAAGGGGAGTCAAGACAAGCCCCAAATACTAGGGGTACCAAGTCCATTCCAAAGGCAGCCTGCTTTGACCCCAGAAGGCCTGCCTACTCCTTAGCCCCCACACAGAAAGGGCCTTACCCCCGCCCCCGACACAAAGGGCACCCAGGGTCAGCCGTTCTCGGGGGTGGGGGACAGTAATGAGGAGCTGAGGACCACGTGACAGGCAAAGCAAAGGGCTGCTCTGGGCCCCACACCTCCCCCATGCCACCCCGTACAAGCCAGCAGGAGATGGCTCTGCAGACTGGATCATCAATGCCAGCCGTGCAGAGCAGGGTCAGAGGGGAAAAGAGGCCATGGCTCACCGCTGGGATAATAGGGGGTCCCTGGACTTCCTGGGGAAGGCTCTGGTCGGCTTCTCCACAGATGACACCTCCTCCTCAGACCCGGGCCCAGCCCCTTGCTAAAGAACCATAGGACAAAGACTGTCAGAGAGTGGTGGACTGGGAAGCCTGGGCTATCACAGCTCTGTAGAGTGAGGTCATGATCCGCAGCCTCCCAGGCCTGGGCCAGGGCTCAAGGAAGGCCGAGTGTACGCTGGAGCAGGGACTGTGCAGGGGAGAGATGTATTTCAGAGTCCTCCACTGCCTCAGCTTTCCACTCAACACTCACAGACAGGAAAACTCTAGAATGGGGACGAGGCTCGTTCTTGCATCAAACCTTTCAGAAGGTGGAGCACACAACAGAAGGTGCAGGTAGCGTGTGACAGAACAGTGGCCCCTGGCACACTACAGTCCAGGGCAGGAAATGTGGCTGACGTTGTGACTGTGTGTACGCAGTACACGCGTAGAAACTCGCACACAGCCCACACAGACACAGCTCTAACTGAAACAAACGTACTGTGACGCTTCCCAGTATCTTCCACGGTAATTCTCTCTTTCTCTTTTTATCCTTACCTGAGGACATTTTCATTTGCTCTTTAAGAGAGAGAGGAAGACAGAGAAACATCGATGTGAGAGAAGCATCGAACAGATGCCTCCATACGCACCAGACTGGGACCTGCACCGGAACCAGGGACTGTACCCATCCAGACCAGGGGCTGCACACGCCCGCACCTGGACCAGGGATAAACCCGAAACCTAGATATGTGCCCTGACTGGAAATTGAACCCCCAAACCCTCAGTTATGGGGCAACGCTCTAACCACTGGGCAATGCAGCCAGGGCTATTTCTCTCTCTTTTAAAAATTCTGCTCATAGCCTGCTGATAACTCCCATCCCGTAAGTTGAAATCTCACTGTCAGTATACACAGATGCGATCAGAGTAAATGTCTACGTTAAATGCTTCTCGTCGGTTCACAATGTTTGACCTCCCAGCAATCACATGAGGCAGGTGCTACCCTCAGTGAACTTCAGTTTACCGATGAAGGGAAGAGGAAAGAAAGAGATGCTCAAGCTGCCATGCCACACAGTGCTCTAAGTGGCCTCTGAGGCCCCAGTGCTCAAGGATTTTGTCCAGACACAGAAGGGAAGAGCTGCTTGCACTGGAATCTCCATGACATGGACCAGCATTTAGCAATCACTGACAAGCCAGAACTGCCTGTGTCCCTTCTTCCCCACAGCTGAGTGACACTCACCTCAAGTGGGGGCAGTCCGAGCAGCCGGGCCCCAGAGAGGTCCAGGTCGCTGATGGTGGTCACAGTGACCGTGTGGTTGGGGTGGTCATACTGCACCGACTCCGTCTTTGTTGTCACCAGCCGGTCCAGTTCATCAGCCTCCTCTGTGCAGGGTGGACACAGATCTGGGCCTCAGCCCCAGGGCACAAGTAACCAGGCTCTAGCCCCTCCCCATCCTGAACTGCAATGGCCCTTGCTACTCTATGGAGAGCATCCAGAAAGTCACTGCCTCCAGAGCCTGACCTGCCAATAAATGCTGTAAATGATCCAACTCTCCTTTTGTGTGCCAGGGAAACCTCAGACCACCTGCCCCCACCTCAGATGAGCCTGGTGTGGCACTGGGAGTGGCAGCTGCCTCAGAAACCCTGCCTGCTCAGAGTCGGGTGGTTTTTTTTTTAAAGATTTTATTTATTTATTTTTAGAGAGGGAAAGGGAGGGAGAAGAAAGGGGAACATCGATGTGCAAGAAATAAATTGATATATGAGAGATACATCAATGAGTTTCTTCTAGCTTGCCCCCAACTGGGGACCTGACCCAGAACCCAGGCATGTGACCTGACTGGAATTGAACCAACGACCTTTCAGTTTGCAGGCCAGCACTCAGTCCACTGAGTCACACCAGCCAGGGCTACTCAGGATCAGTTTACCAAGAGGTCTGGGCCTCCTCCTTGTCTCTGATCCACTCACATTTAGAAGTACCCAAGGCCCACTCCTGACTCCCAGGTCATCTGCAAGACCCTTGAGTTAAGGAAGTCAGCTTCCTTGTAGCCCCTATACCCCTACCCTTCCACTTATCAAGGGATAAACAAGCCCAGGCCTGTTGGCCAGTCTCGAGGTCAGGCCAAGGATGGGACTTACCCAGTGCCTCCTCTCTCTCTGCCAACATCTTCAAGTATTCCTGGTGGCGCTGAAATCAGAAGGGAAAGGAATGGTGAGTATGATGGCCTTCCAAGCCCACCTCAGGAAGGGGTTTTGACCACTCCAGGGCAAGTGAGTGAAAGACCAGGAGATTCTATCCTAAACCTCCCCTAGACCTGGGCTCAGTGTCTCTACCTGTGCAAACTGCTTCCCAGGCCTGCTCACACCTTCCCTCATCCCTGCAGGCCCTCCATTTAGAGCATCCAAGGCTGTAAGTCCCCTAAGGGTCAGAGACTCTCCTGCCCTCCCCCTCTGCACCTCCTCCCGGAGCTTCTTCTGTTCGCGCTTGAGCCGCTGCTTCATCTCTTCTATGGCTGCCTTCTTCCGCTCCACCTTCCTCTTGTGGAAACCTGTCAGGTACTCCCTGCAGGAAAGAGGCAAGGGAGGGTCAGGAGAGGCAGGGAGAGAAAGGAGAGCTCCAAAAAGAGCTCAGTTGCACTCATGATGTGCCAGGCACCGTTTCTAAACGTACACACGTTAGCTCATGTGGTCCTCAGGAGTGGGTGGAAGGACAAAGCCAGTGCCATTTGCTTATCGTGGCACCATTTGCGAAGCAGGCCTATGGCCTTGTTAAACATGACTGCCATCTTACTCTTCTGAGCTTATGTCCCCAGGACTGGAAATTACCGGAAAGCAAGAATAGAACATGACTAACCATCACCCCAGGCAAAAGATAACATCGGAGCAAAGTGCAGCTTACCCCAAACCAGTGGAACCTGTGTGGCAGTGCCCCTAACAGCCCAGGGACCACACAACAGCAACACCCACCCTTTTATAATCCAGCTATAATCCAACCAAAGAATGCCCTCACCCCCCAGTGCTGGTGTCTCTCTCCACACCGTGCCCTTTTCTCCTCTTGGAAAGTTAGTAAAACTTTGCTCTCTGACTTTCCTTCTTTGTGAATTCTTTCACAGCCTGCGTCATCCACCACCTCAGCAGTAGTACCAATGTGTTTTACAGATGGGGTCACTAAGGCACGAGGAGGCTGGGTTACCTGCCCACAGAGTGTGAGGTTAGGAAAATGAGGAAGATGCTGCCTCTTTCTACCTACAACTCTCCAGGGCTCTCAGCTACGAGCAGCAGGGCCAGGTAACAGGTATAAGTTGTTGGCCTTAGCCTAGAACAGCTGAGGCCTCTTTTATGCTGCCGAATTCCACTCCCCAGCGCATTAAGCCCCTTCCAGTAGGACTTTCAAGGCCACCTTTATCCAGACCTCTACTTTCTGCTGGACCAACACCGCATCTTCCCTGGGGCACTTGCACACGAAGCCATCTGTGTAGGGCCTGTGGATGCCCTCGAATTTCCCTACCTTCCTCTGTCTATCTGATCTCAGCCCCTTCTCAGTCCTGTAGTACTGAATGTAACCATTTCCAACCATTCCGGGCCCCAACACTAGGTTTTTCGCCTGCCCACCACGGCATGCTTCCGTGCGAGTAAATCCTGGTGCGTGGATAAACGAACTTAAGCCACTCATTTCATTCATCATTTATCACGAACAGCTGGGAGTACTACGTGCGGGTAGGCTGGCCTGAGCTAGAGACGACGAAACCACTGCTATCAGACACAAACGACCAGCTCACCAGCTGCGCACCCAGAAGAACTACGGCGAGTAGGGGAGCCCGGAGAGCGAAGGGAGGGCGGGGCGGACGATTCCACTAGACATGATAGGGGTCGAAGGCGGTCGCTTCCATTCCAAGAGAGGGGAACTCCAGGCCACGCGAAGAGGGCGGGGCCGGAAGGGCCCTCTGCGTGACGTGCGCGCCCGGACCGGTCGTAGGCCTTGCCGGACAGCTGGAGGGGATGTGGTCCAGCCTTAGCACTCACCGTCGTTTCTCCTCGTCGAAGCTGAGGACAAGCCGCGGGCGTCGGTTGTCGCCATCTCGCTTCTTCTTCTTGTTGCGGCCCATAACTGTGAGGCCTGGGCGGTGCTGTTTCCCCTCTCCTAAGGTACTTCCGGTGCGTTTTCGGATTTCCGGGCGCGCCTCCCAACTGTGCCTCGCAGTTCCGCTCACCAGGCCCAGTCTTTTAAAGGGACCGCCCCAGTCCGTCATCTCACCCCTTCTCTCTGGATGTAGCTAGCAGTTCTCTGCCCGGCGACCCTCAGTCCCATCTCTTCTAAGAGAGCAACGGTGAGAGCGAGTCCCCGGGGTCCTAGTGCCTTAGCACGATACCTGGCCCCACTTTTGATTCAGTTAATTTGGTGGCCTTCTCCAAGATCACGTTTCTGGAAGCAAACTACCTGGATTAGAATTCTGGTATCCCAATTACAGCTGTGTAGTGCTGGACCAGTTGCCTTTGCTGTGTCGGAATTATCCTGTTTGTAAAATGGAGATAATTATAGTGACTTCTTAGTGTTATTGTAAGGCAGCGGTTTATATACTGCGGCATGCACCAGGATCCACTGGAGGGCTTGCTGAAACCCAGATCGCTTGGCACTGCTCCAGAATTTCTGATTCAGCAGGTCTGGAGTGAGCCCCAGAATTTGCATTTCTAACAGGTTTTTAGGTGATGTGGATGTTGCTGGTCCACGGACCAAACTTTGAGAACATGATTGTGAAGAATAAATGAGTCAGGTAACGTGTTTCCTGCACAAGCTATCTTCCCGTTCTATGCCTCAGTTTCCCCAGTTGTGGAATGGGGTGTAATAACTCACCCTCTACTGAAAGTGAAGGCACTAATGTGAAGGCGTTCAGTGAAACAACACCAGAAGGAGAATTTTAGTAACTGGGATTGCATGTCTGAGTCTCTGTGAACAAGAACGTATACGGAGCCATGTTAAAATGGAGCCGGAGCTGCCACCCCAGAGGGACTGCCTTATGCCTCGAATCTTCCGAATGTTAGAACGGCAAAAGGACCTCCTGACCGGGCCTAGGCAACCTTGTTTCCCAAAGTACTGTTTGCAAAGAAAAGAAGAAAGCAGTTATCATGACTAAGGGAATGATGACCAGTGAACTGAAAATTTCAAGCATTTAGCATCTCTGTGTTATGTTATCCGCACCAATGAAATGCCTTCCTCTTACTGATGTAATTCTTCCCCCCTCCCAATCTCAGGAATACCCCTTACCTTTGTCTTCTAGCAGAATATTTGGGCTTCTGCCTGAATTAATGCTTCTTGAAGAGCTATCCTTAATAGTCTCAAATAAATGCTTATTTGCCTGTTACTTTGAAAGGCCCTTTTATTCTTAGGTTGGTATTCTATTCTCTGCTTATCTGTGCTGGGTGGACCTGCTGGGTGGACCTCAATAGTCATCACATTCTAGGGAGTGATACCTCTGCAGAAGCAGCACAGGAGGCTGCAGGAGTTCAGGGTTGGCTCCTCCAGTGTGGAGTGCTGCCCGGAGTAGGCGACCCCTGAACTGGCCAAGGGCGGGATATCAGAGGAATAAAAGACTCTTAGAACCCAACCCTCTCCTTTGATGAGTGACTTGATCCAGAGAGCAAGTAAACATACATGAATTGAGTGCCTGCTGAGTGCCTCCTGAGTGCAAGGCACACAAAAAGGATAGAACTACATCATCTCCGAGAGGGGAAATGACTTCTCCAGGGTCACACTGCTACTCTGTGACAAAGCTGGGACTTGAACTTGGTTCACTGGCTTCATGGCCCAGCATCCTGGGCCACTGGCCAGAGGGATCACTCCTCCAGTATCTAGCATGGCCCCTTCGGGGGGCAAGATGCAGACCCTAAAGCCCTGGCCAGGTAGCTCAGTTGGCTTGAGCACCATCCCCATATGCCAAGGTTGTGGGTTTGACCTCTGGTCAGGGCATGTACAGGAAAGCAACCAGTGGATGCATAAATAAGTGGAACAAAAAAATGATGTCTCTCTCTTCCTCTCCCTCTCTAAAAATCAATTCAATAAATAAACAAGATGTAGACCCTGAATTTTGAAGGAGCCAGGCACATAGGTGCATCTCTTCATGAGTGTTGAACCCATTCATCAAGGGCCCTCTGCCTGGGGCATTCCATGTTGGTGCTGAGAGGGTTATCATCAAACCTAGCACACAGCAGGGGTTGCCTGAATGGTGGGGCTTCAGGGTGATGAACAGTTGTCCCTTTGACCCTCTGTTGCCTGCTGGTAATGCCCTGCTGTCCCCTCTGCCATCCTTTCTCTGGGTAGGAGCATTGCCCTGACTACAGTCATGTCCCCACCCCAGAGATGCCCAGAAAGCCACCTCCTACAGCTGGACTGCCTTCTGTGAGTCCCAGGCACTGGGTCTCAAGGCAGCTGCCTGCTGTTCCCCAGGCCCCACCCATCCTGCTCCCCCCGCCAGACTGGCTATAGATGGAAAATTATGGGTCTGCTACTGGACTTGATAAATTATAAACCTTCCTGGGCCTCTTTCTTCTCCATGGTTCATTCATTTGCCTGTTTGCCTGTTACTTTGAAAGTGCAGAAGAATGTTCTCAGGGCTGCTTGTGGATTATCTCAGTCCTTGCAGTCTGTGAGGTTGGTGCTGCTTCATCCCCATTATACAGGTGAGGAATTGGAGGCTCAGAGAGGGGAAGTGACGTGACCAAAGACAACCGGTTAGTGAGTGGTGTGCAGACCCATTCCCCGACAGCTACCCTGGATGTGGAGTGGTTCTGCCCTTCGGAACTTCCAGCCTGGTGCAGAGAAGGACGGACGGACTGCGTCAGGAGACAGCTGCTTGTGCGGGGGCCTTTCGTGGGGAAGTCTGTACAGGGGGCCTTTGGAGCCCACCCAGCCCGAGCTGCTGGCCCACGGGGCTCAGAAAGGCCTCATCCGCCCAGCTCCCCATGCAGAGTGAAGCCTACCACCTCTGGTGGGGGCTTTTGCTCCAGACTCTTCCTGGGGAGTTTCAGGTCCCCTTGTCCCAGAAGGAGACAAGGACGCGGCAACCTCACCCAGATTCCAAAAGCTCGAGAGCCCTTTACCACAGTGTGAGGTCCAAAACACCCAGCGTCCTTTTGGGGATTATTTTTGAAATTTTTGTGTTTCTTGAGCACCTATCATGTGCCAGACACAGCAAGAGATGGCACATTCTCTTAGTCGAAATGATAAAGATGATGAGCAAAAGGAATTTCCCCATTTACTTAGCTTTTTACACAATTACATTTTTTGAGGTATGAGCCCCACTTTACTGGGGCTCAGAGAGATGAGGTCACTGCCCAAGGTCACACTGGCACTGAGAGCAAGTGCTGAGGGTGGAGCCCAGGTGGGCTCCGGCCAGAGTGCTCTTGAACTTCTTTGGACTTACTTTTATAGGCTTTTTGTTTTATGTGTTTATTTTTATGAGAACGATGTGTGTCAATGACAGTAGTTTCATAGGCTTTTTAAAACAGATTTTATTTATTTATTTTTAAATTTTATCTATTTATTTTCAGAGAGCAGGGAAGAGAAGGAGAAAGAGAGGGGGAGAAACATCAATCAGCTGCCTCTTGTGATGCGGGCATGTGCCCGGACTGGGAATCAAACTGCGACCTTTTGCTTTGCGGAATGACACCCACCCAACTGAGCCACACCAGTCAGGGCTCACACACTCCTGATGCACAGTAAGTCTTAAAAGAGGCCCAGGAGCCCTGGCCAGGGAGCTCAGCTGCTTAGAGCATCGTCCCAATACTCCAATGTTGTGGGTTTGAGGGAACATACAAGAGTCAACCACCGAATGCATAAATGAATAAGTAAGTGGAACAACAAATTGATTTTTTTCTCTCCTTCCCTGCTCTCTCTAAAATCAATTTTTTAAAAAAAGGTGAAGAACACCAACATTTACAGAGCCCTTACTATGTGCCATGCGCCATGGGTTCTTCTACATTATCTCAGTTAATCCTTGCAACAACCCCGCAGGGTAGATACTAGTATCAGTGCAATTTGATAGATGAAGAAACTGAGAGGTTCAGAGAGGTTGAGTAACTGGTCTGAGGGCAAACAGCAATGGAGCTGGGGTTGAAACACAGGTCTAATTCTGAGCCGTTTCCTCCCTCCATATGCAGTGGTCTCATTCTTATCTTTCCTGGGCTCTCCTCTGGCTTGGTGTAGCCCCATTTCTCGTGTATAGTGGGTTTCAGCCAATTTAGGGAGAATCAATGCTGGTGGACTCTTGCCAGAGAAAGGCGGTTGATGGGACACTTCCCGCAATGTCCAGCAGAGGGCATCCCTCCACAGTCAGATTTCCAAAGCTCCTTCTCTCTGGGTGGTGAGTTAGGAGACTTAGGAAAGCCTGGAGGCTGGGTGTGGCTCACAGGAGCCCCTGCAAGTGTGTTCCATCCTCCTCGATCCTTTTAGACGCATGCTCCCTAGGCGACCCACAGAGGTGCGAATCTTCCGCCCAAGAGCCTCCAGGTGTGAATAACAACCCACACTTTATAGAGGAGGAAGGTTGGGGACGGAAGAGACCTACCTGGGGTCCTGTGGCTGCTGCTGGCTGTCTTGGGCAGTGAGGTTGTCCAAGCTCCCATCCCAAGGCTCAGCTGAGTCTGATACGGACCAGGGCATCGTGTTGCCACTCAGAACCTCACTTTCTCCCCTTCAAACTGGGGCAGTGGCAGCAGGGAGGAGAAACCACTCTCAGGTGTTCACCAGGTGTCATGAACTACACTGGGCCTCCTTCACACACCTCACTTAATCCTCACAACAGCCTACGTGCCACTAGTCCCTGCACGCACGTAACTGAGGCTCAGGCCAGTTACAATGCACACACGGCCACGCAGCTGGCAGCCCTGCCCCTCCATCAGAACCAGCTCCCTCTGGTTCAGGGCAATAAATGGTGCCCAGTTACTCTTCTGGTTGCGCTGCCCTGCCACCCTGGCATGGATTGCTCCGGCCTTCCCTCTTTCCCCCAGTTTCACATCTTTCGAATAGCTACTGTGTGTTGGGGCTCACATGGCTGGGAGCTGTTTGAGAGCAGTGACTTGTCGCTAAGCCCCCTACTGGGTGCTGAGCTCTCTTCTTGGCCCCAGGGGACTCAGAGGAAGATGTCCCTGTCGTTTAGCATCAGGGAAGTGAACAGAAGTGAAGGAAGGGGCAGAGCCTGGAGCAGTTGGTAGAACTGACACACACACACAAATGAGGCTGATTCAGAGGCTGCTGCCTTTATTGGGGGTTATAGGTTGTTGGCTGGCTTCATTCAAAGGTCAGACTCTTGAGTTGGAAGTCACCGTGTGTTTCGAAGTAACTGATGTTATCCACGTTGTGGCGGTTGGGGAACTTAAATGTGTGTCCATCTGGCAGCTTGATGGTTAGCTCTGCTTGGTCAAGGGTGATGCACACCTTGGGGGCGGAGAAGGGTAGTGAGCAGTGGTCCCCTGGGGGGGGAACCTCAGGACAGCCACTGCCAGGGCCCCCCGCCCCCAGAAGCCCTTTCTTCCCAGAGCCCTGACAGCCCTTCTAGGTGGGTGAGGCCATTGAGGTTGAGAAGGCGTTGACACAGCAGGTGAGGGAGGGCGGGGACATAGCAGGGAGGAAGGGACAGAGGGGACCCAGGTCTCTAGACACCAAGCCCAGCTCTGCTCCAACCCACCGAGCACCCTGCCCCACTCCCCAACCCACCTCTATGACACTTCCAGGCTTGAAAGGGAAGACGGTGTCCCGAAGCTCCGTCTCCCACACCCCTGCCTTCTTGCTGTTATAGATGAGTTGGTTGACATCCCCGAATATTTTAAAGCGAGGATTGAAGTGCAGGCTCAGGTTGTTGTCATCTTTGCCGAAGTTCATCGTGAAGCTAGGGGGTGACAGGTGGGAGGGACTGAGGCCTCCACGGCCGGCTGTAGCCCCTTAGACTAACCAGCCCGCACTATTCAGGGCAGCATCTACTTGGGAGACCTCACTGAGCTGGGAGGCAAGAAACCTGACTTTAGCTCCTGGCCCTGCCCATCCTTGCTGTGTCCCTGTCCCTCTCTAAGTCTCAGTTGCCGCATGTCCACAGTGGGGGCTACACAAGGAGGATCTCTATGGGTCTTGCTGTGCTGACAGCCAAGACTCGTGGACAGTAGTTTGTGCTCCAGCCCCTTTGGGCGAGGTCGGAGACTCTGGATGGTGGCTTCTGGGAGCGCAAGGGTTCTGTCTGCCTTGTATGTCTTTGTAGCCCCGGTGCCCAGCATAAGGCATGACACACAGTAGGTATGCAGTAACTGTGGGGCGAATGAAGGGATCCTAACACATTTGCTAAGTGGAGGTAAGAGCAATCCTGGCCCCTGAGGACTTGTTAAGAATGAAAAGAATGATGTGCGGAAGGGTCTGGCGTTTTGATAAGGTCGGCCTACTGTCTCCTCCTCCTCATCTCTGAGAGATCAGCATCTCACACCCTCCACACGGCCCTGTCCCCAGGGTTTGGTTTACTGATTAGGAAACTGAGGCTCCATGCTATTGGTTGACTAGTCCAAGGTTGGTCACCTGGCTGTTGAGAAAATAGGCCGGTAGCTGAAGGATGAGTTAAGGAAGGACCAAAGGAATGAAAGGTTGAGCGAGTGAACAGACCAGGCAAGAGGGACCTCAGAGGGACAGGGTTGGGTGTGATGCCCCCTCCCATTCCCTCTCTCCACTCCCCTGGCAGCCTCAGGGGCTGCCCAAGCCAGGAGGTGGGGGCCGGCCGCGGCAGGCGGTGGAACCACAGCTGGTTTAGTTTAAGAGGCTCCAGGGAGGGGAGGGAAGCTCCAGGGAGGGGAGGGAAGCGACAGTGGTGGTAGGGGCATCCAGACCCTGCGGAGGAAGTGACTCATCCCGAAAACGCAGCTCCGGCAGCAGCCACAGTAAATCCCCACCCCCAGCCCCCAGCTGCCCGAGGGTAAGGGAGGAGTGGAACCTGGCCGGCCACCTCACCACTTGACTTCCCGTCGGACCCGAGGAATCCGAGCCCCGGGCTTCGCCCCGGGCACCGAAGCCCGACATCCTGCCTTGGCCCTCTTACCTTTTGGCGTCAGCGGCCACCTGGCCCTGCACTCGAATGCACCCCCCAGGCTTGAGGTTCACGTTGTGGGCCACCAGACCCTGTACAGACAAGACCCCACCCAGGCGGTTTAAAGGGTGCAGTGCCCGTGGTTGTGGGGGTGGCCTCGTCTCCACCCTGGGTCCTCTGACCCGGCCAAGCCCTGGGGAACCCGGGGCAAGTTCCTGCCTTTCTTTCCCTGTATGGCCCTGGGCAAGTCCCTGCTCCCAACCCAGGCAGTTTCCTATCTGTAACAGGACTGAGGTTCTACAGGCCAAGTTCAGAAGTTTTTGCGGTTCAGCTTGGAGATTTGGGATTCAGGGTACCTTCCTGCCTCCTGTAGCAATGGAGAGAATCCGACTCCTTCTGAGGGAGGGAGTTGGTGGGGAAAAAGGTGACTGATGGTCCATTCACCTCTCTGCTGGAGGGGAAGGGGACTAGAGCTGGAAGGAGACCCCCCAGTGTCCCCTGAAGCCCCTCTGCAGAGAGGGCTAGAGACCGGAGAGAAAACCCACAGAGCAGGACCAGGCCCCTGCACAGAAGGGAGGCTGGCATCGGGCCCGACCCCGCCGCGGCTGGCTGGGGGTTAGGACTGAGCGTACAGCTTACCTGGGGGTGAGCAGTTCCTTCTGCCAGACACTTGCACCCGTCCGCCTCCATTAGCAGAAGTTTCTACCACCCCCACCAGCCCAGCCTGCACAGAACCACCCTCCATCCCTAACCCAGGCAGGCCCCTTCCCAGGCAGCCTATCAGGTCCTAGCAGCTTTTGGCAGCTCTCTAGAACAGAGGGTGAGTGCCCTGGCCCCATGACTGGGGACAGCTGCAGGGGAGAGGGGGTAGGAGGCTCTTTGGGGTGGAGGAGAGGGGGAAGGGACTACGGCCTGAGCGCCAGCAAAGAGCCTGCCCCCCCCCCCAGCAGGCCACACCCTTTCCACTCAGATTTTTCAGAGCGGCAGAATGCCAGGCCTTGGTAGAAATACCTGCTGTCAGACCCTGGAGGAACCCAGAAAGTTCTTAAGCCCGAGAAAGCCTTGGGGGGCCATGGGGCCTACGCCCATCTTAAAGATGTAGTCACTAAGGCCCAGAAAAGAGAAGGTACTTGCCCAAGGCCACACCCTCAGGACTAGAACCCAGATCTGCATCTGCCCCCACTCTCCTCAGCTGCCTGCCCCACACCACCTTGAGCCTGGGGGCAGGGTCCCCACACTCACACCAGTCATGACTGAGGACAAGGGGTCAGTCCTGGGGGATGCAGAATCAGCTGTCTGAAGACTTGTCCTGAGAGAGGGGCGATGGGCCCTTTTAACAGGACCAGACCCCAGCGAGTCCCGCCCCTGGAAGCTCAGCCAATTGTAAGTCAGCACGGGCCGAGAGATCTTCAGGGGTGGAGTCCATGGACTTTTGAAGCCAGTTCTGGAGCAGAACTGACCAATAGATTAGTGACTTTCTCCCTCCCCCCCCCACAGACTCCACCTCTCATTCCCCTTCATCCCTCCCACACCCTCATTAAATTTAAAAAAAAAAAAAACACAACGTTGGGCTGAGGCAGGAACTGGAAAAAGCCAATGGAAAATAGTTTGGGGATGAGTTAGGCCCAGAAGTTGGTGGGAAGGGGCTCAGGGCCAGAAGTCTGAGCTCAAGGGTACCCAGGGAAGACCGCTGAAGGGGGTGCAGGGAATTAGAGCTGGGGTTCCTGAAGCTGCACCCTGACAGGACCAGGGAGTGACTCCCTCTGTGGGTCTCCACAGAGGGCCCTGGGCCCATCAGCCACCACAAAGCCCTGGCCCCACCCAGGCCTCCCCCCGGAAGCAGGGACGGTGTCAGCTGCGTGCACTTCTCACTGAGGCTAAAGAAAGGCTGGGCTGGGTGCCAAGTCTGAAGCTGTGGCCAGGGTTCAGGGCTGAGGCCTCGGCCCCCCTGAGGGACCTGCTGGGGATCTTCCGAGAGCCCCTGCATGACAGCCTCTGGCCTACCTGAGAGGGTCAGGCCTGGGAGGGGCCCAGGCGGATCCAGGCCCTGCGGGGTTAGGGCTCCCACTCTGCACACTCCCGTCCCCTGACCCGTCCCTCTTTCCCTCTGAGGCCATGCAGAGCCTCATCTTCCCCATTTGTGTGGCAGCTGTTTAACCGAACGCCTACTATGTGCCTCGCCTGGAGCTGCTCTGAGAGAATTCAATGATGAAACCTTCCCAGTCCCTGCTCTTAAGCAGCTCACTGTTAGGGCGGAATGTGGCCATGGACCTCAGGAAGGAGCAGCGTGATGCTGGCTCTCGGGGGTCACAGGTGAGCACTGTGGTGGGAGGGACACTGTCTCACGTGTGAAGGTGGGTCTTGCAGCAGGGGCAAGGCAGGGGGCTGGCACTCCAGGCGGAGCAGAAGCTCTGGAGTGAGGAGGCACAGGCTGGGCAATAGTGGGTACGGCTTGGAGTTCAGAGTGTGCTGGGTAAAGATGGGGCATGAGGCTGGGTAGCCAACAGTGCCCGGATCAGGAAAGGCCTTGTGGAGGGGCGGGGACATTGTTTTATCTGAGGGTGCTGGGGAGCCACAGAAGGTTATAGGGAAGGTGAGTATTGCGGCCAGATTTGGGCTTCAGGGAAGATCACTGTAGCAACAGAGTTGGGGGTGAGTTGGAGTGGTGCTCCCTTTATACTCAGAACCAGGTGGGGAGGAGGGTGTTGGGAGCTGGGGGCGAAGGGGAGGCTCGTCAGGGAAGTTGTCAAGGGGCCCTGCATCCCCACATTGCCATTTTCCTTCCGAAATTTCAGCACCAAAGAGAAGAGATATGGACCAGGAGTGACCCACGTTGGAGGTCAGACCAACACGCCCACCCTGCTCTCCACTGCCTGCCCAGCCCACCACAGGTCGCCTTCCTCCAGATGGCCGAAGCCCACCCTGGCACAGGAGGACTGGGGAGTGCACAGGATGGCAAGGAGCCCAGGGAGGAGGCTGGGCCACACCCACAGTGAGCCCCTCCCCCCTCTTCCCAGACTAAGCAGGCTGCCTCAGAAAAAACCACAGCAGCTATACTTTTTCCTGCAGGGCCTTCCCCAAACCTCCACCTGGGGGGCGGGGTGCATAGCTCCACCTCCTTTCCACCGTGCTTCCCCTCCATGGGCCACAGGCGCCCTCTCTGCCTGATCGGGTAGTCTGGGCATTTCAGGAGGAGGCCTAAGCCAAGGACGGGGAACTTCGCTCCCCCACCGCACCCCCTCTCCAGGTATTTTCCAGCTGGTCTGTGCACGGCCCTTGCCCAGCTGCCGTCAGGCGGGCCTGGCCAGCGGTTCCAGCCCCGTGGTTAGGCTCTCGGGGGCCCTGAGTGCTTCTTCTCCATTCTTCTCCCAACCCGAAGACACGTGGGCACCAGGGAGCATTTGCCATTGCACGCGGGGCCACTTTACTCCTTGTGGGCATCTGGCCAGCCAAGGTCTAGCAGAGAGACGTGTGGCATGGTGAACAGGACCCTGGAGAGGCCCCTTTGAGAGTCTGGAGACTTGGGTGCTGGTCCTGGCCCTCCCGAGGCATCGTGGCAAGTCCGTTCTCTCCGTGCGCCTCAGTTGCCCCCGTCCGTGTGTTGGAGAGGTGAAACCCTGCTCCTCTGCACCAGGTCGGCACAGGGTGGCATTCTGATCCAAATAGGTTTTGTTTTCATAGTCTCGGGAGGTCTCAGCTTCTTTCCCCAGGCTGTTTACCGTCCTGGGGTCAATGCCTCTGGAAGGTTCCTCTACCCCCCACCTCACCCCCATCAGTTCCCCCTCACTGAGGCTGAGGCGGGGAGTCTCTCCAGATCCCATTCATTGTCCCCTATAACAGGGACTGCGGTTTTCCTGGGCACAGGGACAGGGTGCATTGTGTGGTGGCGCCGCCCATGTATCTGCCAGGCCCTGTGCCCGGCGCCTCGCTTTCAAGCCTGATCTCATTTCATCTCCACCTCGCCCCATCTGGTCTCATCTAGCAGATGGGCTGAGCCGTTCAGGGACACGGCCTGGTCCCCCGAAATGAAGGTCCTGTTAGAGTCAGGGAGAGAAAGGCAGGCCTAGCGCGGACGGAGGCTGCCGGGCTCTGACTGTGGCCGCGTCCTTGACCTCTCCGAACCTGCTCCTGGGCCTGGAAAGTGGGAGCCTTACCCAGCCAGTCACCAGAGGAGTCCACGAGTGATGTGGGAGGGGCTCTACATTACTTCTCTCTTCTGCACCTCCCCGGGCCAAGGCCCCTCTCCCCCTGGGCCTTGCCTCCTTGTTCAGCAGTCAGGAATTCCTCCACCCTGAGGGCCTGCCCTACGGCTGGACCTTGCCTGCTGCAGGAGATGAGCTCGGCTTGCCCAGGGCACTGCGGCCCTTCCCAGCCTGCCTTGCCCTCGTGCAGGCTGGGCCTCCTCCAGCTGGCAGAGGTGGAGAGGGCTGCCGGGCCCACTGAAACGCCACCCACAGCGCCCGCCAACCTGGCCGGCCTGGGTGGGGAAAGCACGGTGACTGGAGCCAGGCATCCTGGAAGTCGGAGCAGGCAGGGACCCCAGGTGCCGCTCCAGGTGCGAACGTAGCAACCAGCCAGTGCGGTAGCAGCTTGACCAAGGTCACACCAGAGGCTGGAGCTGGTCCATCTGCTGAGCCAAGGAGAGAACGCTGAGGGCCTGGCATACCTGGACCTCAAACAATGATTTTTTTGTTTGTTTTTCTAATGAAGATTTTTATTTCTTTACTTTTAGAGAGAGGGGGAAGGGAGGAAGAAAGAGAGGGAGAGAAACATCGGTAGGTTACTAACACACCCATTATGGGGGAACCTGGGCAGAAACCTGGGCATGTGCCCTGACTGGGAATTGAACCCGTGCACTTTTGGTTCCCAGGTGGGCACTCGGTTCACTGAACCGCAACAGCCAGAGCGATGATCTTTTTTGGATCCTGCTACATGAAGGATGGAAAGGACTGGTGTGGGGGCAGAGAACTCCGCTCCCCCACCGCACCCCCTCTTCAGGTATTTTCCAGCTGGTCTGTGCAGCAGGAGCCAACCCCTCCCCACGCCCCCCCGCCTTTGCTTGTGCTGCTCCTCTCACCCAGGCAGCCACCTCCCCCAACACGGTGGATGCCTGCCACATTCCCCTTCCCCGCTGGTGTCCATGCCCACCTCTGATCACAGGCCCCGACTTGCCTTTGGTGAACCACCCTCGTTCACATGAGGCCCAGCTGGGGCCAGGCCTGTCATTCGTTAGCCCTCCGGGGCTCAGGCATGAGTCTTTTCAGGTTTTTTTAAAACAAAAAACAAAAAATGAGCCCTGGCTGGTGTAGCACAGTGGATTGAGCGCAGGCCTGCGAACCAAAGCTTCGCTGGTTGGATTCCCGGTCAGGGCACATGCCTGGGTTGCAGACCAGGTCCCCAGTATGGGGTGTGCTAGAGGCAAGCACACATTGATGTTTCTCTCCCTGTCTCCCTCTCTTCCCCATCTCTCTAAAATAAATAAAAATTTAAAAACAAAAACAAATGTTTTCTTTTGTCATAATTATAGACTTATAGGCAGCTAAGAGCTTTTTAAAAGCTTAGAAAATAAATGTTTGAGAACTAAAGAAAAAACGTATTGGCTTCCAAATTGTAAAACTGCAAAACTGGAGTTAATGAATGTTTACTGTGCTCCAGAGAGTTCCGGGCAGGAAGGATGCAGGTGCAGGGAGGGCTGCCCCAAGGCACATCCCGGTGAGGATGCCAGAGGTGGGGAGTGGAGAGAGAACCTCAGAAGCAGCAAGAGAGAAGCAGTTGATTACCTGCAGGGGAGTGTCCCGTAAGATCGTCAGCTGATCTCTCAGAGGAGACTCTGCAGGCTGGAAGGACTGGCAGGAAGTACTTGGAGTCAAGAAAAGCAGGAACCTACAGCCAGGATTGCTCTACCCAGCAAAGCTATCATTTGGGACTTCTGGTCAAGATGGAGGCAGGGGTAGACACACTTTGCTTCCTCGCGCAACCATGAGAAGGAGCACAGCTAATCTCAAAACAACACCCGAAACTGCCAGAAAGTTGAACTGTATGGAAGTCTGACAACCAAGGGTTTAAAGAAGCCACATTCATCCAGATGGGGAGGAGGGGTGCAGCTGGGTAGCTGGGGTGGAAAGGACACTGCATGGTGGCAGCGGTGAGGGGCAGCGGTGTGTGCGGTGGGTGGTCCCACATTCACATGTCGTGAATAAAAATCAGGAGGGACACCTTGGGAGTGGGTGATCCCAGCCCCAGGCCAGACCACAGAGCCTAGGGTTCCAGGACCAGGGAAATGAATCCCCATAACTTCTGGCTGGTAAAACCAGTGGGGGTTGGGACAGCAGAAGAACCAGGCAGTCTCTCAGGACAGTGCATTTAAAGGGCCTGCTCGGTCCCAGAACATATACAAACCTACCCACTCTGGGAACCCCCACCAGGGCAACAGCTGGACGGGCCCCAGTCACTTACGGGAAGTAGGTGAAGTGACTGGAAACAGGGTGAGTGCCGAGCAAGCCTCCAGCAGCCAGGGAGCAGCACTGTCCCCTCTTTGAGCCTCCCCACACACAGAACAGCAAAGCAGGCTGCCCTGCCTTGGCGAACACCCAGGGCTTCGCCCCATACAACTTAACAGATGCACCGAGGTGGGGAGTCGGAGCAGCTCCACCCAATACACAGAATCAAACACAGGGAAGCTGCCTAACTGAGGAGACAAAGAAATATGGCCCAAATGAAAGTACAGAATAAAACCCCAGAGAAATGACTAAACAAAACAGAGACAGCCAGCCTATCAGATGCAGAGTTCAAAACACTAGTGAGAAGGATGCTCAGAGACCTCATTGAGTACGGCAAACGCATATGGGAAGACATGAAGCTTACAGTAAGTGAATAAAAGAAAATCCACAGGAAACCAACAGTGAAGGGAAGGAAGCCAGGGTTCATATCCACAATTTGGAACATAAGGAAGAAATAAACATTTGACCAGAACAGAGTGAAGAAACAAGAATTCAAAAAAACAAGGACAAGCCCTGGCTGGTGTAGCTCAGTGGATTGAGCGCGGGCCTGCGAACCACACGATCGCAGTTCGATTCCCAGTCGGGGCACATGCCTGGGTTGCAGGCCAGTTCCCAGCAGGGGACTCACGAGAGGCAACCATACTTTGATATTTCTCTCCTTCTCTCCTTCCCTTCCCCTCTAAAGAGAAATAAATAAAATCTTAAAAAAAAAAAAAAACAAGGACAGAGTAAGAAGACTCTGGGACATCTCCAAGCATGCCAACACCTGAATCATAGGGCTGCCAGAGGGAGAGGAAGAAGAAATAGAAAACTTATTTGAAAAATAATGAAAAAGAACTTTGCTAATTTGGCAAAGGAAATATACATACACGTCCAGGAAGCAGAGGGTCCCAAACAAGTTGGACCCAAAATGGACCACACCAAGACATGTCGTAATTACATCACCCAAGATTAGAGATGTGGAGAGAATCTTAGAAGCAGCAAGAGAAAAAGAGACAGTTACTTACAAAGGAGTCCCCATCAGACTGTCAACTGATTTCTCAAAAGAGACCTTACAGGTAAGGAGGGGCTGGAAAGAAGTATTCCAAGTCATGAAAGGCAAGGACCTACAGCCAAGATGACTCTAACCAGCAAAGCTTTCATTTAGAATGGAAGGGCAGATAAAGTGCTTCTCAGATAAGGTCAAGTTCAATGAGTTCATCATCACCAAGCCCTTATTATAGGGCTTCCCCTCTCTCGAAATGTTAAAGGGACTTATCTAAGAAAAAGAAAATAAAAATATGAACAGTAGATTGACAACTATCAACAACCAAACCTAAAAAACAAAAACGAAAACAAATTAAGCAAACAACTAGAACAGAATCACAGAAATGAAGGTCACATGGAGGGTTATTGGTGGGGAGGGGCAAGGGGAGAGTGGGGAAAAAGGTACAGAGAATAAGAAGCATAATTGGTAAGAATAAAATAGACAGGGGGAAGTTAAGAATAGTATGGGAAATGGAGAAGCGAAAGAAATTATATACATGATCTGTGAACATGAACTAAGGGGGGTAGAATGCCGGTGGGGGTGGTGCACAGCAGAGGAGGTGAAATGGGGAAAACTTGGGACTGTAATAGCATAATCAACAAAATATACTTTAAAGACAAATAAACAATAAAAAGAAAAAAAAAGAGATCCATTTGGAATCAAAGGGCAGATGAAGAGCTTCCCAGACAACGAAACACGGGGCAAGGTCATCATCACCAAACCGTTACCATGTGAAAGGCGGCAGGGGCTGGTTTCAGGAAGGGAAGAATCCAGGTTGTGGACAACAGAAGGGCAATACATACCTGTCTGTCCACAACGGAAACTGAGTCTGGAAAGCGGTGGGGGGACAGGAAGAGCAGGGACAGAAGCTTGGTTGTGGACAGCCTTTTGATGGATGCCGGATGCCAGACGGCGGGGTGGGGAGGTGGGGGGTCGGGAGGTGCAGGTCGGTGGTTGCAGTGTGGGAGGTGGAGGGGCCAGGGGTCTTATGTGCACGGCCCAGCATGTCCCATGAACACGGACGGCGGTGTGAGGATTGCGGAGGGTGGCGGGAAACAGGGTGTGCTGGGTGGAGGCGGGGGTGGGGGAGAATTGGGGCAGCTGTGATGGTATGGTCAATGGAATGTAATGTTTAAAAAGATGTTTACTGTGCTCAGACTTAAACGGAGGTTGTTAATACAAATCGTATTATATTTGAAAACAATTTTGGAGGTTGAGTTTCCTTATGTCAAAAGTGGGCCCTGGTCTTCCTAGAGGCTGGTCACTCCTAAATAATATCCCCATAGCCAAATAACATCTAAAACAAAAGTATAAAAATACCATGAGAAATGCGTATCAGAAAACACCCCATATATACTTACTGTGGGAAGTGAGTGATTTCTAACGTTTTCTATGATGCGCCTGGAGCCTGTGTATGGGAGAGTTTGGGGCAGGAAAACAGTGAGAAATGCTCTAAAGGGAAACGTTCACACAGCAAGAAGTCTGGAGCTGGGAGGTTTCCTGGCACGTGAACTCAGTGGCTCAGTGAAATCATCAAAGATCTGGGCTTTTGCCTGATCATGGATTACAGCTGTGTGGACAGTCCTTGCTTTTAGGGGAGAGAAGCTAAAAGATCTGGGGTGAACTATCTTTAACATCTGCAATGTACTCTCGAGTGAATCAGTTTAAAAGGTACGTATATGCAGCCCTGGCTGGTGTGGCTCGGTGGATTGAGCACCACCAGCCTATAAACCAAGGTGGGTCGCTGGTTCCATTCCCAGTCAGGGCACATGCCCAGGTTGCCGACGGGTCACCAGTTGGGGGCGCGTGAGAGGCAACCACACACTGATGTGTCCCTTCCTTTCTCCCTTTGCCTCTCTAAAAATAAACAAATAAAATCTTTTTAAAAAAGTAAATAAATAAAATCTTTTTTAATGAAGGTAAATATATGTAAAGAACAATTAAACAAATGGGGCAAATGTTAACAACCGGGATTCTGGGTGAGGGTCATGAGGGTGTTCGTTTGCTGTTCTAATATTTCCTGTGGGTTTAAATCTCCTTAAAAATAAAGTTGGAGGGTATAGGATAAGAAATGTATATTTGGTCTCTGACCCCAGTTAGTGACAGAGTCCCTAAAACCCTTCTAATTTCATAAGCAATAGAGATGCTAAAAGCATCTTTGGTTCCAACACTGCATCTGTGACCCCCTTCCCCACACAGAAGTTTCCTGAGTGACAGGAGCATCTTTTGTTCTAATGAGGGGACTCTGGGTGGGCTTCTGGAGGGCTTCAGATGGGGCTGGTCATCAGAAGGACCAATGAGAAGCTTGGGACTTTCAGCTGCACCCCCATCCTCTGGGGAGGGGAGAGGCTGGTGATGGTCAATTCAATCATCGTGACCACAAGATGGAGCCTCCAGAAAAATCCCTCAAGCACAGGGTCGGGAGAGCTGCTGGGTTGGCGAGTGTACCCCCCTGCTCAGAGGGTGGAAGAAGCTTTTGCATTTGGGATGCTCCTGGACGCCCCCACCCTGCCCCGTGTATCTCTTTGTCTAGCTTCATCTGTATCCTTCATCACCTCCTTTCTTACTTAATAAACCGGCAAACATAAATGCTCCTGAGTTCTGTGAACCTGTATCCAACCCGAGAAGAGGATCACGGGAACCTGCAATTTATAGCCAGTTGGTCAGAAGTACAGAGGACAACCTGGGCTTGTCACTGGCATTTGAAGCAGAAGAAAAGCTTAACCTGCAGTACTGCACTAACTCTGGGCAGTATCAGAAATGGTCAGACACCCTGCTGGTGTCTGCAGAGAACTGGAGAAACGTTTGCTGTAGAAAACCCACACCTCGCTGTCAGAAGCACTCAGTAAGTGGAGGCAACAGTTTCCCTCTAGCTGGTGATAGAGTCGGATATGCTAAGACAGCCCTGGTTCATGGACGCGTGTGGTTTGGGAAGGGAAAGGAAGAAGGGTGGGCGCGAGGAAGCTTTAACCACCATGAAAGTGACCAACAGAATTTAGAGATGGCTCTAACCCTTGGCGAGCTGCCTTATTGGACCAATAAGGAAAATGCAAAAAAGGCACAATATGTCATCCCTCGGTTATGGTTATTGGTGACACTTAAAATGAGATCAGGAGAGTGGTGGGTGCCACCGTGATGCTAGACCGCGTTGATTTCAGTGAGTCTGAGCCTGGGTCACCAGCCTCAAGGCCGTCCCCAAAGGGAAAAATTACTCAGGGCAACAGAAAGTACCTCTAAGGTCTGTGGTCACCAAGAAAGTAGTCAACACGGGGAGAAGGCAAACGAGGAAACCACTGAAAGCTGGGGTGCAGTGCAAAGTTGTTTCGTTTTGTGGCCCAGCGGCATCAGCGCCCCGAAACATCAACAACCGGGAACCGAGTGAAGGGTGTTCATTGCACCATTCTTGCACTTTTTCTGTGGGTTTGAAATTTTCTAAACTGAAAGTCGAGGAGGAAATAACTCCAGCAAGTTCTTCCCATCTTTTTTTTTTTTTTTTCTCTGCAGAAGCTGGGAAATATGTTGGTCACACCTCGTGATCTCAGAACGGCTTCTATACCCAAAGCCGGAAGAGTGAGTCCCTACTCCACATCCCGCTTTAAAAGTGAGGCTGACATTCCTGGGACCTCCACTCATGTTTTAGTGGTCAGAAGTGTATCATAAAACAACAAAGACAGACAAACACAAGTCAAAAATGAACAAATCAAAAAAAGTGCATCGCAAGTCCATGGCTAACCCAACCACAGGCTAGGGGCAATCAAGCCACAATGACTGGCTTATATTTAAGCCTTAAAGATCAAGTTTCACTTCCTGGGGTTGGGATGTCTACCCTGCTCTAACTCACATGCCCCCAAGTGCTTCCCTGAAGGAAATCAGGGTTCTGTGAGCCAGAAAGCTGGGGAGCAGCTGCTGTCTGAAGGAGGCCAGGGAGGCAAGTACTGCCTTCCCCTGGGTGGGGGTTGGGGGCATGTGACTCAGGCTGGAGAACAGCTGTGCTGTCTCCTTGGGCCCAGGTACTGAGACAGACGCAAGCCAGGCCAAGAAGTCTGCCCCAGGATGCTGGTCCGGGGAGAGGTGCCCATTGTTTGGGACACAGCACAGCAGAGGGACACACCTGGAGGACGCCAGACAGCCCTGAAGGGGCAGCCCTAAACTCCCTCACACCTCAGCCAGGCTAAGCTGTTTCTGACTCAGCCCCAGGCCTCCACACATGCAATCTGCTGACCTCATGATGCTGACTGAGACTTGGTCAAGCATCCCTCTCCCAGAGAAGAATCACACTGCACAGAATTGCTAGAGACCTCCCAGACCCACCCTTCACTCTACGAATGAGGACGCAGGCTGAGCGCGAAGGGGCTTGTGCACTCGGTGACAGCCAGGCTTGGGACAGCCACAGCATCGCCCCATAGGCCGCTCTGGGCTGCCCCAGGGCCAGCTGACAGCCGAGCCCACCTTCTGCACCGGGTGCCTGGGAGGTGGCGATGCGTGCCCAGCCGGGAGGGGTTCAGGCCCAGCAGGGCAAGCCACACAGGGCTGAGTGTGAAGGATGTGCAAGGAGGGGTGCCACAGGCTGGGGAACCACCCCCCTGCTCCCCTTCTCTCCAGAGAAGGGGTGCAGTCCCCTGGAGTCAGCTAACACAAATTCAAGTCCTGCCTCAGGTGATGGTGCTTCGTAGGTGAGCACCTGCCCGTGGGAGAGTTCGCACTGCCTTCCCGATCTTTATTCCCCAAGTACCTCCTTCCTAAAGTGGGGTGACGGACACAGGCTGGTGGGGTTTTCTGAGCAGGGTTCTGACACCAGTCGCTACATACAAAGACTCACTGAGGGACAATGTGTGGCCGGGTTAGGTACTCGTGCAGACAGACACCTGGGAACTGGGGTGGATCTCTCCAGCAGGGGAGGGTTGTGGCGGCCCCGCCCCCACCACTGCAGTGGACAGACTCCAGCCCACACAGACAATCCCACTCGCACTTTATTCTGCACGGGGGGCTGGTTACAACAGGGTGGAGGCGGCAGGGGAGGCCCAGCCCCACCCCCACCGGCACACAATAATAAATAGAGCCAGGACGGGCACGGGGCAGAGGTGGCACAGCAAACACTGATGGCACAGGGAGGGACACGAAGGCCCCCACGCCGGGCTGTTGCCACCATCAACACTGGCCGGGAGGGCAGGGCACTTGGCTCCAGTGGCCCCAGAGCCATTGAGGGGCCCCGTGGACAGTAGCCGTGACAGAGGGCTGCCTTCAGTGCATGGGCCTTATCTACAGACAGAAACCTGGATCCTGGCTCACCCCGTGAGGCCCAGGTTGTCAAGAGGCCACTGCCTCCCAGGCTTCTGTCCTATTCAAGATCTACAAGACCAGCAGGCCACTTCCTGCCGTCCTGGCTGGTCTGCCCACGATCTAGGGCATGAAAGGGTCGCTGTCACGTACGCTCCTAGCTGGTCCACTCAGAACCCAACATCAGTGAATCACTATGACTTAGCCTTCTGATTGGTCCATTCTGGGCTTGGGACAACAGTGGTTTGTGGATACCTAGACCTCTGATTGGCCAGCAGGAGCCCAAGGCCAGGACCTGGGGAGCAGGTAGAGTTCTAGAGGCCCCAGGGAGGGGTAAGGGAGTTAAGGGCTCAGGGTTGGGGGAAATCTTCAGTGACATCAGGGTGCAGATTTCAACAAGGGGTGGTCACAGGGCGGGACAAAAGGCCACCTTGGCTGGGTTAGGCCAGGGCAAACCAGTGGGGCAAGGGAGGCAGCTTTTGGCACAGCAAAGAGTGCTCCGCCACCTTGGGATATAAGGGCCCTAACACCTTCCCCGGGTCTCAGCCCCACCAGGGTGTAGGGACTGGGGCCAGAGAGCCAGTGGCACTCAACGCAGCTCCCGGCCCATCACCTGCACCTACATCACCTCCATCTATGGGATCAGGATGGGGAAGGGCAGGGCTGTGGGTGCAGGTCAGGTGGCCTCAGTGCTCCAGCCCTTCCATTAAGTCCGCGACGCTCTCCACATAGTAATGGGGCACCAGGTCCTGCTGGCCAGCTGCCAGATAGGCCTGGGCCTCCTCCAGGCGGGAGACCCCCGTGAGCGTGAGCACGGTGGTCATGCCACAGCGGTGGCCGAAGAGGATGTCGGTCTCCAGGCGGTCACCCACCATGAGCATGCGGGCAGGGTCCACACTGAAGTGTTCCGTGATGCACTCGAACATGTAAGGGCTGGGCTTGCCCACCACCAGGGCCTGGCGTCCCGAGGCTGTTTCCACCGCAGCTGCCAGGCTCCCGGTGCCTGCAGGGAGACAGACATTCAGTCAGAGCCTGGCGCACGGAGGCCGAAGGCCTACTTCCAAATCTCACTGGAGTGGTGAGGGGTCCAGACCCTCCCCCAGACACCCACATTCAGGCTCCACCCCCACCTTTTTCTGGACAGCCATTGATCACCCCTCTGTGTTGCAGTCTCCCCGCCCCTCATATAGCACTTATCTCACAGGGGTGTCCTAAGGACTGAATGAGCTACTGCCTGCACTGGGCCTGGCCCCGGTTGGTCCTGCCTGAGGCTCACTGTTCCCCGCTGGCAGCTGCGTGCCTTCGGGCAAGCCACCGTCTGAGTTTCCGGGGACTTGTTGGCAAAGGAGGATGCAAGTAACGCCTGCCTTCGAAGAGGCGCTGCAGGCACCACAGAGGCAGGGCTCTGGGTACTGTGGTTACTGCTACAAGCACTTGCGCTCCTGGCAATGGGAACAGGCGCAGCCCATTCGGCGCACAGCAGGGCACAGAAACATTCGCACCTCTGACCTCCACCTGGAGAGCGGGCACAGAAAGAGAATTCAGACTGGAGACAAAAAGCTACATGCTTGGAGGTGTCTGTGGCCACAGGAACTACAATACCCAAAACTGTGGGCCATGCCCAAGCGTTCAACAAGGGGAGGGCTGTTTTGCAAAGGACAGTTCTGACTCCTGACCATCTGCCCCACACAATAGGTCCACTGTGCCTGTCCCCCAGGCACCTCTTTGTGCTAGAATGTTCTGTCTTCACACTAATGTCCTTGAACAGATGATGATGATAATCACAATTTACTAAGCACATTCTTAAGTGCCAGGGGCTGTGCTGGGTGCTCATGGAAGCCCATTTTACAGACGAGAAAGCTGATGCTCAGTGATGTTAAGTAACTTGTCCAGGGCTGCACAGCTTAAAAAGTGGCAGATACGCTGCATTCAGGTGGGTACGGCCCACTCGTGTGCTGGGCCAGCCCGAGCTCGTTTGGGAGTGCTGAGCGTGTCATTTTTCAGGAATTCAGTGAGCTGGTGGTGAAACAGCCACATTTAACTCCACTCATATAAACTTACAATCAAGTAATTATGTTTAAAACAAAGATAATACATTCCCCAAACTGATCACTCCCTAAAGGTTTTACCACTGTCTAAGATGATTTCTGGCTGAACCAGTGGAAATACTATGAAGGCAGGCACATACCTTCCCCATTCCATGTTCAGTGACTTCACGTCAGTAGCTTAAAAACCTGACATTGTGGTGGGTATTTACACAGACGTTGGCAAATGATACAAATCAGGGCTCCCCCAATCACTACATGTTTCTCAGCACACCGCTGGTCAGACCCCGGGTGCTCTGGCCTCGAATCTCCCTCCTCACAGTGTAGTTAAGACAAAGGCTCAGGGGCGGGGGCAGGGGGTAAGGCGGCCCCCGACATGGAGGAAGGACTTCCCCCGTGTCACAGGACCGGCAGCGCTGGCTCAGAGCAATACCACTGGGAGGTTCTCCCTGACATCTGACTAAGAACTTGCCCACTTGTTTTCATAAGAACTGAGGAGGAAAGAAAAGCCATATGCCCCTTTGGTGAGAGAGTCCTTCTAGGTTGCAAAGGGCTCAGCTGAGTCACCCCAGTGTTTCTCTGGGCTCGAGAAAGTTCTCGGCTGTCAGCCCCTTCCTTCCCCACCGGGAAAGGGCTGCTCACCCATGGCCTCCATATCCCATTTCATTCACTCAGCTACTATTTACTGAGGCCCAACGAGACACCAGGCACTGCTAGGCCCTGGGATAGAGCAGTGAGAACAATGAAGAGCCCTCTACTTGGGGGAGCAAACTACCCAGCTGGGGAGTCTATGGACTTCCGCTCTCAAATCACCACGATCCCCTTCTCTCAACATCCTATAACCTAAGGCCCATAACCTATAACCTAGTTTTTTGTCTCCAGCCTGAATTCTCTTCCCGCGCCTGCCTGCCGTCGTGGCAGAGGCCGACTGGGCCAGAGATGCCAATGTTTCTGTGCCCTGCTGCATGGGCTGTGCCTGTTTCCAGTGCCAGGAGGGCACGTGCTTGTTGCATGTTTTGACGGTGGCATATACCTAAGCAGGCATTTCCATTTGCCAGCTCAAGTGGCTGCCATATGTTACAAAGTAAACATACAATTTAGGAGGCCTGCAGGGGGAGGGGAAATTGGGGTGAGAGATTTGCATGATTTCAGAGTTGATGCATAATGGAGGTCTTCATTAACACTTGCATGCCCCTGTCCCAAAGCTGCACCATTCAGGGTACAAACACGACAGCAGCACTGTATTTCTGTATTTGCTGAGCCTCTGCCTCCCCCTCCAGGCTGTGGGAATGACCAGCAGGGCTGCAGGCACAGCCCAGTGGGTGCTGAGGCGGCAGGGGCAGCCTGGGCAGGGCCTGGTCTGTCCTGGGCTCTTTCACACCACCGCTCCTGAGTCCTCTGACTCCACCGCTCCTGAGTCCTCTGACACCACCGCCTCTTCACCCACTGCCTCCACCTGAATTCTGAGGCCTCCAGGGAGAAACTCACTTTTCGTAGCATGGCCCAGGGAGGCAGGAGTTGCTGCAGATGGGGAGCCCCTACCTTGGGTTTATGGGAAAACTGAGGCGGAAGTGGTAATGCAGCAAGTAGGGATGCAACAAAGCTAGGACAGGCCTGGAACTATAGATTCCCAGACTGGAACTGGTTCTGCCATGGCCCCAGCCCTGTTCCATGGTCATCCTCTGGTTCTGCAAGATGTCTCCTCCAGGAAGCCTTCCCAGATCCCCTAAACTCTAGGTGCTCCCTGCCACCGTACCATAATACTGTGTCTAATCCTCAAGGAGTACCACCCTGCCCCACCAGTATTTGGTATTAAGAACTGTCTGGGTTAGTCACCAGCAAGGATGGAGTGATGGGACATCTGTCCCTGCCCTCAGCCTGCCGACTGGAGTACTAACATGTTCACACACTTATCACTGTCAGTTAGCCTCCGCTACCATTTGCTCTTGCCTAACTCGAACCCTCCGTAGCAGCCTCCACCTGTTCCTGCTTCCTCTGCAGGGCTGAGCACCCAGACAACAGCAGTGAAGAGTGCCTTAGATGGAGGAGGTCGGGCCTGGGTGGCCACAAGATGCAAGTTCTTGTCCCTGTACTCTTGGGCAGCTCACTTCTGCTCTCTCAGCCTCAGTTCCTTTAACTGAAAAATGGGACAATTACCCCCATATCTCCAGAGTAATTTGGAAACTACATAAGAATGGATACCAAATGTTACAACGACAGGGTTTTGGATACAGCCCACAGCATTTGAGTCCCTAAGTGCACAGACTGCTGTTCACACTGATGACACTGGCATGCTGGCGTTCCCATTTTTACAGCCAGCACACGGATGCTCTGAGGTTATGTAACGTAAGAAGATTCCAGCCCCCTGGAGCTGCAAATGGACTCAGGTCAAACTCCAACACCTGTGCTCCGGCACACCTGCCTACAGCCTGCCGACGTGGTTGGTATTCCTACTCTCCAATAGGAAAGCACCCCTTCCAGGCTTTGTCCCCAAATCTCCGACCTCACCCCAACAGCGAGAGAGACAAAAACACAGGAGTCCTTGAGGCAGGTTCAGGAAGGTTAGGGCTGGGAGTCGGGGAGCCTGGATTCCGCCTGCGATCCCAAGGGCCATCATGGGCCTCGGTTTCTCCATCTGTCCATTGGGGACACGAGTGCTTCCCCTCGTCGTGAGGCGGCTGCAAGAATTACCAGGCCTTGACACAAAGCACCCTGCGCTTTTGCTGGGTGGTAGCCGCGCCAGCAACCCTCCTGTTCCCTATCTGTCACCTGGAGACAACACTTCCCCGACCCTCACCTCCAGGTTGCTCCTCCCCACCTCGCTTTCCTGGCCACCCCCGCGCTCACCAGGGGTCCGGCTGCCGTCACTGAGCGGGTGCCACGGGTCGCGGTCGGTGGCCACCAGCAGGCAGTCGGGGTTCCGCAGGTGCGCGCACGCCTCGCTCAGCTTGGAGAAGGAAAAGTGCTCATCGTAGCCCACGAGCACGGCACGCACGCGCGGGGCCGCGCCCGGGTCTTCGCCGGGATCCCCAGCCAAGCGCAGCCCCGCAGCCCGCAGCTCGGCACGTAGCCCCTCGCCGCCCAGCACGAACACTGAGTCCGGCGCGTCTGGCGGTCCGGACAGGCGCTGGCGCAGCAAACGCGCTGCGCACACCGCGGAGCTAAAGACTTGCTCGGCGCGCAGCCCTGTGAAGCCGAGGCGCGCGAAGCGGAGAGCCAGCTCCGGCCGCGCGCGCCGGCTGTTGTTGCTCACGAACAACACCGCCTTGCCGGCACGCGCCAGCCGCTCCACCAGCTCTGGGGCTCCCGGCACGGCGCGCTCGCCGTTCCACAGCACCCCGTCGCAGTCGAACAGGACCCCCTGCGACCGACCCAGCACGTCGCGCAGGGCCGCGCCGCATAGGCGCTCGCAACGCGCCATGCAGCCAGCTGGCTGCCCGCACGCCCGCGCCGCGCGGCTTTCTCTCCGCGGGCACGGAGCAACGGCCCGCAACCCACTGGTGCCCCGCACCTACCAATCGGCGCGTCGAAAGGGCCGGGGGGGCGGGGTTACGACCTGGACATGGGCCAATAGAGGCGAAAACCTTGGAAAGGTGGGAGGCCTCGAGCAAATTGAGCTTGAAGAAAAGGGTGGAATTGCGGTTCGTACCAAGGAGAGAGGACCAATGAAGAGCTCGCTTGATCCTTTGCCTCGCCTCCTGGCTCTTCTAGGCCAATCGCTGCTGAGTTTTAACTCTGAAACCCTCCTACGGGGTGGGAGCCTGGGAGACTGATGCTGTTTTTGACCAATAACGAGTTACAAGAAAAAAAACTGTGGCGAGAAATGCCGCCCTGTGCCCCTAGCCAATAAGAAGCTTAGGAGAGCTGGTTGCCGGGAGGAAAACGGATGCTAAGGGAGATGTCTTTGGGTCAAATTTCCCTGCCCTGTGAACGGGGGGGGGCGCTCCAGGTGTGAACGAAGTCCTGAGAAGCCTGTGGGTATGATGAGGAGAATGGTACATGGGTATTCCTGAGCGCTGGTGCCCGTGGCCTACACCAGTGGGCCTACACTGGTGCACTGTGCGTACGCTTGCTGCACTGGAGAGCCCGGTGGAGCACTCACTATTTTTAAATATAAAATTTACATGCAGTAAGATGTATACATCCTAAGTGTAAAGTTTGATGACTTTTGACAAATGGTTTTCAAAATACCGATGCGTGGTAGGACCCCAGAGATTCTGCTTTGTTTTGGGTGTAGCCTGGCACTTTGGGGGGTGTCTTTGTGTATAATTACCAAGGATTCTATTGTGAGGTCCGGGTGGAGAGGCAGTGGGCTAGAGACAGCCCTGTCGCCAAGCACCCCGGGGAGGGAAGGAGCCGGAGCGTCAGTGGCCAGTTGCCCAGGACAGTGAGGGGTGACCCTGCTGCCCAGGCTCCCCCTTGGGGAGAGATGTGTCACCATCCTTAGGCTGCCAGCCCACCTCCAAGAAGGCTCTGAAGACCCGTGGGACTTCCAGGAGCACCTGGAGCTCCAGAGCCTCCTGTAATCCAGGCTTTGAGGGGAGGCACTTTCTGTTCCCCAATGTCCTGGAGTTTCCGCGATGCATAGGTGGTTCCCATGGCTTGGAACATTCTTCCTTCTTCCCCCTTTTCACCTGGACTGTTCCTGAAAGACTCCCCTTGGATATCCCCTCTTCCATTTCCTTGATCTTCACCCTTTGGACACACACCACCACTCTGGGTTAGATGGTTTTACTGTAACTGGGGCAATATGAGCTCCCAGTAGTCTTGACACTTGATTCCAGCCATCAGTTCTGCCTGCCTGTTCCCAGGAGCAACTTGGGTATAGCGCTGAGTCAGGAACCTAGCCCAGGCAGGGTCTGGCAGAGCAGCCTCAGGGACGGTTTGCAGACAGGTCCACCCTTGCTTTTTGGGGAGCAGACTGGGGGACCTGGCATCAGGGGCAGCCATCACTTATGGGGTACTTCTGTGTGTGAGGATGGTGCCTGGTCTTCACAGGAGTCTCCTTTAATCACCAGAACACTTTTGCAGTGGAAGTTGTTACCTGGGTTCCCGGATGAAGAGACCAGAATACCAAGAACTTAAGTTAATTGCCTGGGATGAGGCCCAGGCCCAGGCCCAGGCCCAGGCCCCAGAAGCAGTCAGACCTGGGTCCTAATCCCAGGTCCATGCCTCACTCACCGTGTGACCTTGGCAGGTCATGTTCTCAGCTTTGGTCTGCTCACCTGTAAGAGGTCATGGGATTTCCTCCCCAGGGAGAGGATTAAATGGAAATCTTGAGCAGAAAAGCAGTGTGTGCCCTAGAGTAGGTGCCTAAAAACTTCAGCTGTCATTATTTCAGACAGGAAGAAGGAAAAGAGGCAGAGAATAGGCAATTTTCCCCATTTATTTTGAGTACAGAAAATAAAGCTATCTTTTGGGCAGCTGCTCCAGTTTTGTCCAAAATAATTTACCTGCCTTACAAAAAAAATATGTTGGCAAGAGAAAGATCAAAGTCCTGTAGGAGCAGGCACACTCTCCTTCCTTCTGGTGGCTCCCCTGGGACCTTGCCAGAGAGTGCAGTCGGCTGAGCACCCCAAGCCCAGGGTGAACCCAAGAGGAAAAGGACTGGAAATGGAGAACTGGCCTGAGTCCTCCCTGCCATGGGGGCCGACCCAGCGGGCACCAAGGCACTTGGAGGTAAAGGCTGTGGGCAAAGGGGTGAGGGCTCTGTCCTGGGAGGACCAGGTGGGAGGGAGGGGACACCAAGGACTGTCAGGGAGGAGCCACTAGCTCAGTTGGTCTCTGAGGCAACGCTCCTGGGCTGAGGCTGAGGGGGCATAGCTGCAGGAGTGGGGGTCCTGCCTACAGCCTCAGGGGCCCCTCCATCCTCTGTGGCTACCCCTAGGTCTACCTGCTCAGGCGTGCTCAGAGATACTGGGCTGGGGGAGGCTGGACCCGGGGAAGTCTGGCTGGGGGAGGCTGGTAAGCGCAGGCTCTGGCGCCGGGCAGGCTGAGGGGGCATCGGAGGCAATGGGGGTGGCACTGTGGGGGCCCGGAGGTTGCTGCCAACCAGACGGCGGGGCAAAGCTCGGGGAGCTACAGGGCTGCCAGGGCCAGGGGGCAGGGGTGGGGCTGGAGACGAGGAGCGGGTGCTGGAGACCTGGGGGGGTGGCATGGTGGGTCGGGCTGGTGCCAGACGTTTGGCTGTAGAGGAAGGAAAGGGGCAGTGAGGTGTCCACAGAGCCTGTGGCAAAGCCACCAAGTTCGGTTGCATCTCAGGACTTTTGCACCTGCTGTTCCTTTTGCTGGAACACAGTTCCCACAGCTGGTCCTCGTCACCCCGGCCTCTCTGCATTATTTTGCTTATCTCCCCCACTAGAACGTGATCTGCATGTGGCTATCGTACGTGCAGGTGGCTAGCACAGGGCTGGGCACAGAGTAGGTGTGCAGCACATTCCTGTCAAATGAGGAAACGCTACCCATTCCCCCTGACACTCGGTCTCGCGTCTCGCTCACCTCCTTTCAGAAGCCCACCAGAACTACTCCACTTAGGTTCAGAGATGCGGCTGCACAATTCTGATGCCCAGGGGTGGTTGAAGGGTTAGGCGGGGCCAGGAGGTCTGGGCTCTGGCCCCAGCTCTGCCTCCTCCCGCTGGGGGATTTATGCAAATCACTTGCCTCCTGGGGCCTCAGTGTGGTAAGATGGGATGAACCTCCCAGGGCTGAGGCGAGGACCAGCTCAGGTGACGCAGTGACAGTCCCACGAATTGTGCGCAAGTGAGCAAATGTCTCACCGGCCCTGCATCCAGGAGAGGCGACTAGATGCCTGCCTCCTGAGGGAAGATTCCTGAGCAACCCACCAGCTCCTGCTGGTCTGGAGGTACCTGTGGCCACTCCATTACTCCGGGCTCTACTCTGTACACCTGGGTGGAAAACTCTAGAGCCTCCTGGGCTGGGTGGGCCTCCCACGGCTCCCAGTCACTCAGGCAGACTCTGCATCTGAACCCTCAGCTTTCCGTCTACCTGGCTATCGGGCAGCTCAACAGGTGAGTGCTCCGAAGGGCCCCCCAGCCCCCAGCACCGCCACCTCCCCTCCCTCATTGCCCTTTGAAGCCTCTGACCTCCCTCCTCACTCTGTGACCTCCGGGCTTCTTGAGAAACTAAATCCCACTGCCCCCCTGCTCACTCACACTGGCCCCCCTTACACGGCACCTGAGCCAGGAGGCAGCATCTGATCCTCTAAACAGCCCTACAAAGCAGGTGCACTTATTGTCCACAGAGGGGGAAGCTGAGGCAAGCAGGTGACGTCACTGGGCCGAGGTCACACAGCTGGAGGGTTCAGGCTGAAGCCCTGGCCCCCCGGCCTCCCCTGCTGCCTGAACACACGGGATAGTCTGGACTGCCCACCCCCACCAACCCCCACCCACCCTGCCCCCAGGCCTCCCACAGCCAACTCACTTTTCCGAGCCGTGTCCTCTGCTGGGGCGGCTGCCTCTGGGGGGCTCCTGCTGACCTTGGGGGAGGCTGGTCTGGGAGGCGCCTCGGACTCTGTCCTGTGAGGGAAGGAGAGGGTCAGGGTCAAGCTTGGCCACCTCTCACACGTCTCCTGGAATCTTTGGGAGACTCCCAGCCAACAGGTTGAGTCTGGGTCATCCACCTTGTGGTCAGGCATGGGATCTGTCCCCAGGCTGCCCCCCTGCCCCCCAAACACTCTGGCATTGGCTAGGGTTCGCATCCACAGAGCCCCTGGTGGCTGTGTGATGCTGTGACAGTGTCCATGGCCCCTGATGGGGCCAGGGTGAGGGACAGAAAGTGGAACACCCCGCCCCAACTCTCAGCCTCCTTGTGATCTCTCCGGGGTGTTCTGGCCACTAGGACCAGAGAGTGGACACAGCGCAGAGGGCTGCCCTGGACAACCACCGCCCTCAGAGCTTGCTATGGTTGGTGCTCAGTAAACAGCCACATGACAGAAGAGGAAACGCATCAGAGGCTGAGGGGGCTGTCACAGCAGGGCCCCCACCCCACCCACTGCAAACTGGGAAACCTGGCATTTGGGGGGAAAACACAATCCTGCCACTTCCTGACGTGCTGTTGGAAGCCCCGAGATGGTGCCTCGGGCTGGGCATCGTGGGGTCCGGACAGGGGGCCGTTCTTACCCATGGGTCCTTACCTTTCCTTGGTAGCCACTGAGGCTGGGGCCGGGGCCGGGGCCGGGGCCGGGGCTGGGGCTGGGGCTGGGGTGGGTGCAGCCATGGTTGGAAGCTCCTCGGAGGCCGGCCTGTCGCCGACCTTGTCCTGGGGGACTAGGGCCGAGAACAGGCCTGACACATTGAAGTTGACATCTGCAGATGGAAGGAAGCAGGCCTTGCTTCCGGGCTCCGACGGGCTCCGACGGGCTCCCTGCCAGGGGTGCCGGCACCAGGACCTCTCTTCCTCTTCCCCAACACTGTCTGGGCCACGTTTCACCTTCCCACCCCCACAGGAGCCTCACAGCAACCCCCCGACTCGGGCAGGAGCACCCCCATTTTACAGAGGGGACACCAAG